CCTCCTCTGCTGCGCAGGAATGAAGCCGGATGGCCGAAAGCTGCTAAACCTTTTCTTGCACATCATGGTGCACGACTAAGCGCATGTGACTGTTGACGCTCGCCCCGGATGAGTCCTTAAGAGGACGTGAGTGGTAATGCGAATGCGAAGATCGTTTTCTGCGGAGGCGTCAAGCGATGTCCTCCTGCACATGCGTCCGAGTTCCACACTTTGCTGATCACGGTAGCGAGTGTGTCAACATCGCATAAGCATATGTTTACTGCATTTTTTTTAGATCTTTTAGATTCATTTATGAAGCATTCGCAGTTATCATAAACTCTTAGTGTCGCGTACGCGTTTTCTTAAATACAACTTATCGTTATTTATTAGGTACCAAGACCAACAGTTGCAGCTTGTTCGCACACTTGTTCAGTACCAGGATGATAACTAAGATTAGCTTTTCTAAATATGTCCAGGATGGTCTGGGAACACGTGATCAATGTGGATCTTGGTGGAAAAAGCGTATGCTTGTTTCTTCAAGATCATGGCAGATCCTGCTCCAGACATCACAACATTCGGGGAGCAGCGGTCTCGCATAGATATTCATCTGATGTCTTCACCCGCAGCCGCAGTCACGGAAATCAAGATGTAGAAACATGATCCCAACTTCTCACCTCATCGAGCTTTTAACACTTCTTCTTACCACCCTTCTCCGGCTCTCGACTCTGAAGTGCTCGCTGCCCGGTGGTGGATGCTGACTGGCATTCTGCATTCTCTGCGCCTGCTACTGAAGAAGAGGCGCCATTTCTGTCAAACGAGAAATCATCGACGCTAAGCTCGTCCTTGCTGCTGCCATCTGCGACCTTCTTGAGGTTCTTGGAGTGCCCTGTGCGCTTCTTCACTGCAGATACTCGGGTTGCGCTATCGTGGTCAGCGGTGGTCTCGTTGCTTCTTGCTGCAGTAGACGAGAAGGACGCATGCTCAGTGTCGCTGCTACTATGATGATCACCATCCGCACGCTCGCTGAACAAGAAAGGGCTGTCCCCCGAGCTTGTCGAGCCGTAGTTCGTGTTGTGATGCTGCTCATCATGATCTTTTGAACTGTTTTCCAGAGAACTATCAGCAAAGGCGCTACCTGCACGAGGAGGTGGAGCAGCAGCAGCAGCCGCTCCTGCGCACCGAGGAAAGAGGAAGAAGTAAATTAACACTAGTGTGAAGATGAAGCCAGTGGCTGCAACACCATGCCAAGCCCACTCGGATACAGCTAGTTCTACTGGAGAAAGTTCTGTGAAGGCGCTTCCACCTCCAGTAGCATCGGAACCGGAACCAGCACGCTCGCAGGGATCAGCGGCCGCGCCAGTATTAGCGTCTGCTAGATTCCATCGCGGCCTCCTCATCTTGCCCCCTTGCGCCTTGTATTTCATGAGAATACAAGGGAAAAGGGTACCAAGATGCCGAGAAAGATGGACAAAAGCTGACCTTAACAGTAGCAGCAGCGGGACCGGAATCCCCTCCCTTTTCAGGAGGACTAGCAGCTGCAGCGTTGTCTACTGCAGCTGGACTCTGTGCTGCTGTGTACCGAGGATAGAATTTGAATTCCTCCGGGGAGTGCGTGTGCGGCGGGTTGGCCTTTTCAGCGTACTGCTCTTTCAAGCTCGTTGTCTGCTCGATTCCGTACTTAGAGAGCACTAGCACTTTGCGCGAAGACCAGCAGCACTCCACCAGACCAGCCTACTAGGCGGACAGTGGATGTGAATGCTGAAGCCTCATAGAAGCCGCTATGCTGATGATGAGTACCCGCGCAGCTGTCCGTTCCACAGCGAAGCCTGGAGCCTAGAAAGTGCAGGTTTGAACGTGGTGGGAAGAGAAAAAGTAGCATAAGTAGATGAAAACGAAAAGCTTCCCTCAAATGCCATAACTTTTCCGCTGAGTGGCGATCTCCATCGCCACTGCCCTTCCAACCACACACCATCTTCACGACGACGCCCACGTAGGTGCTCAAAGATTACCTCATCGACCGAAAAGGGCTCCCCGTCAATCATTCGAACGTACGAAACGCAAATCACCAATACATCCACCCCTTTTCCCTTGTCGTATGTCGTATCTAACTGGTCGACGATGATCTTCTCGTCTACTGTTTTATCGTCCTTCTTTTCGCTTGCCACGGTTTTGCTAAATCGGTCATATTTGTGCTCTGGAAGGGTAAGCTCATCTCCTGGAAATAGGGGACCAGGTTGATCCACCTCATACTTCCACTCCGTCTTTCCCATCGGCTCGCAAATACCTGAGGAAGATATTAAAGACGAAATAGACATAAAAGAGGAAACACACTTTTGACAGACTCAGAAATCGCCCACGCATCGACATTCACTACTCGGCCCGAATAATACTAAACAGCCGCATATTAATCCTAGTACTCGGTCGAGAGTCCCACCCGGGACGGCAGTCATTGAAGACATGTTGCAAAACCCCACGAAACAGTTCGGACTTTTTGGGAGCACGCAGACCCGATCTCCAGTGGCTTGCTTGTATGTTGTGCTGAAAAGTCCTGGCTTTCATAAAAAAACTTTGGGCTTCTTGGCGCTTGTTCTTGTAGTTGCGGTTCTTCTCACCAAAGTCATTAAAGAAACTTTCTACTTCGCATTTGAAGCGCGTCCACTGCACTCCCAAGGCGACCGCTTTTGAAGCCTTGCCGCCCATTTTTCGTCCGACAATAATATAATTAATATCTTCAGTATGAGGAAAATCGGAAGCGTCACAACATCGAACGTGTAAGCAGCTACTCTGACTTAAAAAACGTGTACTATATGGCCCACAGGTACTATAAATAATTAAGTTTAAGCTGCTATAGTTTCATCAGATCCAGCCACTACTTAAATACCATAGAGGTGCCTCTTTTCCCACCCATTCTATCGCAAAACTTCTAAAGACCTCGTAGTAGAGAGAAGAGCTCCTTGGCCAAAGACGCACTCGCGCATGGAGCAGGCAATCGGTGAAGAGCCGAAATAAACATGATCTGGAAAACTTTTAAGGTCTCACCTTCGGAAGTTCGTGCTCGCTTGTGCTTTTCGCTTCATTTGCTTTCACTCTCAACAAAACTCTCGCCCGATATCCATCGATCAGATCCTGACAAGCACAGCACTGCAAAAGCAAATGGTGCTGCTCTTTTCCGCTGGTTCAATCAAAAGTCTTCACATTCGCATATTAGATCCGGACGCATTCTATTTGTAAAACTTCCCACCTCGGCCCCCTGCCACTGCGTCCTTCACCTTCGTAAATTCTCCAAATCTAGTTGCCAGGGCGGAGGCTCGCTCTGAACCTGAAGAAGCACGCGCCGCTGGGTAAGCATCCACATCGCCGCATGAAAAAAAGAACTGGAATGGCCTACAATGAATCTGCGACATTTTTCAGTAACTGCGCATCTACTTTCTCAAGCGGATTGAGCATGAGCTTGCAAATGCTGAACTCGATTGAACTACTTGATTCCTTTGGCCGCGTGATGCGTGCTCTATCTTTATGTCCTCCGGTATGTGTGCTTCATTTGATTCACGAGTATGATCATGCTGTTTGTTTTAGCCGTCTCGAATATTGAGTCGTTGTGTTTCTAGTTGGCAAAACCTAACATCTTCATAATACACAAAACGAAGGACATCATAGATAGCACTGCTACTTACTTCTTGTTGATGTTAGAAGTGCCTGAAATAATCGAAGAGATCATAGTACTGCTGCGCGGCCTCTACTTGCTACTTAGGGCATTGTGTTTGTGGTGCTCATCCTTCTAGTTGTGCTCCATCTGATAATGTGCAATTATAGAAACAATATATCATGATCCTGATCTACCACTTGGGAAGTAATGATCTCTAACTTATTGCTGCAGAAACTACTTCTTGGCGTCGTCCCATCGATTTCCTCAAGTGCTCTTCTTCTTCTTCGTATTCCAAACTTCAACACATCGATATCCGGCCGTCATCTTCCTTCGCAGCCTCGTAAAAATCATTCATGTGTTTTAGTCTATTTATTTTTCGATCACGATCAGGAAGATTGTCCTTGTCTTTTAGTAATTATAGTAGACCATACTTATACTTGTGATTAATCAATGTCCTCACGTTCACCTATCATTCGGTCACATGACCAACAGAGACGATGTTTGATGAAATGTGTAGTTCCATCTTCAGAATAGTACTAGTTCTAGTATCTACAACAGCAACTTCAGCTTCTTCAGCATTCAGGAGAGCTTCGTGCTGACTATAATAATGTTACCCATGATCAACTACCCCTCATGACGTGGTGAGATGAAGCATCAAGGCTTCACCAAAGAACCACAATAAACTTTACAACGACCTCACGTCAACAACTTCGGGGCATTCGTATTATCTTGTGTTATCTGGAGGTGCTGGTTCCACAATACTAAAAAAATACGTCTCTTGCAAATTGTGCATAGTATCATGTTGATAAAGAAGACCAACCATCTGCTCCCTGATCTTAGCCGGCTTCTAGATGCTAGATCTCTTACACTTTCTCAATCCGGCCTACGAAACGCTCGACGTGCGGGTCCGTCTAGAAAAGAAAGCGTGGAGGGTCTTCTTCTTCATAGCATAGAAAAGAAATTTAATTCTATCCATCGGTACTTCTATGCCATAATCATGGAAAAGAAACTTGTTCTGGTTCTGTTATAAAAATTCCATCTTCTACTTGTAACCACGATGTGCATTCATGCCCAAGCATCAGCGGCTGCGTCTTCTGTCATTCGCTTCGAGCCACCCGCTTGTTTCACCAGCCGTTTGTTTCATGGGAATCGAGTTCACCTATCCTCTTATATCTTCTCGTAGACTTGCTTCAGGTATACGTTTCCAGGAGTCTTGATGTAGTACGCAGCTAGTTCGTCATCGATTAAGAGAAAGATATCACAATCTTTGAGGTTACTACCTTGTACTTCCACTGTTTGTTATGTGTGAAGATGCTGGTGCTGTGCCACTAGTAGTTAATGCTAGATGGTTTTTGATTTTGTAGTTATTCATTATCATTCTTGTAACAAGTATCATGCTCCTAGTGGTACAACTCCTGCTACATTTTTTGAATTATATATATATCTATCAGTTACTTTATTCATTCATTCATTCGAACCACGTAGCAACTCATCGAAAGCTGCCTGGTTCCGTGGACTCTTGACCATAAAAAATAGAAACAATTATCTATGTTGTTGTAAACAATCGATCCTGTCCTCGTTTCTGGCTTTAATCCACATCCCGAAGGTTTTTCTGCCCTAGTCTATTTTTCACCCGTAGTAATCTTCTGCGCAAGGACGACCTTCATCACGTTCACCTCCACCATATCCGACGAAAAAATTCTCTGAGGATTTATTATTTTAATAGACTTCTTCTAGTTAAGTGGTACGTTGTATCCTAATCTTCTGTATTCCGAAAATCTAAACGATATCAGGATGACCATCTCAAATTGTAAATTCGTCAGCAGATATTACAGCTGGACGCTGGTTCTTCGCAGTTCGTTATTCTCGTCTCGACCGTGAGATGCAAAGACCGCCACGGAGCGTAATATAGCGCTGACTTCCGATCTCCATGTCATGTCACGGAACCTCGTTTTACGTTATCCGAAGCCGAAGCCGCACGTGTTTGAGGCCTTTCAACTATTACTTGGAACCCTTTGTGACAACGACTTGTCTGCTTCAAAATCGGACTCCAGAGCGGTTCTTAGCACTTCACAAGTCGCACTCCGATACGTGCTGGCACAAGAGATTTCCTGCATGCTGTAGTTTAGACTCCGCAGAAGAGTCTCTCCTGACGAAGAGAGGGCCGAGCACGTGTGAGCTCAATGAAAAACCAGCCACCGTGCATGAGTCGGCTGAGAACGTAGCGACTTTCGCCCAATGAGCCACAACCGGGGGAAGATACACTTCTTCTTAGACGAGGACGGTCTCGAGATGCGCAGCCTCTTCGTCTTTAGACCTGCTTGTCTTTAGATTTTTTAGATTATTTAGAAAGGTATCATCAAGATGCATGTCTTCAGTATGAGTATCTCACAGTGTGAAGAACGAACAAATAACAGAACTTCACTCCCAATAACTAAGCAAGTCTTCTAAACTATCTTCGAAAATACCATTTACAGTTTCCATCATTCTGCTCGGCTAATGCTACATAGCAGCTGCTCCGTTCCAACCTAAAAGCAGAGGTTTCGTCGGGAGGAGCAGGCGCTTGACAAGATACTGCGCAGTCCATTCGCCGTCGAATGCTTGACAAGATACCTCAAGCAGTGTACCGAGGTCGTCCGCTCGACACCGAATTTTTGACAAGATACTCGAAGCATTCTTGCTGTCAGGGTGCGCAGTCCGCTCGACGTCGGTCGCAAATTTAGCCTTTGGGATTTTTTCTTTAGATTATTTAGAATTGCATATCAAAATATCATTAAGAAGTGACTGAAGGTGGTCGTGTGAGATGTTTGGTTTCATCAACAGGAGCTAGATATAGATATACCAGTATTTCGTAGTCTTGTGGAAAAAGCGTTCCTCTAAAAAATCCAAAACGCTTTCGCTTCTTTCAAACCGATATCCATTACCATTTTCCAACAAGCTCAGGCCTGCCACCTCGCGAAGCTTTTGCTTCCTGGGGACGCTCCCCCACCAAGCAAGTAGATGAGAGGCAAAGGACGGGGTTCGTCGAGGTCCGTCCAGGTTCGCCATCTTGTGTTTCGAATCGCCAAAAAATCTAAATTATCTCTTGAGCCTTTCGTTGTGGTGCTTCCGCTCGCAGAGTACAACGGCTGCACAGCTCAAGACGCTAAAAGAGCTCGCTAACGACACTGTAAGCTGCTGCTGTGGAACGATGAAAGGGATCTGCGCGTGGCCGCACCGCCCATACAGGAGTCATCCTCTGCTCGAAATAACATCAGGCCAAAGAATCTCCTGTAACCAGACGAGACCAAGAGTCTCCATGTCGGACCGTAGCTGAACAAGTTGCCGGCTTAGCACTGATGCCGTGCGCTGGGAAAGTGCCAAACCACCACGATCAGGTTGTCTGACGCAAGGCACTTCTTTCCTCCTCCTCTGCTGCGCAGGAATGAAGCCGGGTGGCCGAAAGCTGCTAAACCTTTTCTTGCACATCATGGTGCACGACTAAGCGCATGTGACTGTTGACGCTCGCCCCGGATGAGTCCTTAAGAGGACGTGAGTGCTAATGCGGATGCGAAGATCGTTTTCTACGGAGGCGTCAAGCGATGTCTTCCTGCACATGCGTCCCGAGTTCCGCACTTTCCTGATCACGGTAGCGAGTGTGTCAACACCACATATGTTTACTGCATTTTTTTAGGTCTTTTAGATTTAATATGAAGCATTTGTAGTTATCATAAACTCTTAGTGTCGCGTACGCGTTTTCCTAAATACAACTTATCGTTATCTATTAGGTACCAAGACCAACAGTTGCAGCTTGTTCGTACGCTTGTTCATGTTCAGCACCAGGATGATAACTAAGATTTAGATCATTCCCAACACCGTCAGTGCTCTAGCTGCGTGGATCAAGATCCCAAAACTTCTAGACATTATAATATGGCCCCAACATGATGCATGATGAGCATCGCAGTTAGCTTTTCAAAACATGTCCAGGATGGTCTGTGAACACGTGGTCTTAAAAGAAAAAACTGGTAAGCCGAGCGGCTTTGAGGCAGTTTCAGGGCCTCCTCCACAGAACAGCACAGGCTGTTCAAATTTTGTTTTTGGTTTGTTTAGAAATAGAAGCACATGAATGCGAAGGGGTTGACGACGTCGTAGAAATCTTGATGATGTTCTAGGTTCATAGTATCTATAATTTCCATAGCAGAGAGTAAGAAAAGAAAGCGCTATTATCATGATTATGTTCGCGCGCGACCCTACCGCCTCACGCATAACGCGCTGGCGAGCGCCCTTACCATCTGTCGCTAAGGACGTTGATGTAAGGGCTCAAGGGACCTTCCTGAAGGTGCGGCGACTGTAGTGGGTTTAATGGGAAGAATGCGTGTTACTACACGCTACTTTTTATCTACTCTATCGCTATCGCTTCCGCCGCAGAGCGCCTCCCTCCCCGCGCGCTGCTCTCCACGAACGCATATTGCGCGCCGCTGGTTCCATTCCAGACTTACCTGCTCACGACAAGGCGAGAGGACGGGCAGCATTGGACCGCCCGATAACCCTCGAGCCCCCGCGGGTCCACCCACCCTCGCACCCCGCCAGCCTCCCGATGTTCCCGTCGGCCCAGCTAGAGATGCGCAAGCGATATTACGCTGCGGCCGCGGGCGCAAGCTACCGAAAGCGCAGAGGGCATAAGCATGCGCGGAGACCTCTTCCTTTTTCCCTACGTTTCTTCTCTGCCTAACTCTTAGGGCCTCCTCGTCCCCTCAGAACCTTTCCAGCCCTCCACAAGTCCCACGCGGCGCTCCCTGCTCGGTTCGCCGCTGTGTCACGGCGGTGACGAAGCGCGCCACAGCGGGCGTTTCAGATGCTACGCTCAGAAAAGAGCCTCCTCAATTATGGTATACTTCGTGGCCTGGATTAGGCTTATATCTCTAAGGATTATGATGAGAGGGCTACACTTTCGCGATTACACTACAACTGAAGGAAGTAGATCGGCCATCAGGATTGAGCTAAGTTAAAAAGTCCTGGCGAAACGCAGCAGCTTGATCTTGCTGACCGAACTGGGTCTCGGTGGTAACCACTGGCTTGCTTCTAAAAAAAATCATCCCGGTGCCTCTTCGACCATCATAATTGAGAGAAGTTAAAAAATCTAGGCGAAACGCAACAGCTGGATCTTGGTGACCCAACTGGGTCTCGGTGGTTTGTTTCTAAAAAAATTCGCCAGACCAAAACGCAGCAGCTTGATCTTGATGACCGAACTGGGTCTCGGTGGTTTTTTTCTAAAAAAATACGTCGCGGCGCCTCAGAAGTGGCAGGCTACAAGAAAAGCTGTGGGCGTTAGAATGAGGGGGCACGATCCGTATTCCTATACAGGGCCACGCTGGGCGCTTTCATGTTTTCCTTTGCAGGTCGTGGCGCTTGTCCTAAGTTGGTCGCTGTGCAAAGACTTTTTTGACGATACAGCAGGAAGATGAAACTGGTCAGGAAACAAATGCTCGAGCTGCTAGTCTTCTTGTCAGGTCTTTTTTTGCTATCCATAAAAAAAGCGCTGTCCAGTATCCGTCTACATGTGCCCCCACTATATTCTGGTGGAGAATGTCTGTCGTGCTTTGTATAAAAATGCTACTTACTCACTGCTCGCTGCAACAAGAATTCTCCTGGTTGGCATGATCCGTGCATTCTAATGCCGGAGAAACAAGCAAGCCGAAGCGTTAATCGATACACGATACAAATAATATCTTCAGTTGTCTCAAGTGTGTGAAACTCTGGATCACTGTACAACATCAATGGGGCTCTTGGTGGAAAAAGCGTATGTCTGCATCGTCAAGATCATTGCGGGGTCCTCCAGACATCAGGAGCAGCGATCTCGCATAGACTTACATCTGCTGTCGCCCACAGTCACAGAAGTCAAGAGGTAGAAGAAACATTCCACCTTCTCACCCCATGGAGGTTTCAAAGCGTCTTGCTACCAGCCTCCCCCGGCTCTCGACTCGGCAGTACTCGCTGCCTGGCTGCTGACTGGCATTCTCGAATCTCTGCGCCTACTACTGAAGCAGAAGCATAATTTTCCCCAAACGCGAAATCTGGTTGGTCATCATCAACACGAAGCTCGTCCTTGCTGCTTTCGCCTGCGACCTTCTTGAGGTTCTTAGCGTGACCTGCGCGCTTCCTCACTGCAGATAATCGCGTTGCGCCTTGTTCTTGGTCATCGGTGGTCCCGTTGCTTGTTGCTGCAGTGGGCGAGGACTCATGTTCAGCGTCGCTGCTAGAATGCTGACCATCATCCGCAAGTTCGGAGTAGAACATGAAAGGGTTGGCCTTCGAGCTTGTCGAGCCGTAGTTCTTGTTGTGATGCTCCTCATCATGATCTCCTGCACTGTTTTCGAGAGAACTACCAGCAAAGGCGCTACCTGCGCGAGGAGGTGGAGCAGCAGCAGCAGCCGCTGCGTACCGATAGAAGAAGAAGAAAATAAGCACTAGTATGAAGATGAGGCCAGTGGCTGCAACACCATGCCAAACCCACTCGGATGCAGCCAGTTCTACTGGATGAAGATCTGTGAAGGCGCTCCGACCTCCAGTAGCAGCGGAACCACCATCCCCGGAGAGATCAGAAGCTTTTGCTAGATTCGCGTCTGCTAGATTCCATCGCGGCCCCCTCATCTTGACTCCTTGTGCCTCGAATTTCATGAGAAAGAGAATACAAGGGAAAAGGGTACCAAGATGCGGAGAAAGATGGATAAAAGCTGACCTTAACAGTAGCAGCTTCGCAATCCAAATCCCCTCCGCTTTGGTCAGGACTAGCAGCAGCAGCTGCAGCATGACTATAAATTTTGAATTGCTCCGGGACCGCTCCGGATTCGAATTTTTGGTACTGCTCTCGCAAGTCCTCTGTCATCTGCCTGACTCCGTACTTAGAGAGCACAAGCACTTTGCGCGAAGACCAGCAGCACTCCACCAGACCAGCCTACTAGGCGGACAGTGGATGTGAATGCTGAAGCCTCATAGAAGCCGCTATGCTAATGATGAGAGTACCCGCGCAGCTGTCCGTTTCAAAGCGAAGTGTGGAGACTAGAAAGCGCAGGTTTGAACGTGGTAAAGTGGAAAAAGAAGCATTATAGATGAAAACGAAAAGCTTCCCTCAAATGCCATAACTTTTCCGCTGAGTGGCGATCTCCATCGCCAAAACTGCGGGAATTCTACTCCGCCGGACAGATTATGGTCATATTGGTGCTCAAAGATTACCTCATCGATCGAATGGCGCTGCCCATCGACCGTTGTTTGGACGTACGAAACGCAAATCACGCTTACTTCAGGTCCATCGCTATAGTTCGTCTCTAACTGGTCGACGATGATCTCCTTGCTGTCGTGTCCACCTGTTTGACTTTGATCGTTCTCACTTAAGCTACTTGCCACGGTTTTGCTATATCGACTATATCGCTTCCCTGGCTTTGTAAGAGCAGTATAATACCGAACCTTTTTATCGCTTTCGGAAAGAATGTGCTCATCATACCTCCACTCCTGTTTTTCCTGCTCGTCGCAACCTGAGAAAGATAATATAGGCGAGAGACCACATCAACACTAGTACATGAAAAAAGAGGAAACACACTTTTGACAGACTCAGAATTCACCCACGTATCGACATTCAACACTACTCGGCCCAAATAGTACAACACCGCATCGCAATTCTAGTACCCGTTCGCCCTTTGGACCCCAACAATCCGCGGCGCCGGGGAGCGCGGCAGTCATCGAAGACATGTTTCAAAAACCGAGTCAACATCACTCCTGGGGCTTTCTTGTTTTCAGGAGTGGGGCCCCGTATACTCTTGAAGAAAGTCTCGGCGGACATAGAAAACTTGTTTTCCTCTATGCTGCCTCCAATTTCACCAGAGTCCTGAAAGAAACTTTCTACTTGGCATTTAAAGAGCGTCCACTGCAGTGGCACTGGCACCAGCGCCGCTTTTGGAAGCTTGCCGCCCATTTTTTGTCTGACAAGTATAATTATGTGATCAGCTACTTTGGCCTAAACGTGTACTATATGGCCGACAGCTACTATTCAGGTGCTATAGTTTCGTCAGATCCAGCCAATACCTAAGTACTCTAAAGGTGCGTCTTTTCTCGCGACCCATCCTATAGCAAAACCAAAGACCTCGTAGTAAAGAGAAGACCTCGCCTATAGCAAAAGACGGACTCTTACATGGAGGCAATCGGAGAGAAGCCGAAATAGACATGATCTGGAAAACTTCTAAAGTCTCAACTTCTGAAGTTCGTGCTCGCTTGTGCTTTTCGCTTCATTTGCTTTCACTCTCAACAAAACTCTCGCCCGATATCCATCTTACTCTGAAAAGCACAGCACTGCAAAAGCAAATGGTGCTGCTCTTTTCCGCTGGTTCAATCAAAAGTCTTCACATTCGCATATTAGATCCGGGCCCATTCTATTTGTAAAACTTCCCACCTGGGCCCCTGCCACTGCGTCCTTCACCTTCATAAATTCTTCAAATCTAGTTGCCAAAACGGAGCCGCGCTCTGCGCCTGACGAAGCACGCGCCGCTGGGTAAGCATCCACATCGCCACATGAAAAAAAGAACTGGAATGGCCTACACTGAATCTGCGACATTTTTCAGTAACTGCGCATCTACTTTCTCAAGCGGATTGAGCTTGCAAATGCTGAACTCGATTGAACTACTTGATTCCTTTGGCCGCGTGATGCGTGCTCTATCTTTATGTCCTCTGGTGTGTGTGCTTCATTTGATTCACGAGTATGATCATGCTGTTTGTTTTAGCCGTCTCGAATATTGAGTCGTTGTGTTTCTAGTTGGCAAAACCTAACATCTTCATAATACACAAAACGAAGGACATCATAGATAGCACTGCTACTTACTTCTTGTTGATGTTAGAAGTGCCTGAAATAATCGAAGAGATCATAGTACTGCTGCGCGGCCTCTACTTGCTACTTAGGGCATTGTGTTTGTGGTGCTCATATTATTTCTAGTTGTGCTCCATCTGATAATGTGCAATTATAGAAACAATATATCATGATCCTGATCTACCACTTGGGAAGTAATGATCTCTAACTTGTTGCTGCAGAAACTACTTCGTGGCGCCGTCCCATCGATTTCCTCAAGTGTTCTTCATGTGTTTTAGTCTATTTATTTTTCGATCACTATCAGGAAGATTGTCCTTGTCTTTTAGTAATTATAGTAGACCATACTTATACTTGTGATTAATCACAATGTCCTCACGTTCACCTATCATTCTGTCACATGACCAACAAAGACGATGTTTGATGATTGAAATGTGTAGTTCTATCTTCAGAATAGTACTAGTTCTAGTATCTACAACAGCAACTTCAGCTTCTTCAGCATTCAGGAGAGCTTCGTGCTGACTATAATAATGTTACCCATGATCAACTACCCCTCATGACGTGGTGAGATGAAGCATCAAGGCTTCACCAAAGAACCACAATAAACTTTACAACGACCTCACGTCAACAACTTCGGGGCATTCGTATTATCTTGTGTTATCTGGAGGTGCTGGTTCCACAATACTAAAAAAATACGTCTCTTGCAAATTGTGCATAGTATCATGTTGATAAAGAAGACCAACCATCTGCTCCCTGATCTTAGCCGGCTTCTAGATGCTAGATCTCTTACACTTTCTCAATCCGGCCTACGAAACGCTCGACGTGCGGGTCCGTCTAGAAAAGAAAGCGTGGAGGGTCTTCTTCTTCATAGCATAGAAAAGAAATTTAATTCTATCCATCGGTACTTCTATGCCATAATCATGGAAAAGAAACTTGTTCTGGTTCTGTTATAAAAATTCCATCTTCTACTTGTAACCACGATGTGCATTCATGCCCAAGCATCAGCGGCTGCGTCTTCTGTCATTCGCTTCGAGCCACCCGCTTGTTTCACCAGCCGTTTGTTTCATGGGAATCGAGTTCACCTATCCTCTTATATCTTCTCGTAGACTTGCTTCAGGTATACGTTTCCAGGAGTCTTGATGTAGTACGCAGCTAGTTCGTCATCGATTAAGAGAAAGATATCACAATCTTTGAGGTTACTACCTTGTACTTCCACTGTTATGTGTGAAGATGCTGGTGCTGTGCCACTAGTAGTTAATGCTAGATGGTTTTTGATTTTGTAGTTATTCATTATCATTCTTGTAACAAGTATCATGCTCCTAGTGGTACAACTCCTGCTACATTTTTTGAATTATATATATATCTATCAGTTACTTTATTCATTCATTCATTCGAACCACGTAGCAACTCATCGAAAGCTGCCTGGTTCCGTGGACTCTTGACCATAAAAAATAGAAACAATTATCTATGTTGTTGTAAACAATCGATTCTGTCCTCGTTTTTGGACTTAATCCACATCCCGAAGGTTTTTCTGCCCGAGTCTATTTTTCACCCGTAGTAATCTTCTGCTCAAGGGACGACCTTCATCACGTTCACCTCCACCATATCCGACGAAAAAATTCACTGAGGATTTATTATTTTAATAGACTTCTTCTAGTTAAGTGGTACGTTGTATCTTAATCTTTTTACCTGTAAAAAGTATAGTTATTCTTTTTATCGAACAATAATAAGTTACCCCTGTAGTACTTCTACAACTTTCGTTGATTCTATCTGTAGTATGTTTCTTCTCTACAGCATACGAGCTCCGCGATTTCGCGCAGCTTCATTTCTGGCAGTTTCTTGACGCTCTGCACAATCCAATCCCAAGTGTTCTTCGGCTGTTCCGGTCTGACCCAGCCGAGTTCAGTTGCCGCCATAAGTTAGAGCAGGAGGAGCTTGTTGGTGATATATTAATCTTCTCTACGAACGAGGAGGAATAGGGTTTGGATTTCTCTAGGAGGGCTAGGATTTCTCGAGGAGGAGTTGTCTAGGAGTAGCTGGTATTGTGCATGGATCTGCAGCTTTTTGTTGATATATTTTTTAGGAGGAATAGGAGTAGTTAGGAGGAATAGGAGTAGTTAGGAGGAATAGGAGTAGTTAGGAGGAATAGGAGTAGTTAGGAGGAGTAGGAGTTGTTGTAGTACTTAGTTGGTATCATTTGCACTAGGAGGAGTAGGCATCACTTGCGCTAGGAGGAGTAGGAGTTGGTAGTGTGGATGATCGTTGGAGTTGATATCTTCTCTGTAAGGCATAGGAGTAGTTGGTAGAGAAGGTAGGTAGATGGATCTTCCTAGTAGGAGGTAGATGATGTATGTTCCTAGTAGGAGTTGGTAGTGTAGATGAATTCAAGTAGTTTCTTTCACAGTTGAGGAACAATCAAGATCTTTTTTTTTTTGTAGGCCAAGACCGCCGAAACCGAAAGGGTGATCGAAGATAATTTATCATGTTGAAGGGAGAACTACAAGGGGAAACTAAAGCTAGCCGGTTGTTTTACTTAGTGGCTGGCTCTTTTACTTAAAATATGAGCCAAGGGTGTAGTGGGTGTCGAAGTGCGAACTTCAAAACTATTTATGTGCTCTGAGCATAAGCTAATTTACAGTTTTTATGAACCAGATTCTTAATTGAAGGTGAGCCCGAAGTCCCTTTTGAGTCGTGCGCTATCCTTCGCGTAGATCTCGACCCATTTGCGCCACGCCGGCTCGCGAACCAAGCACATATCAGACATCAGCATCATGATGCTACCTGTTGTAGTGGAGTTATACATAGATACAGACATTGGGTTGTGGGGTGTACTTAGAGGGGACTTTAATGGAGGTTAGGCTGTACAACAAGTACCTCTACCGACTATTAGTCGTTACGGTGGATGTAGCTAGTATTTGCAATGGCGTTGGACAAAGTGGATATTGTAAACTTGCAAAATGTCAATGACACTACACTAAAAATTGTGAACCTCATCAACCCAACATTACATTATTTACAACCCGCACAAGTAGTCAACATATAACATGGTGCGTAACTTGTGATTTAGTAGTATGGTGCTGTTATGCTTATGATAGTACTAGTACAAGTACCTGTAGGATAAGTACCAAGCAGATGCTGGATTAATGTGATAAGAGAATAAGTACATGGTCCTGTTATGATAGTAGTATCTATAAGTACCTGTAGGATAAGTACCAAGCAGATGCTGGATTAATGTGATAAGAGAATAAGTACATGGTCCTGTTATGATAGTAGTATCTATAAGTACCTGTACCAACTACCCTGCTGAATGAATTAAAGCGTACAGAGAAAATTCGCCAATACCTTTTCCATTTTCGTTGACGTACTGACGGCGAATTCCTCTGGGTTTCAAACCTGTGATCAAATCGCCAGAACAATCTTCCATGTTCTTATCCACAAGTTTCCATTCATGGTTCAGCAGGTTCCATGCCATCATGTTGTTGAAACGTCCAGGGTTATGCTGCCATGGACCGGCGTATCTAGTAGTGGTTAGTAGAAGAGCAGTCTTGGAGTCATGTTATCAAATAATCAGATTTTGATTTTTTAGGGTGCATTATATCTAGTAGTCTTTAGGGTGGAGTGGGAGTGGTGCATAAATCTAGTAGTGTTTAAGGTGGAGGGGTGGAGTGATGTGATGTGGTGTGATGTGATGTGATATGATGTGGCGAACACCATTTGAATTTCTTTTTCATCCAATGATTGATTTTGGACATGTTCTGCAGTACTTTTTGTTCCATCAACCGGCAAGTCCAAGCAGGTATAAAAGAGAAACAGGTCACAAGGCCTGCAGTATTAATGATCTCCAATTTATCTACTTACATCAAAAAAAGCTGATCATTCTTTTTCTTGTATACTCGATGGTTGTAACAAGTACCCGCTGATGTTCTGATGGCAGCGACCGTAGCTGTGACCACCTAGAATGAGGCAAATCATCTGCTGTTCCGTAAGCCCAGCTCGATCTAAGAAAACCCGACGCATTTGATCCGCAATGGCCTTCAGCTCAGGTTCCTCGTCATGGATACCCTGTTCTGGCATAGGCAAGCGACCTGACGTTTAAAGACAGTTCGTGTTCTAGAGATACAACCAAGATGAACATGTTAAAATTTACTGGGCAGTAATGAGATTCGGACAACCGTGAAATCAGGAATCCTAAAAAGAACCAACAGGGAGATCTTCAACATCTGTAACTGTACCTGGCATAACAGGGGCACGGGGTACGTTAGTGTCTTCGAAGTATTTTCCGTCACTATCTCTGCGTCCAACTGCCAACGGCATGATCGGGCCTCCACTGCACTCAATCACGACGTAAGCAGCCAAAGCAAACAAATCTGCAAACGAGATCCAAGGATGCTTCTTCCTGTTTAAGGTGTTGAGTTGTTATTCTAGTATCTATACTTCCACCTTTTTCTTTAGAATGTTGAATCCTCTGGGTCTGGGACTTGGAAAGACACAAGAATTTTCATTCTTTACTAAGAAATAACTCGTCAATCGTCATTTGGAAATCAATAAGTACTAGTGGAATATGCTGTATATGCCATGGAACAAGAAGTAATGTTGAGTTGTTATTCTAGTACCTAAACCTATAGTACTTCCACTTTTTTAATATTTAGTAATGTTGAATCTATTTCCATTAGTACTTCACAAGGGTATCCAATCGGAACTATCTCTATCCAACATTAGTACTTCACAAGGGTATCCAATCGGCGATGGATGTGGTCCAAACCGCGGTTGTGGGCATCGGATTTCTCAGGTCTGAAGCGCATGGTGGCTCCTTCTAAGCCACCGGTTCCGTCAGCAGCGCAGAACGTCAGCGACGAATGGATGCAGTTTCTGTTTTTGATTTTGAGATGAGCATGAGGTTATTTTTTGATGATTTTGAGATGAGGATATTTTTTGATAAGTAGAGTTGACGCACTTTCAGTTTCTGTTTTTTTTTGATAATGGTGCGTTCGGTTTGGTTTTTTTTTGATAATCTTCTAACTATGGAGGTTACTTGATCATCCTGATGAAAAGGGGTCTTCACGTGATGGAACAATCATGATTCAGAATCATTGATTCTACAAGTAAACCACGCACAGACACAACATCAGCAAGTTGAACAATGCATAATTGAGTACTAATTGTACTAGTACTAGAACTAGCTGTGGCATTTTTACCTGACATACCTCGGTTCACAGGTTTGCATGATTTGATCGTAAAAATTGTACTTTTAGTACTACTAGCAGTAACTGTCGAAGTACCTGATATACATCGGTCCGTAGGTCCCATCATCATAGAATTCAGGGTCATAGATGGTGTCACGCACTGACAACGCTGCCTCCTTCCACTTGGGTGGCAGGTGAGCTACGCATTTCGTCCCCAAGTCACCGACCAAGGCAACCTTGATGTCGGCACCCTTATGCAAACCCGGCATTGGCTGAATTGAGAAAGGCGTTCACATTGGGATAATGGATGATTGGAGTAATTGATGGAGTGGTCGGGACGTAGAGAGGTAAAAAGGAAGAACATTTTTTAGACGAAAACGAAATTATGGTGTAGGTGTACTTCATCTACTCTCGTCTCTTGGTCGTCTTTATTATTGTATCTTCAGGACATCGTCGATCTTTAAGTCCTAAAATTGCAAAAATAAAAGGTTAAAACCTTAAATATTTTTGCAATTTATTACAGTGTAAGAAGTGTAAGAACACAAAAAAAAGACTGAGTACCTTTGTCGGATCAGGTGCTAGTTTCATGAGCATCGATGTTGTCGGATGTCCCCATCCGATGCTGCTTCGTTTGTGGTTGAATGCATCCTCATCTGCGGCATCAGTGGGTTTTCCGGCAGAAAGTCGGTAGCTTTTAGCCATGATCATACTGCCTCGCGCCCAGTTGCCTCCCCCAGACCCGATCTTCGACGTCATCATACTTTAGAGTCAGCTTATTGATTCCATCTCGGTCCCCTCATCTTCACCCCTTTTGCCTTGTATTCTCGTGAAATACAAGGGCAAAAGGGGATCAAGATGCCGAGAATGATGCAAAAAAGCTAACCATAAATACTCTTCATCATCTGGGACTTCGTTCCCAGCTCCTTCGCAGCTTTTCCGACCATCTCCTTGGTGCCATCCTGTAGTATGGAAAAATGAGATCATGATCACAGGTACCTACAACAACTACGGGAAAATCTATTAATGATTTAGCCCCCGTAGGGCAGTTGTCAATCTCAATCATGTCAAGACGTCGACCAGTTGTAGGTTAGGTTAGGTGGGGGGCCGCCAGAAAAACCTGTTGTATGTAATGCAAGTCTACAACTAGTACAAGTATGTCTACTTCTACTAGACGTAAATAGCACATTGCTGATTGATTTCTTCTAGCACAGGACAGTACTTGCTGTGCATATCACTTAAGAACCACAGATGTCATTCTTTCTAGTTTTACCATGTATTCTTTGTCGTAACAACATTCATAAGAATCACCATTAGACCAAGGAGATAAAAGCACCATCAATAATGTTGTGTAGTAGAGGTTTGAAAGTAAACATCAAAGTTGTGTAAGTGAGTGAGCCATCAAAAGCAAATATGCATTAGAAGCTAAGTAGTGCTCCTATTCCCCACTACTCATGATCAAATTAGAGGTAGGTTTTTGGTGCTCGCTTGCCCCGCTTGTTATGCCTTTCTCCCTTAGGAGAGGCATAAAAAGCGGTAAGAAAAGCACCTTTAACCTACCCTTAATATTATCGTTCTTTGGTTCTCGGTTCCTATTCCCCACTACTCATGATCAAAAAAACTACCGGTGCCACAAAGCTCATGCGCATCTTGCCTGCGCGATCCTTTTCCTTCACCAGAGAGCCAGCCTGAGCCATCTGCTCTACAGCCTCCATCGTCTCTCGGACCAGAGCACCGCGCACCCAGTGGGAAGCCGGAAGGGGCTTTGTATTAGAGGAGCTTCTAGCAGGATGGTTAAACTAGCAAGATAGGATAGGATAGGATAGGATTTGATTCACCGTCCACAGTTTGACCTGCCTCCTCGGCAAGATGAAAGAACTTCTGATCTATGTCTATCATCTTCATCTCTGAAGAACAAGATAAAATAACAAGATGGATCTCTGTCTAAAGATGAACAAGTAGAAGATGGATCATTAGGGACTGGATTAGGGATAACTACTTCAAAAACATCATCTGAAATGATTCTTCTCTGAAGATAAACTAGTACGCATTAATATAAGATTAAGAAGTACTTACATAAGTCTAACAAGAAGCCTTGTTCGACTATAATAGAGCAGCTTATAGGGGTGCCAGATCCGGGATGGGATGGATCGGATGGAACGGATGGACTTTCCACCATTTCAAGTAGGACCGGAAGAATCAGGGGGGTCCATCCGATCCATCCAAGTCCATCCTACATCCGTTCTAGTATAAACTACTCTATTATAAGAAGTACTTACATATATATTAAGTCTAACATAAGTAAAAAGAAGCCTTAATATTGGGAGGCATGTGGCCGTCTTGATCGCTGTCGTAGTCACTCGGTTCATCCTCCTCCTCATCGTCATCGAGCATGGCCTTCACGATTTCCTTCTTGTCATCGTGAGTCAACTCCTCCTGCGCTGTTACCGCCATTTTTGAACAAAGGGAGAACTACTCCTGCGATGATGTGTGGTCGTGGTTATTTCCAAAGGTAGAACTACTCCTGCGATGATGCGTACGTGTACGACTGTTTATATGCGTACGTGTAGGTGTACTTACGACTGTATTTTACGACTGTTTATATGCGTACGTGTAGGTGTACTTACGACTGTATTTTTCTAAATTTTTCTTTGAAGAAGTTTTTATGTGCAAGATGATGTTATATATTTTACTTGTACTTATTTTACCCAGTAACAAGTACTAGAGTGATATTATCCTCGATGTTACTGGAGATGGAGGTCAATCTGTTCTTGATGTATGATTTAACTTCAAGGGAATAGTACAACGTTCTTGCTTATCTTCTTACAAGAACAACCTACTTGTATCTAAAAATCTGCACAAACAGCTTTTACAAGTAGTACAACGATCTTGAATGAAAAGAACTACAAATGCTGGTCAAGCATGAACAAGAACAAGATGATACTTACAACGAACAACACCTAGGACCTAGAAAAAAACGAAAAAAAACTTCTGTAAATATTGTTACAACACCGCTCTAGAATAATCTTTCGTGGTATCCTTCATATGAAGGACTAAGTAATATGAAGGACTAGGACTACAAACAGTAGAATAATTTTTCCTGGTACTACCAAATGAAAGGGATCTTTTGAACGCGGGGTTAACTTCCGCAACACTATTTTATTTGCCTGTTTTTTGGGTGCCGCGAGGGAAATGATAGGATAGGTTGCCGTTGCCGAATCTACACTGGACGCGTCGAAACGAAAAGGAAAATAGAAATACATTTTCTACTATGTCGAAACGAAAAAGAAAATAGAACAAATACATTTTGATACCAATTTATCAGGTTTCAGGGCAATCATGCTACACATCAGTTTTCAATTTCGTCACCTTCAGTACAGAAGATTAGACAGACGAGATGGTGCCTCGTTCACTCACTCTCAAGAAGAACAGATGGGAAAAGTCGAAGGAGACTGGGTCTCTAGTACACGAGAGGAGATTTCAGAATCTACTACCACAGAGAAAGAGTCTCTCGTCTCTCTATCCCACCATCAACATTATGATGTCATCAACGGTCTTTTTGCGAATAAAAAAAGACGTTTGACGCCTAGTACGAAAAATTTTTTGTCCCCATTTTGAAACGCTAAAAATAATCACTCACTCTCATCTTCCCGATTCTATGGTAAAAATGCCGAAAAAAATCTGACGGTCAGTCATAAGCAGATCTCGATTTTTTCGGAAATTTCAAAGCGAGGAGAGGTGGACTGCGCCATTCAACCAAAACTGTATGGTCTGAAAATAAGCTTACTTCTCGCTGCTCAAATCTTGTATCTTCACTCACTTCACTACTAGTACATGCACAACATGGGAGGTGGAGGTCACTAGTTGTAGTACTTGCAATTATGCTAACTACACGCTCAAATCATGATACTTGCATTACTGGGGCAATGAATATTAGTACGTCTTAAAAAGGTGGTAATCAATCTACTTGCTTCTGGGCAAAAAACTACATCAACATAATGGAGGCAATTTTGCTTACGTTTTATTTACATGAGCAGGATCTACAATGTAACGAAGATGATTGATTGTCTGCACATTTAACCTTGTAGTTAAAAGGTAGCACGAAAATGAGTTACAATCCAGAACAGCCAACTTCATGGATATTAAAAATCTTGCTGTCAGATGTAAGCAGGTAATATTTTCATTTTGAGTAGTATCTGTAACTTTATGCTGGTATCATGTTTCGATAAAAAATGATCCAGTTACACTTGAAAGGGATTATTATGATGTACTTAGAAATAGAAGTATCGAGAACTATGGATAGCTTCCAAGGTTGATGTGGAAAATTACTAGACTGTACCTGTAGTCGTGGCTGTGCAACATCTTAAGTAAGCTCAACATATGAAGATGCATCATCGTTCTTTCCTCGAAGCGGCATTCAAAAGAACAACATGTACTCGTGTTACTAGTATGCTGCCTCTGTGCCTGTCGTGGTATCTATGACTATGTATCTCAACATGTTTTGTTCCGCTTGTGATCTGCGTGAGAAACTACTTCGCCTTAGTAAGTTCTTGTTGTACTTCTTATTTCACCAACATCTTCTGATTTCTTACCGATGAACCCTGAGCAACCGTGTTTTTATCTTCCACTAGTAGTGCTGGTCTTGCCACTTTATTCGCTGATAAAGGTCCGGTTTTTTGTTTGCAGTTCCGTTTTTGCCATTCCAACCATCGTGCGAAGAGTTCTGCATTCTCAGCGAAGCCGTTCTGCACTTGCTCTCGTACTAAACCTGCACGGCCGAGGCCACCAGCTGACATTTTGTAGAATATTAGAGTGGGCTTGAATCCAAATCCACCTTGGTCCCGCGAACTACTCGGTCCCTCCATCTACTTGTTCGTGCCACCCATATTTCCCTTGATGAATAATCTATTCATCTTGTTCTACGCTAGCAAAAGGGTACTCCTGAAGCGATTGTTGTAGATCACTATGGGAGCAAAAGGATATTACTGAAGAGATGCTGGGACAGAAGATGGAGAAAAACAAAAGCTGACCATGATGCATAAGAATATCTCTTGCGGAGATAGTGTCCTCATCGCTTTCTCAGCAACCTCTAGTTCCTCGCTTCCCTTCCCTCCCTTCGACAAATCGTCGAGAAGAAACCGCACGAAAGTGCCACGTTCGCGCATACTGTTCTCCTCGTCGGAGTCTATCTCTTGGTTGTGACCGTGACGGACGTCGGCAAAACCTGTATAATAGGGATGTCAACAAGGGTTTGTAACTAAATAAATTAGAGGACTTCACAAGCAGTTTGAAAGCTTAAAAGTATTATAGAGCAGTTTATAGGGGTGCCAGATCCGGGATGGGATGGATCGGATGGATCGGATGGACTTCCCACCATTTCAAGTAGGATCGGAAGAATCAGGGGGGTCCATCCGATCCATCCAAGTCCATCCTACATCCGTTCTATAAACTACTCTAATTTAAGCCATCTACACCTTGACCTCAAGAATACCTCCTCTCATATGATCCTTCTGCTGCCGCTTTCTTCGTTCGCCTCTAGAGAGTCCACGGCGACCGGGACTTAGTTCACGAGCCAACACTATCCGTTTCTGCGCTTGAACTGTGCGCTGGGACAATGTAGGCAATTCGAAAGTGTGATAGAACCACACCAAAAATTCCTCAAACTCGACTGCTCCACTCCGATCGCTATCCAACACTTGCCAAAATTAGAGCTGACGATGATGATGATATACCCAGTCCTTAGACGGGTATGCACTATACTTCTAATTGCATGCATCCTTTTCTGCTTCTTGATAAAGGAATATTAGTTAAATTTGAGTGCTATACATAGATCCCTAGGTTGGTTTTCTCAGACCACTTCTCCCGTCAGAGGAGACGAATAAGTAACGATTACCTGTCAACTGGATCAAGATCAGATTACCTGTCCGCTGGATTGAACAAGTAAGTAGGTTGTAACTACTTAAGGAGCCTTAACAAAAAGCACGTATCCTTGAAGGCGGAAAATCGGTTTTCAGATCGATAGGAAATTTGACGGGAGCGCCTGGTGCAGTTGTACTAGCGGCACCTCCGGGAACAGCGTTGCCGGGGGATGCTAACATCGAAGATGATGGTTCTTGTTTATTCTTGTTCGTGTTGGAGGATGCGCTGTTACAACTGTTTGTTGTCGTGCCTCTAGAAGTACTGTCGACCTCGAGAGTCTCGTCAGCATGGTTAATATTTTGGCTGTAGTCTATTGCACTTGTACCGTCTTTGCTCAGCCTTGCGAGCATCCTCAAACTTGCACGTCGCTGTTCCTTGCTTGGCCGTCGCCTCTTCATCATCAAACTTGCTCGTCCATCGTAATCGCCATTTTTGTTGTTCTTGTCCTTTTTGCTGCTTTCATCCTTTTCCTCTGCTCCCAGACCTAGTAGACCTTGTTCGTCATCCTGCTCTTGATCCACCTCGTCTAGTAGCGCGGCAATGGCACCAGGAACGCCACTCTGCAGTGCTAGGAGCTGTAGAAAGACAGTGACAAATTCAGGATATTCTAGACTGCCGCTGCCATCCACATCGTGTTCGTCGAATACGGTTTTTACGCGCTCTGCAGAGAGTAGGGGTATCTCCAATTTTTTTGCAAGTGCGCGAATATACAGGTCATCCTGTGTCACAAGATCAGTCTTCTGCATTGGACTCGAAGCCTGTCTTTGAAGACCACGGCTCTGTTCGTGAGATGATGTTGTGTTTGCATTTTGAATGGTGCTGGTATTTGGTAACCTGATTTTGATCATGAGGAAAACAGGAAGGGAATCCTTGTGAGCGAATTCAGGTCACCAAATACTAGAACCGTACACATTTGGAGATGAATTCTTCGTCCAGGCTAAGGATATAATATGCGTATTTTCCGGTTCTACCTCGATTTCGAAGTCGCTGTTTTGGAGCAGAGGGAGTGATGCAGCTTGCTCTAGCTGCGTGGAGGTGAAAGGAGGACCGCTAGAATGGAGTTCGGGTTCGTAGATGTAGTCGAACGCGTGGTGTTGATCAACGAAGCCATTCGCTTTTCTACCGGTTGAATATGAAAGGGAGGAGGAGGAGGAGAAGAGAATTATCCTTGTGATCAAAGTCAGGCTATACCAAATACCAGAAGCATAGTACAGCGTAGAGTTTGAACCACTTACAACACTTTTTACTTTGGCAACACCAGGATTATAAAGAGCTATCAAAATAATGAAAACAAGAAGAAATCTGACCACTTCCTCCAAAAGCACCCAAACATCCTCCATAGCAGTTCTTTTCCGCTTGTGACTGTGCTCTGCTTCCCTACAGCATGGAGGTCTATGGTTCGCGTCTTGCCAACCAGCATGTCTTGAGTTGAATTCATCTGATTGCCTACCCCATCAGCGTCTTCGTCGCCACCCCCACCAAAGGCTTTCCTGGTGTCATCTTTCCTCTTGTTATTGCCTGTTTGTCCTGCAGTGAAGAACGAGGCTCTCCGGTATCGCTTGAAGAACGTATCGTGAACCAGTGACTCTTCCTTTCCACCGCCAGTGCGTCCATATTGGCGTAACATAGAATCTTCCTCTTCATCGCCAGAAGAGTTGCTTGACAACGTACCAGGATTTCGGCTTTCTCCAGGCGAATCTGGATCATGAAAGAATGCTTTATAATTCGGAGAACCTCCTGAACCTCCTTCTATGTTATTTGTCTTTTTACAGGCGACTGTGCAGCTCTTTGCTCTAGAAACTGCAACGTTCATCACCTGCGAAGCACCCTTCCGAAGGGAAGGCCCTGCTTTGGGGGTAGCACCAGGATCCCCACTTTTATTGGTTTCGACTCGATTTCGAGAAAGCGGTGAAGGTGATCCCACCTTTGCCTTTGCCGCACCCGCTTTGTTCTTGCTTGATTTTGAATTTCCACTAGTACCACTAACGCTATCATTTAGATGTAGATCTTGTTGTTCCTCAGTCGAGAATTCTTCTTGACCCTGTTCTTGTTCCTCAACACCAGTCTGCAGAAGATTATAGGTTGCTCCCCATCCTCCACCTGGTTCGCCCTCTATTTCCCAGATGCGACCCGAATTGAGACACGCTTCTGCAACTTCTCGCCGATACATTAGAGCTCGCCCGAATCCATCCCGAGATGCCGATGCGTCCTGGGTGCCTTTTCTTCGCCTTCTTGAAAGGCGCCGCACGCTTCAGGAAGATGTCACTCGTCTCTCAAAATGATGGATTAGGGGACGAAGCCTTAAATAAACTTCCCTTGCTGCTGCGTTCTCAGGCGATTGCGCTTCGCGTTCCGCATCAGCGTAGGCAGCTCGTAGTGCGGCTTTTGCTTCCTTACGTTCCCCTCTGGCTCGTTCGCGGAAGTCATTCCGTTGCCCACGAAGCGTCTCTGCCCAACCCCTGTTGCCCGGAAGCAGGAAAAACGAGGAGGATGGCTTATCTTGGTCCTTATCAACCTCAACAACCTGATCTACTACAAGTGGAGATAAAAATGGAGAAGATTCTTCGTCGTGAAGATGTCTATGTAGTTGATCTCTTGTAGAACTAGAAGACGGATCGCAAACAGTTCGTAGTACTACACGTGCATCATCTACAACTGATTCAGTTCCTGCTGCTTCTGCTCGTGCTCCATCATCTAGTAAAATCTTCCCAGAGTTCTTTTTACTATTTCCTCGGTGGAGTAGAAGTTCGTCTTTCAATTTTTCCATTTTTCTAGAATCGGAGCTCTTTGGTGACCGAGCCATCTTTCTAGAATGTGACAAGGGCGACTTTGCTAATTTCCTCCTAGTACCTCCACGGCTCGTTGGCGTAGTATACCGATCTATTGTTCTACTGGGAGATGCTGGTGCTGTTGGTGGAGAGGAGGTCCTCGAGGCGTTGTGAAGATAGTTCTTCTTCTCTGGTTGTCCAACTACATGATGTTGTGCAGTCCGAGGAGTTCCATCAACTCGGCTACTTGTACTACTGCCAAGAACTTCTGCAGTAGTACGAGTAGCCGTCGTGGTCGTTCCTTCGTCACGTCGACCACTAAGCAGGAAAAAAGATGAAGTTCTTGCTGCATTGCAAGCCGAAGGACTATAATTCTTCTGTCTTCGAGTCCGTGGAGTAGGCTCTCTCCGAGTAGCTCGTTTTCGAACTCCGAATTCGTCAAGAATCTCTGTGTTTGTTCTTTTGGCTCTAGTAGAAGTAGAAGTTGTGCTCTTAGAAGTATTAGAGGTAGGTCTTTGGTGCTCGCTTACCCCGCTTGTTATGCCTTTCTCCCTTAGGAGAGGCATAAAAAGCGGTAAGAAAAGCACCTTTAACCTACCCTTAAAAGTAGTTTCATGTGAAGTCGATGTTTCTTGTGATGAAGAACTACTCTTTGCATTTTGCGCTTCTCTAGCGTTAGTGTTGGCGGCAGAGCGACCTGCTGCAGCTCTTGGAGTGACTGCTCTACTTCGTCTTCTAGTTCCTCTGCTTCTAGCTCTAGTACTACATGTTGGTGGAGAACTAGGTCTAGGTGGTACTATTTGCTCTTTACTAGGAGGTGCGCAGGTACTGGTACAACTACCTTCCTCCGCCAGAGGTGTTTTGCTTTGTTCTTCACATTGGCCAGCGTCAGAAGCTGCCGGCATTACTCGAGGAGTGCCCCGCCGACCACGCGCAGCAGGCGACGTAGACGGTCGTACAGCCGCAGGAGGACGTCTTTGGCGCCACAGATACGTCTCTATCTTTGGGGCGAATGCCTTGAAATCCTTCAGGAAATCCAATGCCCCGCCACCTGTAGGTGTTCGTGTTGTAGCTGTTTCTTCGTGAGTAGGTGTTCGTGTTGTTTCTTCGTGAGATCGACCGTCCTCTTGTCCACGCAATCTACGATGTCCACGCAGCAATCTGCGGTTAGATTCATCTACTGGTGAGCATCTTTCTTGACTCTGTTTCGTGCCTCTTGAAGTGTTCGTAGTTCGTGCGCCACTTATGGAAGTGGTCGTGACCGATGCCGAGCATGTGGTTGGCTGATTTATTGGATTTGGCGAAGAGTTAATAGAGTCTGCTAGATTGCATCTCGGCCCCCTCATCTTGACGACCCCTTTTACCTTGTAATATTCATGAGAAGAATACAAGGGAAAAGGGCACCAAGATGCTGAGAAAGATGGACACTAAAGGTTGACCTTAAAAGAAGAAGAAGAGGCCTTCTTCATGTCCTTGTTCAATTTGTGATTTGAACCAGCTGCAGCAGAGCGATGCTGATTAGAAGCAAAGTCCTCGCTTTTATCATTCCTGTCCTCCATCGAAATCGTGAGCAGGTTGGGTAACGCATGCACTCCAGCTGCATAAGGATCAACATGATTTGAAACCAACATCTCCTCGCATGATATCCTCGTCGTCTGCGTCTCCTGAAGTTTTTGTTCCTCGTCGTCTGCCTGAACTACCTCGTCTCCTGTATGTTGAATCGTTGTAGTCTCTTTCGGTTTCAACTGTCCTCGTGCACGACTTCTACTCGTCTGACGGTCTAGTTGTTCAGGATGTGTTTTCACTTGCTCTCTCAGGACATCAGACAAAGCTGCTAGAAGAATCGCAGTACTGAGTTCCTCTGCATCTTCAATCTTCTTGTTTTCATAATCGTGAACGAGTTGGTGGTAACCCTCCATGATCGTGTCAACAAAAATCGCAGGAATGATCACATCAACTAAAGGCGTAATATTATCGCTCGAAGTGGAAGAGGAGGCAGATGAGGTTCCCTGTTCGTCTTCGTCTAGAGTTTGCATTCCTTCTAATGCCATTCCACTCAGCTTGGGCAGAAAAGATGCTTCACTTCGTCGATGTGGAAGCGACTCCAAATCATCTCTGACAGCAGTTGCAGTTCCACAACTCTGCCCGTTCACTTGAAGATTAACGCCATCTCTGACAGCAGTTCCAGTTCTTGCACTTCCACTCTGCTCGTTCACTTGAAGATTAACGTCATCTCTGACAGCAGTTCCAGTTCTTGCACTTCCACTCTGCTCGTTCACTTGAAGATTAACGTCATCTCTGACAGCAGTTCCAGTTCCACAACTCTGCTCGTTCACTTGAAGATTAACGTCATCACCATCATGCTGTTGTTGTATGTCATGCACCAGCTGCTGTTGTTGTATGTCATGCAGCTGTTCGGAAACTTTTTGTCTCCGTGCTGAGCCACACGCTGTCAGAGGGCGACTAGAAGAGTTGTCTGGCTTCGGGCGAACGATGCTGGTGCTCACGGCTTGAGCTACGACTTCTTGGGGTCGTGCGTTCTCGTTGTCGGGACGACTACTTTCATCCTCGTAGTCCTCGTCGGAAACGGAATCTTGTTCTAGTACTGAACGTGAACAAGGACTAATGTTGAAGAGATATTGACCTTCGACGAGTAAATCGTTTAATACACTGCCTGGTCCCGAGGGCTCATCGCATCCTCGTGAAGTAGACACTGCCAGGTCGCCTGGAACAAACTCGATTTTTTTAGTCAAGTGCGCGTCATATGAACCGTCTGCAGCAGTCAGTCGTTTCTTCTTCTCGACCAGGTAGGAGTAGTACGACCTTTTCTCAGCTTGCAAGGTAGCGCTTCTAGTTGAGTCAATATCTTGCTTCGTTTGTCGACCACGTACTACATCAGGAAGCCGGTATTCATCTTCTTGATCTGCTGGGACACCATGAAGTAGACCATGCCTGCTTCTATCTTCCCCTGAAGATGCGACTTTTGAAGATGCTGTTTGCTGTAGTTGATGACTCGCACGAAAGCCAACGCCGCAAGATGCGACTTTTGCAGATGTTTGCTGTAGTTGACTCGCACGAAAACCAACGCCGTCGTGAACGGCTCCTCCTCCCCCTGCTGCCCAACCTGCTGGACCACCTCCTCCGCGTCCTCCACGACCTGCTCTTCTAGACCTAGTAGATCTAGAAAAGATCGTCTTCAGTTTGTATGCACACGTGTCGTATCGTTTGTCCAGTTGATCCAGTTCGCGACACATCACATGCCGAAAAACGTTCGCAAGGCGTTCCGCGTGCTCCGTTTCTGCTAGATTTAGAACTAAGAGAAATCCATCTTCCAGCGCGGCATCCTAGACCCTCTTTCCCCTTGAAAACGGTCAGTCTCTTCAGGATGTCTTCTTTCCCCTTGAAAATAAACGGTGGGTATCTATCAGGATGCTGGTGCGTGTGAAAGAAGATCAAGATGGACAACTTCATGTTGTAGCCTTAATAGATCTGCGCTACAATTTCTCCAAGAATTGCAGTCCTCGGAAGATCTCTTCTCCAAGTCCAAGGGTCTCTGGTGGTGTGGAGCAGTCACCGGACGACTGCTAGCCTCTTTGGGACCGGGAACAGGCATCGTGGTATTTAGCGGAAACGGTTTGCCTAAAAGCTGGAAGAACAAGTTACAGGATTTTTTCACCTGATTCCATCACGCTCCGGGTCCTTGTGCTTGTTCTTTAATAGTGTGAGTATTGACAGCAAAATTACAGCAGCTCCTTAGGCTCGTTCTCGTCCTGTTTCATATTCATTCCTGATCAAATAATAGGCTTATCGACCTCTCTGTCAGCACCCCGTTTTGAGAACTCCGCGGGCTTGAACAAGCTGTCAACATAAGCTGATGGTCGTAGGTAGAATAATTGTGCCAGATGATGCGCGTGGTGTGCCAACAAGAACCTTGTTTTGTTGGCTCTTATTTGTTTCCTGGTTTTGGTCACCGATGCCCCTCTAGTACGAGTACGTCTTCGCATATTAATTTTACAAGTTGTAATACTAGTACGTCAGAACCACATCGCGTATGTATGTAACATCAGACTCACAGTCACAGATGTGGGAGTCGATCACTAGGCGGAGAAGCAGGTCGTAAGCTGACATGCATACTATGGTCACGATGAACACCACAGCCACGCGTGAGATCCATAGCATCCTGTGCCTTTTACGTCAGGTAACTATAAATATGTCCACTCTGCCAACATTTTAGAACAATTTTCAGTCCTGGACAATAAACTAATTTCGGCGCGGCAAAGAAGTACCAAGAAGCGCCGAGACCATACCATGAGCAATATCCAACATCATCGCAGCTGCTATTTCCGATTTGAATAGACACAGAAGACCAAAAAAAACTCTTGCACCATTCAAGATATCTAGACTCTATGCGTACTTTATGCTACCGCGACGATACTCGGACGCTAAGCTGACCAACAAGTCAGAGCTCAGCATTTCTTCCGAAGGTGATGCCACATCCTTCGCATTTACACTGTCGCCTATGATATGCCCACTGTGTCAGAGTTGCTCCTTCAATAGGCATAGCCATCAATGAAGGACTGTACCGCATTGCCCGAACCCCAACCGTAACTTAGTGAGGGTCTGTATCACAAATTCTTTAGTTTTACGCTTCCTGTATCCGCGCTACTTTCACTCAGATCTCAACCTTATGATCATGGAACTGACAAAAAACAATTTTACTCCATGCTGTTTCCCGTGCACGAATGTACATCACGCCCTACTCGTCTATGCATCACCCCCATTCATTGTTGTTCCCCGCGCGCTTCATCAACATCAAACAACTACGCTGACGAGCACGGCTCGTGACATCTTGTCACATTTTGAATTTTCGATATCTCGTAGTTACAGAATCCCTAGCCAATGAATGCCGTCGGCATTGCTCCAGCTACTGGCCAACATGTGGCAGGTTCTGTAGCCAAGTGCATACAACGACAAACAACGCGGGCGAGGGTTGTTCTAAGCTCTAGCAGAATGGGAAAAACTATCACGGCGAATACGTCCCGCCTTGCCTGTTGGGTGCGTGCGCTTCTTTAAGTGTTCGGCGGTTATTTTCTTGAGCTTCGCAGCTCGCATACTTTATTTACTTTTACTTTTACTTTGTATTTCTTTGTAGCGCACCCCTTAAAAAACAATAGACCTGAAGTCGCAGCTTGCCAATCGAATCACGGCAAGGAAATATTTAAGTATCAACAATTATTAACAGTCTGTGCCCAGTAGCCTAGACATTAAGAAAATATCGCACGGAGTGCCCGCGTGTAAGTAAATCATAGCGAATGCGGAAGATTTTGATGGCAACAAGTTGACTAGGAGAGCCACTATGAATCAATTGGAACGAAATGGATATTACTACTATTTGCGCCTTCCTTGAATTTTATTACATCCACCTGCTGCTGGTAGTGATATGGTTCTCCGGAATAAAGAAAACAGATTAGAGAAAAATTCCAAATTTATAGAATTAGAGCAGACGGCTCGGTATTGCAGCTAAGGAGTCACTTAGTTACCCAAGCCCCGCATAGCATCCAAGAGTTCTTGCTGCTTTGCAAACCGCAAGAAGATTTGCTCAAGTGTGGGCTCACCAAGAGAAAAGTCCTCCACCATGCCCATCGAGTCCGTAAGGCACCATTCAAAAATGGGGCTCAGAACGCGCAAGGGAGCCGCGTTTTCAGCTGCCTTTTGAGCCTGAGATGTTCGTTGAAGTGACCGAGTGGGTGAATTGGCGCCTAGTACAGTCAGGAGGCGTTACAGCTCTCAAGAGAGTAGAAACGAGACGAAATAATGGCACAAGTGCAAGTCACGCGAAAAGTCCGAGAGTCATTGCCATTCTACAAGGGAAAGGTGGAAATCAATGCAAATAAATCGTCTACCAGCTAGGCCTACCATAAACAGTGATGATAAACAACAAACATGACGAAGTCTTCATGATTATACCGCTGCAGGATTAGCCGCCTCTTGATCGACGCCGATCCCGAGCACCAGACGACCGCGACCTCCACCGAAGGGCATCTTCTCGAGAGTGGTGATTGACAGCCCGCCTTGGCCTCCGCCGACGTTGACCCCGCGAGATTGCAGGAAGTTCTGAATCGACTGCACGAGCGGCCTCGAACTCGCGTCTTCCTGAATAAGATGAGACATGCCGGCACTGCGAGCGTTCATCACAATATTCCCATAGCTGGACCGCCGACGGCTTCCGTTGCCTGATAAGGGGAGAAGTAAAAATGTCGAATCATGCAAAAAAAAACTTCTCACCGCACAATGTCAACGTCGCACAAAATACCTTAGCAATCGACAATACGGTAAAAGTAGTGGGCGATCGAATATCATTCAAACATTCTCCAGGAGAGAAACCACTGCTCATTCCCGTTGACAGGCACACGTGACCGGTTCTGCTCAATCTCTCATATTTAGGCCCACTGTGGGATCATGCTTCTGCATCAAGAAGCCGACTGCACTTTTTGTACTATGTATAAATATGTCGTCCATAACTGTTCTATGGGTCGTGTCATTTGATGCCAAATAAATGCTGGATAAAAGATATTCAAGAGAAAAAGACATAATGTACTAGCAGCCGGCCCCTCTTCCTCATCGGCAAAGATGGCATCAGCGTTGCGCAGGATCAGTTCCAGGTGGAATCCGCTTCCGTAGACCTGCTTAATTCGTGCAGTACTGCCGAAGCACTGCAGGCGACCGCCAACCAAAATGGCGAGTTTGTCGCAGGTCGAGTCAGCCTCCACCATCGAATGCGTCGTCGACACAATAGTCTGACCCAACGGGCGGTCGATCAGTTTCGTCCACAACGCACGCTGCGCGACAATGTCAACCTAAAGAAGGGCTTTGTCTATAAAGATGAAGAAAGCGGTGTGAATGAAAATTTGAATTTGAATGGAGTCCACGACTCCTCATTAGCATTCTCTACTGCAACTGCTTTTTCAAAAAGAAAAATGACAAAAACGCGTCAATGTCGAAGGAGCGAGCGTGTTGAATGTTGAAGACGAGCAGCAATATTAGTGGCAACCATTCAAACACTACGAGTACTAAGTAGCTCAAAAATTTTAGAAAATTTGACAAGGAAAAAGATATTGTTCAGAGGTTCTTGAGAATATGTAGGTACCCCTGCAGACATTTCGTCGAAGAAGACGAGTTCCGGATCAGTGATGAGAGTGAAGGCCACTGATAGCTTGCGCTTCATTCCGCCAGAGTAGCCTCCAGATGGTCGCTTCGCGTCCTCTGCAGAGAGCGATACCTCGCGCAGGAAGCGTTGAATGCGCTTTTCCCCCCAGTCACCTTCACGACCCATGAGAGTCTCGTTCTCGCCGCCAGTGGCTCCACTTGGAGGGTAGTACTGGCCGCAGAGCCGCGCGTAGAGCCGCAGGTGCCCTTCTGCAGTCACCTTGGGCCAGATCTTGTCGAACTGAGGACATAAACCCATGATCTGGTAACCGTGCTCGAACTGCGTGTCCACCTGCTCGGTTCCGTCCACCACGATGGCCCCCGTGTCAGGTGGACCGATATTCAGGTCGCCACTCAGCATATTGAACAGCGTCGTCTTACCGGCACCGTTTGGCCCCAACAAACCGAAGGACTCGCCTTTCTTCACGCCAAACGACACTCCGGCCGTCGCCCAGAACGGGTTCTTACGCGAATCGTAGAAGCGCTTACGCACATCCTGCACATACACCTTGTCGGCATCATCCCCAGCCATCTGCTGCGCACCACCGGGGACGGGCATTTGACTGCCCGAGCGCAGCGCCATCACCCGCTGCTCCTCCACCTTCACATCGCCGTCGCGAGACATGTCGTCCACAACCTGCGGAAGCTCTCCCCGCGTGATGGCCTTGCGCCCGCGCTTACAGCTGTCGCAGGAGAAGGAGAGGAAAAAGAGCACTGTCACGAACAAGAGGTTCCAAAAGGGTGCCCAGACCAACATCCATGCCATGGGCCGGAAAAAATTGTCGGATCGGCATCCTTTCGACTCACCGAGGTGTTCCGGGTACACGCGCCAGAGCGTCTCGTTATCCAGAAGCGTCTCCACCTCTTGTGGCATCGTTCCGAATAAGTACCAGCTGGCTGGCCACGAGCGAGTGGGCAAATCCGCCAGATCAATCCCCAGCTCCTGCTTCATCGCGCCCCGGATCATTTCGCGCTCCTCCTGCGACATTGTCTCGAGAATCTTAAACAGGTTCTTGAAGTTCTCCGTCTTAAGCGCGTGTTCGAGCATGACTACAAAGACGCTCTGTATCTTATACTGGTTGAAAATGTGTCGCATCGCGGCATCGATAGCGACCCCGGGAAAGAGCAAAGACAGAAACAGCGAAATGGTCGACAACACCCACGCCATGCTGTACTTGATCTGAATTTCTTGCCCAGTGAAAGCCTTTTTGCACAGAAAGTCTTTCTGCCGTTCAAAACGTCGTGACTTAGCGGCGCTCACCTTGGCACGAAGCTCCTTCAGCATCTGCTGCACACGGCTGCTCCCTCCTGCTGCGGGCTGTTGCGCGAAGGACACTCCCGGTGTCGACCCGACGACGACGACGTCTGGATTTTGATCTTCGGCAACGATATCACTCTCTTCATACGAGGCATCCGAAGAGATCCTGGTCCTGGCCATTGCGCCATCGAACGCCATCTCCCAGTGCTGGAGACCCGCCGAGCCCGACGACATAGACATGAACGTCGAGGCCGTAGTAGTTATTTGTTCCTGTTCTCGGTGCAAAGTCGTCGGAGGGGCTGCTCCTGTTGCGTTCTCGAATATCGATGTCGAACTCTCCTCTACGAAGGAGCTGCGGGTTGATGAAAATTCCTCGGGAGTTTGCGACGGCAGATCTTCCGCTTTCAGCTCGGACACAACCTTGCCAAGGGTCATGCTGAAAAGCGGTACCGCGAAACCCAAAATGGCGAAAGTGCTTCGCCCGCCCTTGCCAAAAACCTTCCCGAAAAGCATAGCCCACAAAATAGTTGAAGGAATCATACACAGGAAAACAAAAATTACAGCAAGCATCGCTGTACCGCGGAAAACCTCGACAAGCGAGACAAAGAGGATGAGCAGCGGGAGCCAAACCAATAGTGAGTGCGAGAGAACAAAGCTGCAAAAGTTCGCCAAATGATAAGCGCCAGGTGAGAGGCCGTGCATCAACATGTGCTGCAGAATCCCCTCCTCGCGCTCGCGTCCCAGAATGTCCGCTGTGCTGTCGATGCCCGCTAGCTGCATGATCGCCGGAAAAACCACTGCGCCAATCCCCACAGCCAGGACGTTGGCAAAGAATTCCACCCCCGAGAGGGGCTGATCGTCCACCGGTGCCTGATTCATCTTGTTGAAGGCGATAATGGTGACCAGCATGAACAAGTGGAAGAGCCCGACCATCACGTAGGTACGGATGTCCGGCAGCAGCTGTTCCGCCATTCGGAAGCGAAACAACGCAGAAAACTGTGCACGAAACTCCAGACGCCTTGGCCGCAGCTGCAGCGGTAAGCCCGAGCTGGTGTCCTCCCCAGGCGTCGCCGGCGACTCGAAAGTGCCGTCAAACTCATCTGGATCATGCTCGTCTCCCCGATGCGCGCGCTCTCCAACCGTAGAGAACACTTCCTCCAGCGTCGTCATCTCGAGCGTAGCGCGCAGACGCGTATCCGGTTCCAGCTGGGCGAGGATCTTCGGGATACACGAGGCCTTGGCCCACGGGATCGAGAAGGAAAGAAAATGCGGCGCCATGCGGGGGTTGCTCACGAAAAGCTTGCGCTTCCCCAGCTCGCGATGCTGCCCACCATTTTCCGCGGCCATAGCATCCAGCAAGTCGGTGCCCTTCGCAAGCTTCTCGCGGTAGACCAACTGTACATCGCCACCATTGCGCGGCGTCACATCACCACCAGATACCGACGGACCGCGCACCGCTGCGCTCGCCAACTGCATGGCAACCACGTTGCGCCCGACTTCATTCTCCAGTAACGCCACGGCAGTTCCATCGTCAGGCACTACTTCGGGTTTCACCGCGACGTGCAACCAGTAGCCGACGCCCCACTGCCGCTTCAGCTCCGCGCTCGTACCCAATGCCATCACACGCCCGGCGCTCAGAATCACCTTGCGCTGGGCCAACAAATCTGCTTCCTCGAGGTAATGCGTGGAGAAGACCACAGCGCGATTCTCCTGCTTCACCACCCGCTTCAGCATTTGCCAAAAGTCGCGTCGTGCCTGCGGGTCCATGCCAGAAGTGGGCTCATCCATCAGCACCAGCGGCGTTTTTCCTAGCAGAGAGCAAAGAACCCACAAACGGCGCTTCTGTCCACCGGAGAGTTCTTCACACAGTCCGTCGAGCTTGCGACGCAATCCAAGGCCCGCAGCGTACTCTTCGATCTTGGCGTTGATCTCCCCATCATCGCGAGTAGGATCTCGCAGCTTCGCAAACATTGTGGCGTGTGCTCGTAGCGTGAAGCCATCCCAAAAGGGGTTCACTTGTGGGCACAAGGAAACTCGCTGCTGCACCGCGCCGGCGAAAATGAAGGAAAATCACAAGGCAACTCACACTCGGATAGGGTAGAAGAGTCAACATGAGCCTGAGAATCCTTCTCACGCTTGCATGTGAGGAAAACAGGATCTGGCTCAAGACTGAACCACTGTTCCTTCAAAAGCGTGCACTAAGATCAGTCGACACTAGGAGTATTAAACGAGGAGTTCCATTTGTACCTAGAAACGGAACACTAACAATTATCGCTAAAGAAGTATTCATCTCTCCATAAGATCAGACCGAATGCTTTTCCCGTCCACCCACGCGTCTCCATCCGTGCATGGGATCATACCCACAATTTGCGAAACCATCGTCGTTTTCCCCGCGCCGTTGTGTCCCAAGAGGCCGAAAATTTCGCCACGCTTCACTGCGAAGGAGATCTTGTCGTTCGCGAGCGATTTCTTGCCGGCAAAGCTCTTCGTGAGATTGTGCAGCACGAGGGCGTATTTCTCAGGCTCTGCAACCGCATCCGCTGGGAGAAGCCTCTCGTCATCCATTGCTGCCGGAAGCATTGGGTGCGCCGCCGGGGCGCTGGTCGTGGCGACATCCCCCCGCTCCGCTGACATGCGACGGCTCTGGCGCCACACGAGCATCACAAACCAGAAAACCACGTTAAGAAAGATGCCAATGTAGTCAATGATGACCGTGAACTTGTACTCCCCAGAATTTTCCCACATTTTGTCGGCGCCGATGTTGCGCATTACCTTCGCCAGTTCTTGGTCCAGATTGCCCGCTTGACCAAGCGGTCCGGGCGGTTGCAGTGTTCCGGTGGCCGCACACCAGTACACCGAGTAGGAATCGGTGCCCTTGGCGGAAAATGGACTCGGGTCGCTACGGCCGCTATTTGCGCCGCTTACTGTGGCAGAACTCGGGTTCTCGTTGTTCTTATTGGTTTTCGCAAGTCCATAGTTAAAAGCCAGCCAAATGGCGTAGTAGGACTGCATTCCGCGCGTGAGAATGCGCATGGTCCCGTATCCGGGAATGAGTGTCCCGAGAATACCATTCGCGATCATGTTGATCCCGCCCAGCTTGGTAGACGGACACTCCGTTTTGGCCGCAGCCGTGTCGGCAATAGTCTGCAGTACCGTCGCCCACATACTTCCGCGGGACGGGAAGATCAAATCCAAAGCGAAGGATAGAGCGATTCCGAGGGAGGAACCCAGAACGGCTACAGAGTTGACCATGCTCTGAAACTTTTCGCGCGTGGGCGCTTCGACAGCGAAGGTCGCCGAAACCAGCAAAGCACTGAAGACCGGGAAAAGAAAGGCCAAGCAGGGCAGAAATTTACCCTCCGCGTACAGCGCATGGTTTGTTTTTGCGTCACGGTTCACCCAGGTGTCAGTATACATGACCACGCCGATACCACCGATAAGCGCGAATGGAATGAAAATGAGGTACCAAAACAAGAAGTGCGCAGACCAGTATACGCTGCGCTTCACTCCGTACACAAGCTGCATGTTCATCATCCCAGACTCGACTTCTGCGTAGGTTCTCTCGGAGACCACCGAGTGAACGAGGCGCATGGGAAGAACTGACGCTAGCAGCCCGGAGAAAATCATCGTCGAAGAAAACCACAAAAAAGGGGTCAACCGGAAGGAACTTTCTCTCTCCCGAATGATGGCACCATAGAAGCTGTTGGTAGTTATGCGACGCTCCCATTCATACCAATCATGTTGCTGGTTGAAAAGGCTTTTATCGAGAATCAACCATAATACGGACAGGAAACCGAAAAGCACCATGAGGATGCCGGGATAAAATAGCCTAATGCACCCGCCACAACTGCAGCCAAGGTTGGTGCGGCAGTTTTTCGCGAATAGCAAACTGAAGTGCCCCATTTTCAAGAATCTAATGATAACTTCGTAACAAGAAATGAAAGAACCAAACGATAAAATACAACTCAGCGTCTATGTAGAATTAAGTACTAAGAAATGGCTTCGAAAAGTAACTAGGCGAGTCACTCTTTGCGAATTACACAGCAGCTTTGGCTTTCTTGCATATTTACTTTTTCTAAGAGTTCAAATACTCACTGGATCGGATCTTGTCTAAGGTAAGGGTATGCGTGCGTAAGCGTGATCAAAGTGGTTAGTGTGATGGAATGAAAATGAATGAATGAATGAATGTGCCTAACAAGAGGTATGTGCCTAAGAACTCGTCTTTTTTATCTTAAGCTTGAACTGGAACTAATCGAACTTGCTGGACTTTGCTTCTAAAACCTTTAATTAAGAGACACTATGGATCAGGAGAGGATTTGAGTTTACGTTAGTCACAGGCTGGCTAGGTTTGGGTGGTTAAAAAAAATCCTACTTCTTCGTGTTCGAATGTAATTATAAGACAAAAATAGGGATATTTGGGATCGATGAATCAATTGAGTTTTAGGGGAAATGCGCAGTTTCTTGATAACACTTCTTGTAACTACAGGAAGTCTTCACTTTTGGCGTCGCTGAATTATATCGATCAGTTTTTTGGACATTCGGGAATATTCGATGTAGCACCCAAAAAGTATCCATTCCGCGTCAACAATGATCTAGAGCTTCAAAATCGAAACATCTGCTAAACAACAAGAATTGCTCCAAGTGAAACACTTCACATTTTTAGAACCTAGATACTAGGTAATCACAAGCTCAAACGCTCACAGTACAGACAAACCAAGCTCACAGTACAGACTCGACACCATGATCGCACAGGTCAGCACCTCAGAGCGTTCATTATCACTCATTTGACAGAGAGGCCTCTCACTCGCAGAGTCAAGAATATCCCTATACATAGTCCTCGAGGTGCCCAGATGTTTCTCAACAATCACAGAATCAATGAATCTCATTTCCAGATATCTCTCAACACACCAAGCCAGTCTTATGCCGAGATGTCCCTCAGCATTCAAACACAGCCCGAATTCGTATCATGTCATAGGATGACCTACTACAGCTCTTTTTCACAGACTATGAAGTTACAGAATGGAGAGTTATATCTAGCATGGATGACCACCATGGAAATTCAGCAATCGTTGTTACACATCGCCACCGATGAAAAGTCAGCAGACTACTCTCTGAATGGCGTCGAGTTCGCTGTATGTCAGGTCTCTTCCCGCCGAACATCTTCGAGTAGAAGGTAACGCCGCGTCACCTCTTCTTCTTTTGACGTCAGCTTCGGGTCTGGTTTCCGCATTCCATTTATTTTGACCGGAGTGAATGTGCGATGATGTGGTGTAGAACAAGTAGACTCCTGTCATCAGCGCCGTAGGTTTTTATAGGAGTACAGCAAGCCATAGGCATGAGAACCAGCCGAGCACAAATTATATACACTTGATATATACACTTACACACTACTAGACAGAGACAGTCCAAACACGCGACCCCCTTTTTGGCTTGATGGTGGAAAGACGATCTGCTGCGATCTGTTGTTGAAGATGATGATGATCCTAAATATTCCAGTAGTTTTCGATGGAGTTGGAGTGCAGGAGTTTCTTTCTATGCATAGAAACTTCCGACAAAAAATGAAGATGGTTGTAGGAGGTGTAACCGTCATGATCATGTCCCTGTCGCGTTAATATGTAACTACCACACTCAACACGACCCTATTGCACTTTCTAATTCTACTAAAGTAAGTAGATGACTCTTCCTTTTGAGACGACGAGTGTAAGTATCATCTCGACTGATTGTTCTCAGTTCGTTGACACTTTCTGCATCTTGATCATCCTCCTCCACGTCGCTTCCTCCAAACACAGCTTCCTCGCACATCCATAAGTAGAGGAAGCCGTCTGGCGATTTCGACGTTTCGTAGAGGTCTTTGAGCGCTTTAGACAATACTGGAGACTGTCGGTTTTTCAGAAGAAAATAGAGCGAAAGCTTGGCCGTTTCTTTGTGCCTCTGCTCCGGATGCTCTTCCGCTATCTGCTGCTTCAAAACCACCGAAAACTGCGCTAGGGAAAATGAAAGGACGAGATCGGGGTATTTTTTGAACGGAGTGGGTGAGACTTGCACTTGGATGAAGACTCTCGTCTGAAGTTTGAAGAAGATTGAGTATCAACACGGTCGTGTTGCGCTTCTTGAAAAAATACTGTTATGTTGAAGGAATAGTATTTTCTTGACTGTCTATAGAGAAATATGGAGTATGAATTAGATTGTAGAGGCTATTCAACTTCACTAACCTCGCATTTATTAGAAAAACTAATCTTAATCGCACACACTTTTTTTGTAGTTTGCTTTTGGCATCAAAAGTCTTCTACAACTTTTAGTTGAAGGTCCACCGCATGCGCATAAAGTCATGATTCCTGGAACGAGAAACTTTTTCTTGTTCAATGTCGGAAGCTGCGACGATCCTTTGTCGGACAGCTTTCGCTCGCACACTAGTGGTATTCTCGTAGGAAATTTCTCCACAATGCGCGCTGCTTCAGCGGCTCGAATTTCGAAAGGCACTTCTTGTTCATACAAGAATGGTCCACCTCTGGAAGCGGACGAGGCATGCTCTTGTTCATCTTGCTCGTATGGTCCACCTCTGGAAGCGGACGAGGCATGCTGAACAAGGTCGCTCTCGGCGGCCTCCCGCTGTGTTGACAACATGAATGGTGCTGGTATTTGGTATAGCCTGATTTTGATCATGAGGAAAACAAGAAGGGAATACTTGTGATCGAATTCAGGTTACCAAATACTAGAACCGTACACAAGTCGTCCTGCGATTTCGCGACGAACTGAGATAAAAACATGGTGGTCAGGAAAGCGAGAGGAGGAGAAGTGTCTGCCAATCTCGATCTACTGCCTAGTATAATGGAATACTAAATCCTGTTCTGCCTGTCGTCCTCGCAAAACAAGACGTAGAAGTAGATGTAGATAGAAGAAGTTGTTCTCCCTCCCTGTTCGAGTAGCAGCAGTTCTAGTTTTGCTTGTTTTCGTCAACTACAAGGCCTTGTCCACCTCGTTAGAAGCGTAGATATGCGACATTGACATTGGCCTCGTTCATCTCCTTCAATTGAAAACTGCAGGAGTAACTGCTTGAATAAATTGTATAACTGCTTGAATATGAAAGACCACTATGCCACCCTCTGCATGAAGATTTACATGCACTAGAAGAATGTGACGAAGACGAGCAACATCCTCGAGTAGTTATAATGATTGAGGGATATGGACTCTTCAAGTGACTTCACGATGTTGAGGACGTGAAATGAAAGTTACCTTAATCACGCGTAAGTACATAGATTCAAACAACGGTATGGACATCGATCATCACGCGATACTAGATGAAGCAGGCATCAAAGCAGTGACTGTATAGTATTCCGCGAAAACTTGACTACTTAATCAACAGCAAATCAATCGTGATGATGAGACTTCTGCTTATCCGTTGCATGAAGAACTGGTGCAACTGCAGGATTATAACCTTGCCTGGGCATCCTCTAATGTTATTACAATCTGTCACCGACATTTTATTCGGGTGGGCTTGCTGGGGTAGTTGTTAGGACGAGACGGTCTTGTTGGACGGTTGAAGTTGATGTACCGAGAAAAGTTCACTTCCCTCCTGAGAAATATGCTTTCACGACCGTCTAACCGACAATGACAACAGGCGCGACACTCAATTGATGTTGTCTGAGTCTGAGTGGGATTTGAACAAATATACAACTTGATGTTGCGGTGTCGAATTCATGTAACACAACTATCGGGAAGAAGTTCTTCTTCTTGTACTTGGTACGGCTGCGGGAGTAGATCACCTACTGTTGGTGTAGCCCTCATGATTTAATAGTTCTACTTGTAACGTCAAATTCTTGTGTGAGTACTTCGATCCATGCGATGATACTGCATGACATGATCTATTGATAATTCTAGCTATATTCTCGAGCACGGGCGATCACAAAGCGGAATCTCTACTATCTCCTTCAGGTGTCAACTGAAATTGAAACAAGTACTAGCTGTTCCCCGACAACATCTTCTACTGACAAGGAGTCCACTTCTATGAGTTATAGAAGAACTTAATTCTAGACAATATCTACTTCTATAAGTTATAGAAGACGACAATATCTACTGACAAGAAATAATTTTATAGTTCATCATCCTCTTGTTCTTGCACTAACAATGTTTTGAACCGAAGAAGACCAATGCACTATGAAGCTCCTGCTGCTGCCGCAACCTTCTGTTCGGCCTCAAGTTTTTTCTGGTTTTCTTCCGCAGCTGCCTTGTTGAAGACTTGCGCAAAGTAGTCTAGTGGAATCGACACGGTGGCACGCCGAAGGTAAATATGCTGCGAGTAGCCGTGGAACTTGAGCTCATGCTCAATTACGAACTCGAAAGGGGGCAGCAGCTGCAAAAATCTCTCTACGGCAGAGGAGACTGCAGGCACACCCCAGATCTTGTCCAGCTTGGCGTCTTGGACAATCAGATAACTGTTCAACGAAACATAAGGCGCGTAGTAAATCAGCTCCCGGAGTAGACCCAGATACTCGTGGTTCGCGTCCAGGTTCACCTGGAGAAGAAAGAAGATGACACGAAGAAGAACAAGAAGAAGTAAAAAAGCAGAAGTTTCTTGAAATTGGATTGAGTCAGGCACTGTTCGACACATATTCTCGACCAGTAGATTGTTAAACAATGGTCTATGATCCATCAGCGGGGTTTTTTGGTCTCTTGTCAGCTAAGGTCCCTGGGGCGCTATTCACTGAGTGTACGCAACAGCGAGGAGGTCTTACAGTGGTTACGCGAGCCAGATACTCGTCGTGGTTCGCGTGGTCCAGAAGATGACACTAAGAACAAGAAGTGAAAAAATTACCGAATCATCAAAACGACTACTTAAGACGGGTCGACCCGCCTGAGCTCTGTGCAGAGCTTAGTCTCAGTACGATTACGACTTTGTTGCTGGCGCCAGTGGGAACTAGAGCGGGAGCGCTTTCGCTTTGTGCTGACGATCCGTCTGCAACTGGTGCTGGCTTCTGGCATTAGATGGATTTGCTGGGCGATCTAAAAAATGCCAAACAAGGACACATCAACATCTCATTTCATTTTTTCTGTAATAATGAAATATTAAAGAGCTAAAAAAAAATTCTACAACAATCCCGCCAAACTCTCACACTCCCACTTCCAAACCCCAAACCCATGAACATATCTTATGAACTTACGAACTTATGAATTTATGAATTTGTGAACTTATGAACTTATGAGCTTATGAATTTAATTTATGAATTTATGAATTTAGGAATTTACGAATTTATGAATTTGCGAGTTTATGAATTTAGGAATTTAAGAACTTACGAATTTATGCATTTATGTATTTACGTATTTATGAATTTAAATTCCAGGGCAGGCGCTTAAAATCAAAAATTTTGGGATATTGCCCCTTCGTACTCGCAGAATTCAACCCCCGAGAAGAGTTATAAAAAAAATTCTACAACAATCCCACCAAACTCTCACCCTCCCACTTCCAAACCCCAAACCCATGAACTTACGAAGTTGCGAATTTATGAATTTAAGAATTTAAGAATTTAAGAATTTAGGAATTTAGGAATTTAGGAATTTAGGAATTTAGGAATTTAGGAATTTAGGAATTTATGAAGTTACGAATTTACGAATTTACGAATTTAGGAACTTAAGAACTTAGGAATTTATGCATTTATGTATTTAGGTATTTAAGAGCTTAGGAATTTATGCATTTATGTATTTAGGTATTTATGAATTTAAATTCCAGGGCAAGCGCTTAAAATCAAAAATTTTGGGATATTGCCCCTTCGTACTCGCAGAATTCAATCCCAAAGCGACGAAAAAAAGCAAAAAATTTGCGAAATTTGAAAAACACGAACGCAAGAAAATGAATTTGAGGGAAAGGGCTTGAAGCCAAAAGCTTTGGGGTCTTGGCAGTTCACAATCGCAGAACCCAACCCCAAAACTACGCAAAAAACGCGGAAAATTTTCGAAATTTGAAAAACGCGAAGCCAAGGGGTTGAATCTCAGGGCAAGGGCTTAAAATCAAAAATTTTGGGGCTTTAGCACTTCAAACGCACAGAATTCAACCCCAAAACGGCGACAAAATGTGGAAAATTTTCGAAATTTAAAAAATGCAAATCCAAGGGATTGAATCTCAGAGAAAGAGCCGAAAGTCAAAAGCTTTGGGATCTTAGCACCTCAAACGCACGAGATTCAATCCCCAAACGAAGACAAAACGTGGAAAATTTTCGAAATTTGAAAGGCGCGCATCAGTTACATCTTTGCCGTGCTTAGTTTCTTATTTTGGGGAGGAGGGGGATCCTAGTGGGAGGGATGTTATCGGACGCTCCAAGCTAGTAGCAATAGGTGGAAGAGAGTGAAGTAACACGATGGAGCAATCTGTTGCGAAGTCGTCTAAGCTGGCGCCAGTGGGAACTAGAGCGCTTTCGCTTTGTGCTGGCGATATATATTAGATCTCATATAATTTAGGAAACAATAAAGGAAATTGGAAAAGGACGAATAATGGCAATGTTGACATTCGCCTTGATATTGACAATTACAACTAGAATGAGGCTCGGTGGGGTTATGGTTGGCGGTATACTAAAAACATAGTATGCCCCGCATTTTCTCCAGGATGCTGCCCGGCGATGGTGGGAGTGCATTAACCTCCTGCACTTAACGCTACTTACATAATTTGCACCATCGATTTCAAAATGATCGAAACTAAGAGTTTGCAGACAGCAGTCTCGGAACGGAGCCTCGTCCTCGGTCCTCCAGTTCCACAATATAAACAGAAAGCGACCAAGCTGATGCCCTAACTTATTGCCTCGAAGTCGTAGCCTATATCTGCCATGTGGTGTAGCACTTCAGTATGAGTTTCGTCCGAGTCTGCTAGTCCTTGGATAAAGCGTACTTTCAGGTCCCATTCTCTTGTTTCGTAGGCTCTCCTGCAATCGAGACATACTGGACAAAACCAGTTTGCCGCAAAGACCATACGTTAGACGGACCAACAAGTGACTGCCCATCTCTTAGAACATGACGTCGTCTTTTGTTAGCTGTAGTCCTAGTCTCCAAGAACAAGAAGTAGATGAAACTAGCTAAGAGATGGCGTAAGAGCTGGGTCCTCGTTAACCACGTCCACGTTGCCCTTAAATATGAGGATGATGTTTGTCGACTGATATCACTGCAGTGTTCCGCTTTTCAGCTCCAAATGCTTCCTCCTCCCGATCTATGATCTCCGGATCTTAGAAGCGATCAATATCCTATCAATATCACTAATGTCGATGTCCAACTTCTAGCCAACGACCATCTTCATTCTGATACTGATTCTTTATTTCCACGCTTTACAGCATCTAAACGTCCATATTAAATCCTGAACATCACACCTCCATGGAGGAAGATACTCGATGGAGTGGATCACGACCCACGACCGTCTCATAAAATAGATTCGCAAAGAAGAACGTCAGACCGCCCTTGTACGTGCCCGTTTCGATGATGATGTCTGGCTTTCGCATGTACACGATGTGCTGGAGGTACATGAGATCTTGGCTATCCTGCAACACTTGCACGCCCAACCATCGACCGTTGCAAAACATAGAATATTTCTCAAACAACTCGTCATAGCTGGAGTGGAGAGAAGTAACTTCAGTAATTGTGATCTTCATGTAGATTGCCTTTTTTCCTTGTTCCGTTCAACCTAACACAGATGAAAGTAGTAACCAAGAATGATCCGAGAATACAAGTCTGTCAGAAGACCTAAGCCAACTGCGCTTAGTGGTTTAGGCGTTGACCTGGTGTACACTTATCAGTTTGAGATGAAAGTAGTAACCAAGTAGATAGAAGCCAAGAATGAAAGGGAGTACTCGTCAAGCACTTTGATTTCTGCGTCGTCTAACATGACCATGCTACTCATGTTGACGATGCTCTTGATCCCACTGTTCTTCGGTTCGTCTGGTGGTCGCACTAGTGAAATTTTGAAGCCGTCAGCAAGGGAAGCAGAGTATGACAGGGAAGAGCACACTGGCACTCAGAATTTATTAGGCTCCTTTTCTCGTTGAAAAGGGGCGCTTTTTATTTGAGTATTCGAAAAACTGAAATAAGCGAGTAACTACTTATAATAAGGGAGATACTAAAAGAAGAGGAATGTAGTCAAATCTCTTGTATTTCAGTCAGTACCTCGGTTATTTTCAGTTTTCGAGTACTATGAGTGTGATTCTTCTCTTCATACAAAGTCCGTCCTCTCCATTTCCGGATTGCCCATTACAGATTTCATGTCCCACTGCTTCTCTTCGGAGGCCATCGCAAAGACTATGCTAGAGGTTGATGTCCGGTTCTGGCAGGATGTTGCCCTCTCAAGTTCTTGTGAATGTGAATTAGAGCTCAAATAAACGTTTCGGTTTCATTTCTTGCCTGCATTTTTTCAGAATCCCATAACTTGTAGAAAATTGCGAGAAATGACTTGTAGAAATGAAATGTTTTGAGCCGTAAGTGAACAGCGGCTTGTGCTAGAGTCTAGTATACAACTCATTGCGCTGTTTGTAGAAGTCGAGCTAGTTGTAGAGGTTCTCCTAGTAGAGGCGTTTGAAGACTTGCGCAACGTGTAGTCCTCTCGGTCTCCGGAGAGAAGACATGATCCAGTTGTTCTCTCGTACTCGGCAAAATCCTCCACAGGACTGGTGCTACATGTTGTACTAGTATAATAGCGCCACATGATCCATCTTCGTACATCATCGAAGTCGAAGTCACCGAGCTGAAAGAATAGGGTCGCCGCTAGAACGCCCAGTGCCCTTGATGACGGAATCATGTTCATGTTGTAGTTGGCGCTAGTAAAGTTCATCCTGCCAGATGCTCTTGAGGCTCCTCCCGAGGTCCGCGACCCCTCTGCAGCCATGGAAGACGCGACTCTCGCTGTCGAGCACCTCATTTCGGATCGCAGGAACAAACAGCGGTTGAGTCTGAAGCAGGCGAGATGGAACGACGTCAAGGGAAGCAAACACCCCGCAGCTTTTTGCTGCTTGTTGAAAGTTTCAACTGAAGAATTATGAGGTAGTAGATGAGGTCCTTGTCGTCCCGTAGCGCGGGAAATTGGAAGGGTCGCTCCGCACTCCTCGTCCTCTCGCTCTCTCAGCCAGCTACTTATAATGCCTTGGTCCCCACGATAGATATCACAGCAGCTCTACTTCTTGTAACATTTGATCACGATGAACTTGAACAACGGCCTCTACTGGTACGACTAGACCGAAAAATTCCGTTCAACAAGTTGGATCTCCTTGTTCATGATCATGCCTTTCTCAATTGAGGAAGATTCACGCAAGTTGTACTAGCTGCGATCGATAGCTCAACAACACTGTGATGTAGATAACAGGGAAAACAAATAGTACAGAGAACAAGAACGCGCCAGCAAACTGCCGCGGCGAGAAAGGGTCCTCGACGTCACATACAAATCCTTCTAATTCACCAAGAATTTTTTTTTGCTGCGTCATGATGTCCTTTCCATTAGCACACGACAAATGATTTGTCTGGGGATTATAGCTGAGTTTGGGGATATGTATCGATGGTTTCACGGATGATCGACTAGTTCTAGTTGTTGTCTCCGTATTTCTGCATATTTCTATCCTAGTAACGCGCATGCAGGGTGTGGTACGTAAGATCATTACCTCATTGTCATTCAACTCTCATGATAATATGCACACAAACACATTCTCAAATGCTGTGCTTGATAACGGAGACGAGACGACGGAATTATTGGTATGAAATGCACTGTGCTTTTATTTCATCTTGGTGATGGTGATAACTGACTGTAGTACTTGCTCTACTCGTCTGCTGTGATTTGACTATCATAATCATTATTCTCGAGATGAATTATGATGGATTCTAGTACGCTAGTTGATGTAATGGATTTCGATTGAAATGTTGGTCTCTTTCAAGAACGTCTATAACAACATGAACATTCATGTCTTTAAACATGACGATCGCTAACGGGGGCAGGATGATCGAGCCCGTTGATTTGTTCTACAACTCTATACAACGAATTTTTACAGTCTACTTCACTGCTTAGATTAAAGCGCGGCACTCAATGGTCACTGATGCTGAACTGAAGCGACCCCCTTCAAAGCTCTCCCCTTTCCCTTCCTTTTCCCCTCATCTTTCCTCTCAAGGGGAAGTCGCTTCTTCGATCTCCGTGACCCCAATCTCAATGACCATTGAAAGCTGAGCCTTAATTAGAACATGTTATTGACCGCACTGCGCCCAATGTTGTTGACCTGGCAGTATTTCGTGCCGCGACTGTACTTCCCGAGTGGAATCAGCGTATACTTACCAGGAGGCGGCGTCCAGTTCTTGTTTCGGACCTGTTGTAGTTCACGTTGAACGTGTTCATCATGTTCTTCTCGAAAAGAATTTATTAGGTGATTGATTATAGCAGATTAATATATTCAATTTCTGATCAACATAATGTAGTAGATGAATGTTGAGAAAATTATTTAGTAGAAGCAAGTACCGTCTGATCGATGAAGTTAGCTGCCTTCTCGCGTGGGAACGATGAGTCTTTCACTCTGAAATCCTGCGACTTGTAGTTTATTGAATAGTGGTTAGGCGCCAGCGTAGGCTTGGCCTTTTCCTTTCTTGATACGGTCGCTGCCTTGGTCCACGCCAATGCCGGTATATGTGGTTCCAGCATGTTTCGCGCGACCTGCTCGGTGGAATTATTTTTTGGGATTGGAAAGATGAAGCGGATTCGTATTCGAGGCAACTACTGAGTACTTGTTCAACAAACAGGTTAGAGGTCTTGTTCCTTCTTTTAAAGCTCAGCCTTCAATGGTCACTGACTCTGAACGGAAGGAACCCTTCAAAGCTCTCCCCTTTCCCTTCGTTTTCCCCTCATCTTTCCTCAAGGGGTCGCCTCTTCGATCTCAGTGACCCCAATCTCAATGGTGACCATTGAAAGCTGAGCCTTAATTCTCAAACAGGTTTTTAGAGGTCTTGTTCCTTCTTCTTTCACAAAAAAAAAGTAGTAGAAGAAATACCACTCCCGGTTTGATTGCAGCATATTTGGATGCATTTGGTCCTGGTGGTCCGCCCTTTCCTATCTTATCAAGGAACGTCTCTTTTTTGCCCTTCGCTATAAATCCTAAAGGCGCTCGCTTCATGTCGCTCAAATTCGCCTTGCAACTGTTTACATTCTTTACGTTTACCTGGTCGTGAAGGCGATAATGTGAGTTGTTGTTTTCTTGCAATTTTGATGTTTACACTCATCTTCTACTTTAAATGTTTACATCCTCTTGTACTTGTTGTTGTTCGTGGAGATTTGAAAGTAGATGTCACGACGGTGAGTTCTTTTTGTTTTGCAACAGCAACTGTAGTAGTAGTGGTTTGTTAAGCACACTAGTATCTTGTTCTTTCATCTACGATAAAAGAACAATAATCTGAATGATGGAAATCCACCTAGGCACTAGTAGAGGACTTAGACAGCAAACAACTCATACTCAACATCATGATGATCTACTTAAACTTAGTCGAGCAGACTGCTCGTGTTCATTTTTGGTCCTCATACATCAATGTGAGTCCTCTTCGTGTTAAAGAATAGAAGCAATACTTCCTTTATGAAACGAAAAAGTGTAAGTACTCATCCGCAAGAAAGTAGGCACTTTCTAAGTAGGGAAAAACTTCTTTTCTTGAATATGAGTACACTTTTTTCTGTCATATCCTTGCTCTCGTAGTGACAGTACCTCCTTGCTCTCGTAGTGACCGGGTCCTGGCATGGGGCCTCTTTTTCTGACCATATCCTGCGCGTCCCCTTTCCATCTTGAGGCGTTTTCAAATTTGAATCCGAATCCCAATGGTGCCTCCCCTCTTTGTCGTGTGCCGGCTGTTGAAGAGGGTGGTCGAGGGGGTGGGGGAGTTGTTGTTGTAGGATGTGGATTTATTGGTGCAGCTGGTTCATTTATTTCTGCAGTTGGACGTTTGCGAGTAGTTGTTCTAACTAGTAGGATGTCACTACTAGTTAAAACTACTCCCAAAGAGTTGGTCTAGTAGAACAACGTTGTAAGTAGGTGGATTCATTTCTGTATTCAGGGTAAGGAGGTATTAGGTAGTGCTTCTGGGTGGCAATCCGCGCTGGTCCGAAGAACAAGTACTTCTTCATCAATTTTTAGCAGTTGATGTCAGTCTCAGTTATTTTTCTTGATTGGTGGAGGAAGAACAACAGGAGCAACACCTCCAAGAAGATCATACTTTTACTCACATACTTTGGTACTTTTACTGCATAAATATAGTACTTTTTTTGCTTGCATCTGCCCATGCATAGACTTTGTCGTATTTTCCTGGGGCTGGCGTCTTCTTTGCCTGCTTCTGGATGTCGGCTAATCGACTAGTGGTTTCTCCCGTGTCCTTTGGGAACTTACCCAGAGGCACTTTTGCTGTAGTAATTGTGAAGTGTGATAATGTCGAGGATGATGATGATGATGATCATCATCATCATCATGATGAATTGACGAGGTTGCAATGCCAATGGTCACCGATGACGATGATGATGATGATGATGAGGTTGCAGTGATCAGTCATGAGGATGATGAGGTTGCAGTGATCATTGATGAGGATGATCATGAGGTTGCAGTGATCAATTAGTTGCTGTTGGGTTATGCCTGGTAAAGGAGGTAGAGGTTGCAGCGTATGATCTTCATCTAGCAATATTTGTATGGTGTAAGAGTCGAATTCTAAGAGATGAAAGATACGTGGTTCTCGTGATGCAGTGGGGGCTGGCAAGATCAAGATGCACCCTTCCACCCTTGATGCTTCTCTATTTGTTACCAAAAATATTGTCAGAAGGGATACGCCCAAGAATAAAGGGAAAGCTATAGCTACATACCCGGCTGCTTTACTTATGTGCAGCTTTGGGCGTCCTCACTGGACCGTGAAGCCTTCACCATATAAAAAATAGTACGTGGTAATGTTGTGACTGGCAAGGTGTATTCTTCATTCGAGGGTGGTGGTTCCCTGATAACTGGCGCTGACGCTGACGTTACCAGGTCCTTGGGCTTAGGCCCGGGCTCGACGCCCGCCATTTTATCTGCGTATACAACGAGGTGAACTACTCGTTAGACTACCTCCTATGTAGTATATTTGTTGTATTTCTAAGAGAATGCTGAAGGGTCGCGGGTATAATCATGATGATCATTTAAGAGAAATAAGAAGAGCGAGGAATTGTTTAGATTGTAGGCGCTTTCATTAGTAAGTCATTAATCTACTTCTTGAGTTGAAGCTCAAGTCTTCCTTTCTGTTCTCTCATCCTTAAGAGAAATAAATCTGTTTCGAGTTCAACAACATGATATTTCTAATATTTCAACTTCCATGACCATGCATGATGTACTTGTAGTTCTTAGATATACTAATACAACAATGTCGATGTAGTGTTGTGGGTTGCAAGAAGGGATGGAAATTATGGGTGAAAATAAGGATTCGTAAGCAGGAGGTTCATCTGGTTAGGTACTTCTACTTGTTGGGGAAGGATGTTGAGATTGGGAAGAGGGTGAGGGAGGTGTTCAAGTTGATGACTTTCGAACTTTAGACTCCCACGAAAAGAAATTCAAGGACACAAAGCCTGCATGGATGGCAACCACCGATTTGCAGTATAATTCATTCCCGACGAAGTTGAAGGTGGTTCATCCATATAATCAAGTTCAAGTAGTTCAAGGGCCTCACTCATGCCAGATTGCTGGGTGATATACTCCATCTCAACAATGTTGGGATGAAAAGACTCCGACATGTTCTTCTTGAGCTTGTCATGGCTGCTTTTGTCATACTTAGCTGCTTCATGCCACATCTTCGCTCTCATACAAGCACCGATTCACCATACCGAAAAAAAGATCTATTTTCTGACTCTGGCCTTCATTCATTCACGTTCGCAGTTCGTGCCTTTTTTTGGGACCTGGGTCTACAGTTTCCCGCTATAGTTCCATTTAATTACCCCGCGGGAAGCCTGAAGCACAACGGCCAGGCGCTACGACTACGCAAACGATGAAGCACAACGGCCATCGCTGTAGAAAAGCTAGAGCCCAAGCCCCACGGGCATATTAGTCGACGGCTCACAAGTAGAACAGCTCAGGTCCTGACATCAGGAGTCCACTGCTTCCTGTGACGAGTAGACACACGCTACTTTTCTCTTTTGTTCTGTTTTTGTAGATAGCGACGTACCTACACATGTTGTAGTACTAGGAAGCATGTTCTTCTTGTAGGAAATGTAATCAAGCAAAAGCAAATCTTAGTACCAAACAGAAACACTCGTCTTCTATACTAAATTAATAATTACAAGTGTATTCGGTTTTTTCTCGTGGCGAGGGCGGGAGAGAGATGAGACGAGTGAGGTCTTACAAAGGGAACGGGATGAAATTGACCAGAGCTTTATCGGGTGATCCCCCTGCTCTTCTTGCATCAGCAGATCTTCCCTTCTGGAATCTGTTGCACCGCCTGGAGACGATATGAAATCAGATATATGATGACCGTGATTCTGCATTGATTATACTGTCTCAACAATACCCAACATGATCATGTTGATGTACTAATATGGTATTGCTAGAAGTTGTACATCTACATATACAGTTTGTTACTGATGAAGTCAGACACTCTATTGTATTAGAATTCGTCTCATTTATACTATGAAGGAAGGGATCTTCAACACAAATTGAAATTAAGATAGTATAAGCTGACAAATGCGATGTTGGTGCGTTCATCTATTCGGGTTATTTTTAGTCTACCTAGTAGACTAAAAGATATCAAATTTCATGGAAAGTGTACTTGTTACGAAAGGCACTAGGAGTAGAATAATTTTAGCTTGATCTTCATTTGCACTAAATTTAATGAATAGGACGGAGACAAACATTTTTTGGGGACGAGGCAGCACCAAAAAAGAGCAGTGATGCTTTTTCCTGCTCCATGCCTTGCCAATATGTGCACCAAATCTGTGATTGAGCCTGACCGACTATGAAGTGCAATCAGGTGCAGGCTCAACATCCTCTTCTGGCACACTGCTGCTAGAGAGGCATGTTGCTGAGATCAGCAAGTGCGGAGTAGCTAGAGGTAGAGTGCAAACAGCTTCATGATTATGACCAGAAATGAGTATGTTTTTGATCTCATTGGGTAGGTCCTCCAAGAAGATGTACTAGTATTTCCATAATATGCTGAATGTGAATGAGGAAGTTCTTGTACAGAAGGATTCTCTATTGATGAACAATTTTTGGAATTGTCTTCGCATCTCTTTCTCTAGTACACGAAAAACCCAGGAGGTGGCCGTGTTGAAGGTTATATGTAGACCATGGTGAAGAATGTGTCTTTTTATGTCCCCCTATATTAGTACTTACCTATCAGCACTCTTGTTAGAATTAACAGTCCACCTACTGTGATCTGCCTCAACAACGCTCCTTAGCCCCCACGTCTCCAATTGTCATCCTTATCGGCTTTGGACGCATCGTGATGCTGGTCGCGACTATTGCCTTTGTTGTTGTGGAGTCTATCGCCTTTGCCACCGCGTCCGCCATGATCCTTGTCGGAGTTGTGATGGTGTCCATTCCCTTCCTTACCACCCTTTTGCTCTTGCGGTTTGATGCCACGCTCCCACACTGAGTCGGACACTTCACGTCTCTTGCCACCTCCCTTTCCCTTGTCCTTGTTCTGTCGGTCGCGCGGATGGAAGTCGCGGTCGCCTGTTGTGTTCATCATTTTTCTCGGGATCTTCGTAAGGGTTGGGTCGGGATCTTCGTAGTAGTTGAAGTAGTTGTAGAGCTATTTTCAAACCAAGAACACCAGCAAAGTCGTTGATGTACTTGTAGAGGAATTTTTCTAAATTTATTTTTACATGATCAACAGCTCTATTTTCTACCTTTCCAAAAACAAGTTAATTATAGTAAGTACCTTTATGTCCTCTATCATCCCCTCCACGTTTTGTCTTTCCGCCTCCGCCATCCCTATCCTTGTTGTCGAATGACGAACCGCCTGAGACAAACGTTGAGTTGTCAGCTCTTTCACTGCGACTGCGTTCCCGTTCTTCGTGCGCCTTCTCATCCTCCGGTGTCCACAAGAGAATAGAGATTTCACGACCCTTGAACAAAACTCCGTTCCAACGCAAGGCTGATTTCACATTAGAGCTGGTGTTCTCGTGGTCCAATAGACATAGAAGAGTATCATTTTATATGTACTTAAGTACTTCATTTTTGAACAACAAGACCTGAGAGGAAGAACTTCGAATGAGAGTGTCCAAGAAGTAGAGCTGCACTCACTCTACATTTAATTAGCAGGATCGGTGCTGTCTTTTTATAACTATCGAGTACTCTCGCGATCGGCGCTGTCTTTTTATAACTATCGAGCAGAGTACTCTAGCTAGTTGTAGTAGCACAAGCACAAGCAAGTACTGTAGCTCACATAAAAGCACAAGCAGAGTACTGTAGCTAGTAGTAGGACGAAGTACAACATAAGTACTGCAGAGATGTTGTTGTTCGTGCACTGAACAAAGAAAGATAAATTAGAATTAGAAATAGAATTAGATTTATAGTAGAAAAATCAAATCCAAAGGCAAAGCCTTAATCAGATGTTCGCGAGAGTCGAATTCGACGACGCCTGAATGCTTGCCGGCGACCTCCATGGCGAGATATTTAGGTTCACAATCCCGATCCCAAAAGAAGTAGCCCAAATCATTATCCGTCACATTGCGATCCAAATTGCGGCAAATGCACTTAAAAGGACCTTCCTCTGGGAGCGGACCAGTGTACTCGCTCTGTTATAGTTTTTAGGACTAGAAGGTAAAAAACTAAGAACTGTTGAATTTCTTAAGAGTGCACAGCTGCAAAATATTGATATTGAAGATCATGATCATTTCCTATTAGTTATAAGCGAAATAGTAAAAGCAATACCGGTCCGTCTCTCTTGTTTGCGGGTTTAGGGGCATCACCGTCCCCGCCCTCAGTTTCAGTGGTGGTCGCTGCAGCGCCACCCTTCGCTGGGACGCAATAGGTTCCATCCTCCCACAATTCCAACTTGACTTTCCGTCTTTTCAGATACTCATTATGCTTTCGAAGACCAGCGCGGAGACTGGGCTGATCTACAAAATTGACACGCGCACTATGTCGTGGCTCCGCCATTTGGATCACTTCGAGGACTTGGCCTGAAGTATTATATAAATAGGAGGTAGAGAACAAGGAAAAGTAGAAGTCGTAGTAGAAATTGTGGTTAGAAGACAGCAGCATCTTTTTCGCCTTATAAAATGAAAGAAGACGCGGGATGGAAGTTTATAGATTGAAGTCGTACTCATCAGATCATTTCTCTCATCCTAAGTGGTTGTTGACACAAAGGGAAAAGACGAACACGAAGACTGAAGATGGTCGTGGCTCCGCCATCTGGAACTTCCGATAATAAAGCTGTTGTGAAAAGTACAATGTGGCGCGCCATCCTTGAAGAATTCGATGATGTCCTCGGTACTGGCAGCCTTGTCAATGCCAATCATGTGCGCGGAAAAGGGTGGCTGCGTCGGCAAATCCTTACCCAAGACATTGGCGCAGTCGGCTTCTGATTTTCCCAGCAACTGCCCAAAGAGGTCACTCCAAAGCTTCTTGGGTTGCTGCTTAAACAAGATGGAGATTAGAGGAGGAAGATAGTGATAGTAGATGAGGTGGTTGTGGTTTGGTCGTGCGACGTTAGTTTGGTGGAGGTAGAGGTGGGGGTACGAGTGGCAAGGTTTGTAAGATGAGAAAAAGCAGTCTATCTATCTACTAAGAAAGGTACAACCAGCAGCACAAATTTGAATTTCGTACTTGTTATCTTCAGCTAATATCTCTATCGTTCAAGAAATGAAAAGATTCTTTTTCATGTGATTCGCCATAATTCAAGATTGCGGTTGATATTCCCTCGCTCTCCTTGTTTTCTGCTGCTTAGACGTCCCGTTTCCCAGTCCAAATCCAGCCAGCAGCTATCGTCAAAGCTCTTGTAGTAGTGTCCCTGTGTATGAACCATCTTGCGCTTGTCAAAGAGGTCGTCGTACCGAACGCAGTTGAGGCCCTGGGAGCCGATGTCGGGAATGGCTTCGCTGACTATAGTAGTACGGTCGTAAAAGTCTTCGCTGGCATTCAAAAAGAGGTAAGGTCTCACTTGGTATTTCGAGCCTTCCTTTTCGTGGTGGACGTAGAGAAAGAAATCCTTCTCGGTCACCCCAGTCGAGGGCCCATGGTGGTGGTCCTTACCTCTGCTCTCGGAACTAGCCGTGGTACTGCGCGAAGGGCAAGAAGCACCTATGGATAGGATAGGATAGAAGAATAGGATACTAGGATGCCTCTGCCTCGTTCTCACACAAGGGGTATCTTCCGGTTGTAGGTTGTAAGAATGAAAAGATGAAGATCATGTGAATGTGAAAAAAACAAGTTTTACTATTAAGGAGGTGATGGATCAAGTTAGAGGAGGAGTGAGAACAGTCTTATTTCTACACTTCACAATTTCTGTCGCTAGAAGTGTGCATCTTTGGCGAGGACAAGTACCTTTCTTGAAAGTTTTTTCCCATGTCCATTGATAAAAGACCCCCACTGCTTCGTGCCATAGGATTTTGGCTGCCATTTCCACGGTGCCATGACTCCTCTGAATGTCTCCTGTTACGAAGCTCCAATGCCGGCGCTTCTTGTCTGGGTGCCAGACACTATCATTAGAGCAAAAATAGTAAACAAACCAGCATTTCTATTTGATTCTCATAGGTAGTTCTATTTCTAATTCTATTTGATTCATAGGTAGTTCTAGTTCTTTCATCTTTCTCTCAGTATTCCGAACAAAAGGAAACAAGAAAGGAAGATGACCCTTGAAAATAAATCATGCTCATGAGTTAATATTCTTGTTATGTTATAAGCCTTAATATAGAGCTTGATCCGGTCTCCTTCCTTGCTCGATGTGTGACACACGTAGGGCACGATCGAGATACTCTGCATGAAGTATTTCTCTCTCGTTGAGCCACCCTCCACCAAATCGGCAAAAGTAGCGAACTGCGGCAAAATCTGCAAGAAGTCTGCATGCAAAAACGACCACAACCTGAAGATTTTATTGTGTTGTAGTTCTTTTTAGTTTTTGAATACAGATCTTCAGGTGGATTGTGATTGATTTATTCTTTGTTGTCATCTTTACTGCTCACTAGGTTGAAGAACTAGAGGCTCGCACTACTCCTAGTAACTACTACTTGCAGAAGTTGATACCCAACAGAAAATGAATAAACATTCCATTCCATGAAGTCTATCATTGGCTAACATACCAACCTCTAGACTATACGATGACACTCTGCAGCCTCAAATGATATGAAGTCACGAAGCGCAACGCTAAAAAACATAGCAACGAAAATATGCAGGTCAATTTCCGAAAGGGAAGTTGGTGCCTATTATCAGCGGAGGCCCGACAATGGCCGAGCAGTCCGCTTACTAGATGCGAACAAAAATAGCATAAATCGTCCAAAGCGTGTAAAGCAAAAATAAAAGAATTAAGTACGTTTTATGATTCATTTCGACGCTTGGAATGTCGAAGATGCTAATCCTTCCTCCACTGTTGAACCGCAGAAGCTTGAGCACGTCCAAGAGTTCCCGCTGTTCTTGTGTTGCTGTTAAGAATAAGAAGGCGTGTTAGTTTAGGTTGCTGTTAATTAAGAATAAGAAGGCAGCTAGAGGTAGAATGTAATGAAAAATGATTTTCATCGTAGTTGTTGCCTGGTGTTTCAATTGCATCTACAACCTTCTGGAGCAGGGATGCGGATATTCATGTTTGACCACGTTCTCGTTCCTTTTCATCTACTACTGGAGGTAGGTTTTTGGTGCTCGCTTACCCCGCTTGTTATGCCTTTCTCCCTTAGGAGAGGCATAAAAAGCGGTAAGAAAAGCACCTTTAACCTACCCTGAATACTAGTAGGAAAAGAAATTGCTGGAATTGCGCTAAAAAATTACTACAAAAATTCTTAAGAGTAAAAAGTAGTACGTTCCGTGACGATGAACATTTTGCAAAATTTATTTTAAGAGTAAAGAGTAGTACGTTCCGTGACGATGAACATTTTGCAAAATTTATTTTACGAGTAAAGAGTAGTACGTTCCGTGACGATGAACATTTTGCTTCTCAATTGGTGTTCATGAGTTTCGATGTGGGCGAGCACGTTTTTTTCGATCGACTCCATAGTCGCATACCATGGTTCTTGCCTGATAATATTAGAGGTAGGTTTTTGGTGCTCGCTTACCGCGCTTGTTATAGTGCCTTTCTCCCTTAGAAGAGGCACAAAAAGCGGTAAGAAAAGCACCTTTAACCTACCCTTAATAATATGGTCCGGAGGCAGCTGCTCGTCGCCTCGCACGAGAAGACCTTCTGGATCTGTGCCAAAGGTCCTACTACAGAGCGTCGTGGTAGGCTCCACCCCCATCATTTCGCCGCCCATGGTGCTACTGTGAAGCATTTTTTCTTAAAGCAAGTTTTTCACTATCCGTGGTCGAGTGAGAGTGAGTTGCCCTTTTTCCCCCTTAGTTTCTTTCATCCCCTTTAAGAAGTCAAGGGATGGGGAGCATGTTGAGACCCCACTCAGCCGCGTCCATCGGCACCCCATAGTGGCTCCCGACGCTGAAGGAACAAGATACACGACCAGATAGTGACAACAATCAATAGACATTAAAGAACTTCTACTTAATATCATGAGCCTTAATTTTCAGCGAGCTTTACTTTGGCTATTTTCAGAAGCCACCACACTGTGCGGTCCATATCCTCCAGGAAAAAGGAGACCTCTTCCAAAGACACGACGATGCCTGTTTTCTGCGGTCCCTTCATCATTGCAGCTTGGTGTTGCTGGTGCTGTTGGGCTGGTGCTGTTGCGCTATCGTTTAGGTGCGGTGCATGTTGTGGCTCTCTTGTTTGCACAATTCCACCTGCACCAGGAATACTATTGTCGTTTTTTTGATTTTGTGCTCCTCCGGAAGTTGTTGGCGGACCCATAATTTGATTTGGCGGTCCATCTTAGACGAGCAGCGGACCCGTACTATCCATCTTGTGACGCATCTTCCCGGGCGCTTTTCCCCCCTGAAAAGGAGCCTTTTCAGGACGATGCCTCAGAACAAGATGGATAGGGGTGAGGAGCCTTAGCCAGTTGTACCAGAACCTCCTTGATGTGGATGGTTGATAGGCGACTGGTCTGTGGTCGCAATACTAGTGGCCGCTGGTGCTCCTTTAAGACCTTGTTGTAAAGCTACATTGTTTGGAGGTGCTACAGCACCCTTTCCAGTAGCTCCAGGAGGCATCAAATTTAGTGGAGGATGCTCATGCTGCGGTGGGTGTTGAGGTCCCTGCATGTTCATGTTACTCAGGTTGCCCGGTCCATCTAGAGCTCCTACGCCGTGTTGCAAAGGTGCTCCTCCTCCGTTCGCGTGAGGTGGTCTCGGCTGAGGCGGTCTTGGCGCTCCACCCTTACTCGAAGTGCTACTCGTGGCCTGTCCATGCATAGCTGCTAAATGCATCTGCTGCTGCTGCGCAGCGGCCACAGATTAGAGAGAGTGGTGGTGGTGTTTCTATGCCTCTATTGCTCGTATTTGTTGCGAATGATCAACTTCAAGAACATCGGGGCCGCTAAGTTTCATCATTCTTGTATTCTTCACGAACATCCTCGTAAGATGGCGACGAATAAAAGAATGCTCAACTACTTGAGGTAACAAGATGAGGAAGAAAGTGAAGATCTTATTCTACAACTACGTATCCAGATCGACCATTCATAAAGGTAATGCTGTTGTTGTTGTTGTTGTTGTTGTGCTGCCACTGCTTGATGCATTGCCATTTGCTGTGAGAACATTTGACGCTGAGCGGCTGCCGCGTGCATGGCCATTTGTTGCGCCTGCATTGGATGAGGTGCTCCTTGCGCAGGTCCCAATCCTGCCCCCGGAGGCAGCCGATTAGAAGTTGTAGGTGATGAAAATGTAGTCCGAGAACAATCAACAAATCAGAAGTTATTTTTTGAGTAAAGTATGACATAATAAGATGTTATGAACTTCTTCACTTTCTTTCGCAGGAACGAAAGACGGACTACGATGATTCAATTAATAGAGTTAAACTATTCGTTATTTCCTGCTCACCAGAATTTCTAAACTTGTCGTGGAGGATCTTCAGAAAAGAACACCTCCAGCAGCAATTTCAATACTATCAAAATCAAATTCAATCTCTGAAATCCATAATATACCCTGCTGCTCCTTGCATTGACGGTGGCGGTCCCATTTGTGGCGGGAACATACTCCCAGGTGGGTACATTCCAGGGTGTGGAGGTGCTGCCGCCATCCCTGCTCCTGGATACATCGGAGGGTATCGTCCGCCAGGTCCTCCTCCTGGCGCACCACCAGCACCAGGTGGAAGGTTATACATCATATATCTTCTTGTTCTTGTAGTGTTTTGATATGTAGCTAGTGTAGTTTTATTATATTGTAGTTGTTTCTTTGTTGACAATTAAGAGGTAGTCTCACCGTGGTGAACAAGCAAGATTATCTTCTTGTTCAGTACTTAAAAGGAAGAAACTGTAGAAGTTGTGCCTCTTCTAAAACATAGGAGCAAGTGCCTCTTCTTTGTTCTGTGAGGAGACAGTCTGCTCTTCTTCTTCTACTACTAGTAGTGGAGAAAGACGAGGAACTACAACTATCACTTACTTTAACTTCTGCGCGAAGAGCTACTTAGAGTCAAGGTTCTTAGGACCAGTATTATAGTAACCACGACCACCTGAAGATAGTAATATCCCTGCGTCCAGATGATCTGAGCCTTCGTCCTACGTGTACGTCTATCAGCTCTGCTTTTTGAGGAAGATGAACGTTGATGTCCTTCTTTTACTTCTCTTAGTGATCAAAATTTTTGAATTTGATTTTGATGAACAGAGACTAGTATTTTCAGGAGCAAGCTAGCTACAACAAAAACTCATGCTTCTTCTGACGACATCCAGAGCTTCTAACCTATGCATAAAACGCACGACATCCAGAGAGTGGCTTTGGGAGCATATCAGCAAACAGAAACGAAAGTAAGAACCGAAGGCAGTTCTACCTACCAGAGTATTATCAAATTGGTTTACCAAATTCTGAAGCGACCAGGTAGTAGTTGCATCTTGCCGTCCTGTGTAGAGTCACAGTGAAGAAAATTGTGCTTAGGCATAGTTCTGTGAGACGAAATGGAAACGAAGGTGCTTAGCATTAGCATATTCTTAGACTTCCAAGAAGATTAGATTTTCATTCTCGCATAGTCGGCATGACGTTGAGCTTCTTCCAGTTCAGCAGACATGCATTGGTACCGTTCTCTTCCTCGTCTTGTATGTTTCGTGATGTGGTTTAGGCCTTGGCCGGTTCTCTTAGGCATTCGAATTCATTCATACTGAGCTGCACTGGCTTCATCATCATGGGTCATCTGCATTCGTGGTCGTCTGCATTACAATACAATGAATTAATCTCGCACAAAGTTCAGTGCAGACTGCCATTTATGTTCCACTGTCTTAGGTTCTTCCACTTCAATTTTCATTAACAGACTTGTCTCGAAGAACACGAATCCATTTTTTTGAACTGCAGGAGCGAGGGCAGCTCCTGATCAATTTCGTGAGAGAAACCCTGTAGGTGTACAACTAGCTGAGCCAGTATGATTGTCCTGGATAATATATGCTTGGCACACCAACATTGTGGTCAGCACAGAGATCCGGTCAAGAGCATAATATGAACAAGATGAGCAAACACCTTCTCAATCTGTGGAGATTCAAGATTCAGGTTATGACTCATAATTGACAACGGTTTTTGACGATTGGCAGTTCATGATCTTCACTCCGAGGAGAGTGAGAAAGCACACAGAATTCCAAAAAAAAACAACTCAATGATCGGTTTGTCATGTCATGTGGATTGTGGTACTAACTCTTCACCATCCTCGCTTAATTATTCTTCAGAGGATCAGGAAAGTGGTCGCAAAACGCTGTACGAACTCTACATCTACTAGAGTGTAGGTCTCATCCTTCTTACTTTTTGAAAATGCTACTCCTTCTAGGGAAGCTCAAGTTGCTCCTCTGACCATCTTTTGATTTATTATGGCAGCCAACTACTTCTAGCTCCCTTTATTGAGGTACGAATTATAGATACAGGTACATCTTATCTTCATGTCGATGCCGACGATTAATTTGCATAGTACAACAAGGTACCTAGAACAACATCTGTATCAGAATTCCAATTTCATTTTTAGTGGTTATTGATATACTACTTGCAACTCTTACTCGTCTGGAGGTCTCAAAAAGTAGAAACTTTGCTGAACATGAACCTTCTGGATGTTGATTTTTAGACCACCCTCTCCCGGGATGAAGATGCGCTCCATGCTTTGAGCTTTTGGTGCAAGCTCTTTCTGAGGCAGCATCCCTGCCGTGGTTTATGTGGATTTATTGCCTGCTTGATTAAATGGCTTGCTCCTGCCTTTCTTGCCTTTGCCTTTAGCATTTTTGTGAAATAAGTGGGTTGCTGGTCGTGAAGGAGTCTCCGGAAAAGCAAATGGGCGGCTCTTCCCCGAATTATTCGTAGGTACTCCTATGTGGTGATTAGAGGTTGTATCGAGAATTCATCCCAGGGATCATCCGGGTCCCTTTTTCCTCTTGTCTTTCTCTCTCAGATGACTCATTTTGAGATGATGAATTCCCTACGCCCATATTAAGGTGATGTGGCTGTTGGACGAGTTCTCCTTGTGCTGGCATCATCTCCTGTACTTGCTGCATCGAGGAAGAGATGAAGGGTACAGCGGTATCATTCCAACCGCATCCGACTTGTTCAGCTGAGGAAGCACCTCGTCCTGCGATCGTGGAGGAACCAGGAGGACCAGGATGAACTTGGGCAGGTGGAAGGGGAACAAGAACAGCACTTGTAGTTGCTGGTGCAACGCTTACGCTTACAGCACCACTTCTGGCATTATTAGACAGAGGTTACGGAATTTTTACATTCCTCAGAAAAGAGCCAGGGATGGTCCTCGTTGTGAGGAATGCCGGAAAGAACCCTTAACGATAGCAGCATTAAGAGAAGAAGGCACGATCTCTCCTACAACGGCCGGTCCTGAAGACAAGATCTCTCCCCATTTGCACTTGGTCGAATGGGGAGAGATCTTGTCTTCAGGAAGTCTCCCCATTTCAACACCAGCACTGGACGAGGCAGCTATAGTACTATTAGAGGTAGGTTTTTGGTGCTCGCTTACCCCGCTTTTCATGCCTTTCTCCCTTAGGAGAGGCATAAAAAGCGGCAAGAAAAGCACCGTTAACAGACTCTTAATACTACATGATACTTGACCTCCACTACTAGATCCCGGCTGCGATGTTGCAGCGGCACGACTTATTTGAATTTGATGTGGTCGTCCCCACGATTTTATTGTGGTCGACGGCGCCGTGTTTATGCTTGCCGTCGTGCTAGAACAAGGTTCAATCATACGAGCAGTTGGAACATCAACTACTCCAGATGCTGGATTTTTTGATTTTCGTGGGCCTGGAACGCTAGGAGCCGACAACAAGTCCTCCCACTTTTGAGCTTGGTCCTCGTCTTCCGAATTTCCATCATCTTCACTCGATGTCCGACGACGACGAGGTCTGTTTTTTCCCTCGTCTAGGGGGGAAACATTAGAACTAAGAGAAGTCCATCTTGAGCGGCATCTTGGGTCTGCTCGTTTTCCTTTTAAAAACGGGACCAAGATGGCTGTGAAGATGGGAGATTTCTTGTAGCCTTAAAAACAACGTCCTTGTTGTTTTCAACGTCCTCCTGGTGCTTTTCCTCGTCCTTCGGAGACGCGGTATTCAACATCATGCTGCTTTCTTTTTGCGCAGATACTACTTCTGTGGAGGTAATTTCTTGCATATCTTCAAGCTTCAAATTTTTGTTTGTACTCTTTGGTGTACAACCAGTACGCGCATTCATCATCCTCGCGTGAGAACAAGCAGAGTCAGTCTCTTTCTCTTTTGCATTGGGCGAACCCACGACCATCTTGTTCTGCTGATCGTCACTTTTCTTGTCTTGGTCCACGCTGTGCAACTCGGAACCACGCTCATTTTGCGCCAGTACACGCGTTTGGGCACCAGCATTTCGGTCCTCAGGGTCGATTCTTGAGGGTGCGTCGCTTGCTTTTGCTCCTGCTGTGGGCGTGCTTTCTTTGGTACCAGGAACAGCGTCGGCAGTAGATTTCGCACCATCATGATCTGCAGGCGGCTGCTTTGTCGGGAGATTCCCTTTCTTTCCTTTGCCTTTGTATGTATACGGTCGAGGCTTTCCATCGCTTTCGGAATCCTATGATTAGAGCGATGCGTATTACTAGTATGAAGTAGTTTCTCGTCAAGAACAAGCTAGTCGTGCAGGATACTCCTGTTTTGGACAAGAATTAACTTTACAGCTTCTGAACGAAGGCTTGGATCAAAAGTTCTAGTACCTGCGCACTTTCAGGAGCTTCGTTAAGTTTCGGGGTATCATGTCATACATTAGACTCAAAAAAAAGGACTGCAGGACAAAAGCATAACCTTCATCAGAGGACGAAGCAGAGGATGAGGTGCAGCCCTTCAGGGTTGCTTTTGTTATGCCGATTCCACGTCGCGGCGATGGCCTTGGTCGAACTACTCCTGACATGGGACCTCGTCTATGGATGTCGGTGTAGTTTTTGTTTCTTGAGATTAAGGAAGTAGAAGACACTCTCGTTGAAGTTGCTGAAGATATAATCGCAGCAGGCGGTTTCATCGATCCTCCCGTGGTGGAGGTTGGCTTTTTACAAGTGCCTGACGTGGAATTTTTTGACATCTCGAGGACTACATGATCGTCCACAGATGACGTCGGAGATCGATTATTCACTTTCTTCATTCTCTTCTTGGTCAACACCGTGCTCCTCGGCCTTGTTGTACTCCTCGGTCGTGGTGCTCCTTCATCGAGCAGGTTCGGACTACTCCTACTAGAAGTCGCATCATGATCCAAAATCATGGATGTGCATGAGGGAGAAGGCAAATTTGGAGTACCAGTTGTTGTGTCACTAGTAGAAGACGTGTTCGTGTTTGATGTGTTGTAAACACGGTTTCGCTTCAAGTTCGATTTATGTGTCCCTCCACTACTCGTCGTCCCATCATTTTCTTGATCAAGATGAACAGGTACTATTTGTTGAAGACGATCTTGAAGAACTTGTAGTTTGTTCTTCATCTTATAATTAACGATACAACCGTCTTCTACCACACCTTCAGATAGAAGAGGGACGTGGATTTCGTTGCGTGCTCGACGTTTTAAGGACGGCTCTAATTGCGAATTTGCAGGGGCCTCTGGCGCGCCACGACGCTCTGGCTGTGCTTGTTTCGCCTCGTTGGCATTAGCCTCATGTCGGAGACGAACATCGTCAGCTTGCTCGCGAAGCAAGGCGTTTAGTGCTGATGTCGAAGTTTTTGCATCTTGTTTCTGAGCAGCACCATCGTTCTGCGATGTAGTTGATTGCTGGCGTCTTCGGCCAGGCGGCTGTCTCTTACTCATCAGTGGCTCTTGATCTTGTGTAGTGGAGACCCCAATTGTTCTACTCCCTGTAGTACCTGTAGTAGCAGAAGAAGTTGCAGCTGTTCTTAGGTGCTGTGCTTCGAGTAGTTGTTCTCTCGCGAACAGAGCGGCTTTAGTCGGATCGAGTCCTCTGGTCAAATCTCGAGGACGATCCCGGTCTTCCTGCACAATTCGATCGACAGGTCTTCTGCTGATGGGAGAGCTCCTCGTGCTAGAAGAATTAGGATTATAGATAATTCCCGGTGCGCGTGCGTCTGTGCTCGAGGGGGAGATATTTTTACCTCCGGTAGTACCACCTCGGTGGACATCAGACTCAGACCTTTCAATGCCGACGTGGTGCTTAACGTCAAAACGCTGATCGATCATCACATCGCGCCGTCCACGTTGATTGACAGCACTTCTTTCGCTGTATAACAATCTACCCTCATTCTGAGCATCAAAATGGTCCAGCACACCTCCACGTTGCAATGCTGGTTGTACGGACATCCCTCGCGTATTAGCCGGAAAAGTAGTACAACTAGATCCTATAGTGGAAGAAGGAGGGAAAGTGGTCGCATCCCGTTGCAGGAGGTCATGATCTTTTCTTCGCCGTCTCGCTGAAACTTCATCCCCTGCACCTCGTAAAAGTTGTTGGAGCTCATGATCAAGCACACGACCACTACGATGAGGAGCAAAAGAGGTCGCTCTTCCTCCAGGGCCCCTGCTACTTCCAGAACTACCCAATAAAGCTTCCAGGCGACCCCCATCTCGGTTTATTTCCCCATAGTGGTCGCGCAACATGCTACGTAGTTTATCCAATTCTACAGTTGTCACCTTTTCTTCAGTTGAGCGCTTTAAAGATCGCGATCGCGATCGCATTCCTGACGACATTGCTCCGCGGTCTCCTGCCAGCATCTAAAAAGTTGTGGTCGTGGAGGAACATCGAGGTGGTTCTTGTGACATGGTACATGATGAGGACACCTAGTTGGTTGTGGTTCTTGAAGAAAGCGAATTATAAGGTGGATAAGGTTAGTTAAAAGCTGCACCTAGTAGTTTTACTCATTTACTTAATGAACAAGTTGAAGATTTTACTTAGAACAAGGTTAGCAATAGCATCGATCATGAAATCTTCATACTTAGAAGAAGGAGAACAACAGATGCAAATCACAGATAAGATAGAAATACAGAAGCGCCACTCGCCTTCGTCAGCAAGCCGTTGGGAAGGAGTACGTAACCGGGAGGAACTAGCGGTCCACCTCCCCCTCGCGGCCCCTGCTTACTACCATTTTCCTCAGCAGCAAGGAGAGGATGAAATTAGAATCCGCATCTAAAAAAACAAGCAGTTTTCTTGATTACTGAAAAACTACTTCAAGAATTATTCAAAAAACTACTTCTTCAAGAAACAATAATAATGATTGTTGATCTTGATGTCCTCTAATGTACTCGAATCTGTACCATAATTCTTCTCTCCCAAGTCGGCATTGAGCGATGGCGATGAGCCTCTACCACTACGCTCTCGCTCCCTGGTTTCGCGGCTCGAGAAGCGATCATGTTGTTGCGCATGATATCGTGCGAGTAAGGCCGCCTCTTGCTCTTCTCGGGGACCACGACCAAGATGAAGATCGGCACGCGGATATTGTGAAGCGGATGCAAATCGTTGTGCATGAAGACTGGAAGATTTCGTGTCACGCAGAAGACTAGACGCCGGGAGTCCCTCTCGTCGACCACGAGACGAGCCTCGTCGTGGTCCACCCCCATGATAAGTACGAGGTTGACGCTCTACCTGCTGCTGCAAGCGATCTTCATTTAAGTGCTGACCAAGACGAGCATCCTCTCCACGATGACCACTACGAGCAGGTCCAGCACGTTCAGGCGGTGAGTCAGAAAATTCGAATTGCCTCACATGGTTATAGCGATAATCCATCCGAGGCTGCTCAGGACCTGGCCACATCTTGAAGATCTTGTTACTTCCTCGTGAAGATCTTGTTCTTGATTCTACGCAAAAATATGAGTGAGCTAGTTACAGTTACTAGACTACAAATTTAGAAATACTATTAGAGGAGTACAGAAGGTAAGATGTTGAAAAAGAAACTAGTTGTACTCTTCTATCTCGTAGTTAATCTACTTGTAGTTCTCGCTGTCATGTGCATGTCATGTCATGGCGCCTCATATGTAGCTATTAGCGTCTACTTGTGAGGCCATCCAGTAGGCAAGTGGTCTCTCTATCTTATTTGTAGTGTTATAATTAAATATTATAACCTAAGACTGTAACTGTATTTGTACTGCAAATTTCAAGTGACAGTGATCAATAATGATGTAAGTACGGCTTCTATCACTATCATCATGTCACTACACCCACAATCTAAGAACGTTCGGGCCAAGACGGCGGATGGTATTTGTAGTTGCGTCGCATTGCTTCAGTGTTGTATTAAGACCTCTGCCTCGGTACAATTTCATAGAACCTCTAGTACCTCAACCTCTGATCAGGTTCTGCCCGTCCAGCGTACTGCTATGTTCTTGGTAGACCACACACAGACACGACACAGACACGCACTACAACACGAATAGACAAACACGAATCGAAGGCTCAAATGCTCTTTTCCACGTGGTACAAGGTATACAGCGGGGCCTTCATTCGTGTGAAGAAAGCTCCGTCAACACGCTATGAACACACTGTTGCCCACCTTAGAACGGCTATACTTTCTGAATAAAGTAGACACACTCATGTCAGTCGTGTCGTGTCGATCTACATTTATTTCTAGGAGTTTGGCGTAAGTTTGGCAAACTTCAATAGGCTTTTTAGAAGACAAAAATGAGAAAACGCAGAGAACAAGAACAGCAGCAGATGCTGAGCGAACGAAGATAATCAAAAAAATAAAAGCGTGGCTGTGGCGATGCCTTGTGCTTGCTGGCCGCTATTATTATGTAATTATAATGTAGACGTCGATCTTCTAGATGACTGGAGCGGCCAGATAAAGTTGTGGTTTAAAAGTTGTCCAGTGTTGGCTTTGATTCTGAGATGATCATTCTTACTGCACGTAGAGCAACAGCAGCAGGTAGAAGGAAAAGTAAGTAGGGAAAGGGACGTGTGCGTTTTTGTTTTGTACAACTAAAAGTAAAATTTATTAACTTCGATGTCGATGACAACATTAACGTGTTGATGAAGGCCACATTTTTCGCGCGGTTAGTTTTTTTTTATGAGTGTATTCTTGAGAGAGTTTTAAATCAGGTAGATGATGATGCAGAGCTGTGCATGAACAAGAACTAGCTGCTGCGAAAGTGTGCTGTGCAAATACGTTCATTTTTTTCGTTGTTATTTCATCTTGTGACTGTCCGTATCAAAATGTTGGTGATGGATGAACATATCCATCTCAATCTTCTCTATTGCTGCATTGTCTAAGTCTGCTGCTGCCGAAGTATGCTTTTACTGATCAAGTCTAACGGTCTCAGTCCTCTCTTTTAGGTCTCTCATAAAAATTCACGAGCACAACCTCCTAGAAGATATGAGCATGGTAATCTAAGTAGGTGGCTGTTTTTTCCCGAACAGGATGGACAACGTGGATTCTTAGTAGCAGCATGCTCTATTTGAGGTAACGATATAGTAACTCTACTCATGCCTTAACCTGAAGACACTAAATCAACTGGTGTAGTGCGCGTGCGAGTCCGTGTCCGATCGCTCCTCTAAACATGTGGCGTCACTTCAGCGTATAAGTCTCGGAGTAGATGCTGAAGCTGCTCATCCCGCAGTTCAGATCCTTAGAGCTAATTTTTCACTACTAAAGTGACTCAGCAACAGCTGCATAGGATACTAGTCCACATCGGATAGTCTAATTATAAAGCGAACTATTCGAAGACTCAAAATAATCGAGTTACTGACTGAAATAAGGGAGGCGCTAGCTTATAGCGTCAAGGCTACCTTTCCTTCTCATCAGTTGTATCTCCTCTCGGTTATTCTGATCAGTTACTCGCTTATTTCAGTTTTTCAAGTAGCCATAAGATCCCTGCAAACAAATCTGCTGCACCACATGTAAAGTCTTCGCGTCGTCACGCACGTAAGTCGGCAGATGGCGACACGCACTCTCTAGCTTTTTCCGCGAGACGTCGTCGATTTGTTGGGAGATTAGAAGATGAGGACGAGCAATGTTGCTATAATAGATTGTTTGAAGGAAAACGAGAATTACTAGAGAGAGACGAAATCACGAGTGGTCTTTTGCGCAATAAATGCTTCATTCATAGTGCGCAAATGGATTGATCATGTATCAGGATGACCACAGTGAAAATCATTAGGCTAATATTTCTAGCATTAAGAAATAATGGTCTCCCCATGTGGTCCAAGTGTACAGCGAGGCAGTGAGAGTCAAATGCTACTACTAGCCTTAAGAGTGACCCCATGTCCAAGTGTACTAGTCCTCTACGACTTCTCGACGCAAGTGATGGCGCGGATCGACTACGACTCATTCTGGCAGAAAAGCGGCTCACCTCACGCTTCAAAATCTGCGTCAGCATGGCGCCTATCGTACGTCGCTGAGCACGGGCTAGAGGATATTTGCTTGCTACTGCGTTGGAGGACGGCAGACGATTGTGGAAGTTAGAACAGAGCATAGAGTGAGCGAGAGTTGTGTGAGGGGATGAAGATCATAAAAGTAGTAGTGCAGACGAAGAGAGAAACAATGATTGTGGATGTGCGGGCTGTAACTCTAGCAAGAGGAATAAGTAGAAGGTTGTATCTTGAGCGTGAAGCTGAAGCAGACGAGGAAGATGCACTCTTCAGCATGATGATCTTCATGCCATCCATCGCTTCCATCCCCCCCGGGGTTTTCACAACAAAACAAAGTCAAAATCTCCGCACCATAATCATCCTCGTGGTACTGCTGTTCATGGCGTTATTTTCAAATTTCTGTACTGCGTCCATGTCCACAAATGCGCCGGCTGCTGAGGTGTCGCGGTTGAAGCTTTTAGCAGAACTATTTTGCACCAGTGTTCCTTTTGGATAGCGCTTATTGGCTCTGATGTTTTGGTTGAGCAGGCCTTCCTGAAGCTTGAGGTCTAGTCTTCTCTCGTCCTCAGCAGGGCCATCAGTTACACCATCACCAGCTACGTCCGTACGTGGTAGTTGTCCTTGTTGTAGTTCTTTAGATGTTGTTCTACTTCCCCCACGACCTCCACCTAATGCGCCCGCTCTTGCTATTTCCACTGCAGCTGAGCAGGATGGACAATCGTTCTCGTTTCTAGTTCCTCTACTTGTGGCTATGTTGTTCGCAGAGTACGACGATGAACGATAGTTGTCTACTTTCCTCTTTCCAAAGTCTACTTCGTCTAAGAATCGGAAGAACATCTCCTCATGTCCGAGTTCTAGCACTAAGACAAACGCCTCGTCTAAAACGCCACCACGAATACAGAACATAACTCTGGCCCACGGTGATGGTGCGACTCCTGGTGGGTCATTATCTTTCGATGATGTCTTCATCATGTTTGAACAAGATGAAGACGAGGAGCCTCCGATTAGTTCGTTACCACGGTTGTAAGCGGTACTAGCGCCATTCGTGAGATGAAATCCTCCACCTCCACCGCCAAAGGCTGCTCGATTCCTTCCACCCCCTCTCCTAGATCCATCATTTTCGTCTTCTTTTTTCGCTTCCGGAGACGCTTCGACTCGGCGCGGAGACAAAGGACGCATCCGCCTTCGTGTCAGATCGTCACGTCGCTCTTGAGTTCGCTGATCTGAGGCTTGCGCTTCAGCTTCGATCTCTGCCCGCTTTACTTCCTCTGGATCATCGGGATTCTCGGGCTGAGGCCGGGGACTTTTCAGGCGATTGATACGCGGCGAGTCCACTTCTGGCTCTAGAGGGTCGAAATCGTCAAGCTCTTTGGCTAGATGCGTTTGCTGCTGTGCTGAAGAGGCACCTGCTACATTTCTTCTGTTATTGGTTCTTGGCAAGTTGTTCAATGCAGGAGTAGACGCACTTGCTCGAAGTGTAGTCCTTTGATAGTCTTCTACTTCTTGATCATGGTCATCCACTGGATCTCGTTCTTCTGCCTTACCATCATCAACAATTTCACTGAACCTAAGAGATCGACGTGTGCTGATTGCACCGCCATGAAGATCTCCAGTCGACGCGGCTTGCATAGTAGCGGAGTTTGCCGCAGGCCTCGTTGCTAGTCCTCCTGGTCCTCCCCCACGAGAAGATATACTTGCGGTTGCGCCTCCAGTTTGAAAACTACCTGGTCCACTACTACCGCTTCTACCTAAAGCAGCAGCTGAGGCACTTCTTCCTCGACCACTGGAAGCACCACCACCAGACGGTCCTCCAACCATAGACAATGGCTCACAACTCGCTACCAAATTATCCATCACCGTATCCATGGAGTAGACTGCGGTGCCGCTAAACCTCGCGCCCTCGTTCCCGGCAGCACAGGTATTGGCAAATGCGGTAGATCCAAGAGAGACGACGCGAGGCTTTAGAGGTGGTGGAAGTGAAGCCTGTTTCTCTGAGAGAGTGAATAAAATGCTGTGAAGATCTATGACGGTGACCTTCTCATGCGCTTCCGCACCATCAGCAAGCTCATTTGGACATGGACGCTCAGAGAGTTCATAACAGTTTCTGCCTCTCCTCCTCCAACACCCTCCAGCTTCCGTAACATCCGTCCACACACTTACGAAGTTTCCCATCTTTCTCACCCCTCATCTGTTGAAACAGAGTCGCGCTGGTCTCAGGTTTCATCAGAGACTGCACCACCGGACACAACTGGAGCAGCAGATGCACATCCTGGTCTTGGAGGAGTTAGGAGTTAGACGAGGAAGCAAGATTCAGAAGGTGAAAGTAGGAAGTCGATTACTGTTGAGCCGCAAATGAAATGTGTGCAGGGTTGTAGGGAATCGAGTACAGTTGTCAGAAGAAGACCCAGGACTACGAAAGACAAAGACAGCGACCGGCAAGTAAGAACTTCACGATCTACTTGCTGGTGCACGAAAATGATTGAATTACGCCGATCGTGAGTCAATAAGAAAGGTTTACTTTGGTCATAATCTTCTGCGTCTTCTCTCGGTCGTACTCAGCTTCTATTTCCTGCTGTTCTCTAATCCTTCGCACCTCAGTGTCTTGGCCGGGGTTGATGTTGATGGCCAGATCGTTCTCGAGGTCCTCGTCAAGTCGTCTTCGGGTTCGCGTTGAGCATCCTGCACCTTCAAGAGCATCGCTCTGGTGCCCCATGCCTCGACGTTGACCACCATCGCCATCATCTTCGTCGTCCTCTAGGTAGTTATCGCGATCCCTCCCTTTGATGCTTTTCATGAAACTCGTTCCACGCTGTTGCCGTTCAGCCTCTATCTGCAAGGCGCTCCGTTGCTGACTCAGGGGCTTGGTTTTATCGTAGTCGAACAAGCTTCCACCACGCAAAGCTGTTTCTGCTCCAGTGTCCCCGACCTCTCGATAGGTGTGCAAAAGCAGAAAACTTGCGACGTGGCCCAGTGAGACGCAACTTACCACACATAGTTCCCGAGAGAACTTCTCGGCATGTCGCAAAATCTGTACACATATCGCCGAAACCTGAAGCAAGTATCGTCGTGGCCACAGGTGTTTCGCTAAGTATTGCGCGACGCAGTGGAGCAAACCCAGCAGCGCTATTCCATTGAGCTTTACGGCAGCAGCGAGTGATCCAGCGGAAGGAAATTTGCCGCGAGTCGGAGAGGCAAAGGAAGATCTACTAGTCCTACTGGATAGTCCAAGACCAGTGTCGGAAGAAGATTTCACCATCCCTGAGGCAGTTGATGGCCTACTAGATTGAGTTTGAGAGTTCCGCTTAAACGTCGTCAATGGATGTATGCTTTCCTTGCGTTGTAACTCGTTGCCCTGTTCGTTGCAAGACTGCAAAGCATCAAACAAGCAAGAACAGTGCTCCATCAGTAATTCGCGTAATCGAAAATTCGTCCTGTCCTCGGTGTATTGCAGTAGCAACTCCCTTGTCAAACAGATCAAGGCCAAAGAGCCGCTCCAGGTCTGCGTTTCTAGTTGTTCTTGGCACAGTTGTGGGGATATCTTGACTGGATCTCGCGGGGATTTGAGATTGCGTCTAGGAGACTGCAGCTCGGACAAGGATTTGTGGGCCGCGGAAGCGCGTTTGGTTCGAGAGTTAGCGTGGGAAATTTGAGTAAGATACTTTAGTTGTAAAGCGCGAGCGGGCATTACAAGGTTGTTCTCATTATGAACATAGTTAGGTCGTGCAGCTGAACAGACGATAGCGCTCTTGCTCAAACAAAGGAGAATGGCAAGAAACGTTTCTTGTGCCCCCAAGGTTCTGCAGCTGTCACCAGAGTCACAATAACACTCTTCATGATGCCATAACATTCTGGCCCGAACCAGAACTGCTTAGCGCGAGAATGCTGTTACTGCCTTGCGACACAGCTTTGAATATTGGCGCGGAGTAACGGTGGTAAAGCTCGACGCTCCAAGGCGTCGCATCCTGAACGGCCTGACTGCCATCGAGACCACGGGGAATGAAGAAAGATTGAAGATCTCATAGATAACTACTAGTAGTACTTGAGTAAGTACTAGATTAAGTAGTGACATCTTCGCCCAAGCCATACCCAAACTTGACAGCGACAACCTGCCCTGCAATCTTGGTGACTGGACAAATCGGCCTAGAGAAGCAAGGAACTGCTTGTTCAGGATCACAAAACCCTCAACCAGGACACGAGCAGCCAGCGTGGCATCTGGATCCGTCAAGATGCCATGAAGGACTAATCGGCCGAAGAGAGTGCTTTTTGTTAGAAGTAATATATAAAAAGACTTTGTTCTAGTACAAGTAACTTCTGTAGTTAGAAGGTCGACAAATCAGTAGAAGAGAGTGACTTAGATTTTCCTTAGAAGAGATAGCCCTAGACCTAGAAATCGCGCCAGAAGTTCGTGCAATATTGAGTTGGTTCAACCCTCTACGGCTCTTTTGCATAACTCCAGCAATTCCCTTGGGCAGACGCTGCAGACCACGGGATAAAGCCACAGGAGAGACAACGAGCGCTTCTCTTTCACGTTCAGCTCTTTCCGAATACAGATCTCATCTAGAGCAGCCATATGCTGCTCAGATCGCTGTTTCATTTGATAATTGACGTGCATGAAGCCAAAATCTCCTATCATTCTCAAGTTTCTCAAGTAGAAAATTATGCTGATAGTGTATGTCTAAGAGTAGTTGCCAAATGAGGACCCAATGATACTGACCTTGAGGAGCACGCTGAGCAGGAATACTGATAGATAATGATAATGGATTTTGGTTTCATAACGTTTGCCTTGGTGCCACTACCGGGTTCTTTACCACGTCCTAGATAGACAAGACGTAAGAAGAGCCAGACGGTGTCACCTGGATAGAGTTCTTGATGAGAAGGCAACAGAGCTGGTGGGGGGTAAGGACAACCATAGGCGATCGCGGACATGCCTACAAACTCCTTTTCCCCAAACGTTATCACGAAGACGAAGACGTCTCCTGATGAAAGTGATAACATCAACAAGAAGAACCCATCAATAGAACTTCTGTAGAAATCGTAATTATACCTGCCAAATCCTTCTCCGCTAGATTCCTGAGCATGTGAAAACCCCTCTGCTGCGTAGTCGTTGATGAGTAGTGGAGAAGACCTTCATGAATTTGCTTTTTCAAATACTCACATCTTGCCTCCAGTAACATCTCTTCCGGTGTGCGTGCAACACGACGCCACTCGTGAGTTAGAGGAGAAGATCCTGAGATCTTGAGGTTGAGAGAACATGACTTCATCGAGAAACTACAAGACGAACAAAAAGGTATTCTCGGGGCATGCAGCTCGTCCTCAAGAAGTAGAACATCGTGGATGATCATTCTCATTATTGATTGTTCAATATCTTCCACAAAATGTTCCCCGACTTGTAGTTCCGTAACTTGCGACCAGCGTGTACTGCTTTATCTGGACTCAGCACTGGTACTCGAGACAAGGGACCCTCATGATCTTGTTCCCGTGAGCGTCCTTGATCCCGAGGCAGCGGCCCAGACCAGGTTGAGCGTGACGGCATTTTATTCTCAAGAGTGTGTTGAGTCTACTGATCCTGTAGCTGATGTGATATCTATGATTCGTTCTTTGCTGGCAGCAGGCAGCGTTTGCTGTGCAGCAGATGCATGGCGTTAGTAGTAAGGGAAGTCGTGGTAATGTTTGTAAGCTTTGATGCTGGAGGAGGTGTAAACACAAATTCAAATTTCTCTGGTAGTTGTGCCGCAACTAGTTTTAACTTTTTTGTGGGACCGACTACAGAGACAACAGCAGGAACTACACTTTTTTCCACCTACTTGCGATTACACTCTAAGATTTCATCTCTCGGCACTCGCCAGCGTCTCTTATTTCTTCCCCTCATGACAGGACGCTTTTTCTCGTCACCATGCTCAGACGTCGACCGAGATGACTGGAGCGGCCAGATTATAAAGTTGCGGCTTAAAAGTTGTCCAGTGTTGTCTTTGATTCTGAGATGGTCTTACTGTACGTAGAGCAACAGCAGCAGGTAGAAGAAAAAGCAGTAGAAGGTGTTGAGCAGTTGCTAGTAGATGAAGATATCTCCTAATCAGCAACAGCCCACCACAACGTGCCATAGCCATGGAAGTTTTTACTCTAGAATGTAAAAATCCACCGTCGACGTCCACCCTGTTGAGTTTCAGTGTACTCCCTTAGTCTTAGGGTAACAGTCCACATTCTCTTTAAGCGCACCTCACACTCTGAATCAGTCATGTGTGTCTTCTCCCGTACCAACCATGCTTCCCTGTGGTTGCTGCGAGCCACCTGCTGCACTCTCTCGTACTCCGCTTGCAGCTTCGCCTCCGCCTGCGTTGTCCTCATCATGATCGTCAGCTTCGGATGGATTAGAAGGGGGCGCATGGAAGATCATGAACAGGTCGTGTATTGACTGAACTACAGGTCTATTGACTAAGACTATAATTCACAAATAGAAATATAAGAATAACGAAAGTCGAGAGTGATGCCTCTATCTATTACAATTACTTCAATAACATGTGGTCGTCACGTAATAGTGACTACATTACATGATGACAAGAAGAAGAACGTGCAAGATTCTTCATAAGTGCATCCGCAGCTTGTCTTGCTGCTCTTGCGTCATTTTCAGCATCGGCAGCCCCATTGACTTTTCGTTCTCGTAAAGAGCCGAGGCTCGACGACGCCTTCCCTTCGGCTTTTCCGGTATTATTAGTAGAGGACACGACAGATGAATCTGTGCCGTCACAGATGCTATTGTAGTGTGCCAGCAATTTTTGGGTATCATCTTCTTGTACTAGTGCAGCAAGTGGATGTGGACTAGAAGGCGTAGAAGACGAGTGAAGTGCGATAAGGTGGTGCTGGTGAATATCTACGTTTACAACCAACGGTGCAGGTGCACAGTACTAAGGTTTACAACTTCTACTTCTGTACTTCTTGTGCTAGTTCTTTTAGCAGTCTTTCATAACGATGGGTGCAGCCGGTTCTGCTGAAGCCGTCCCCGCTTTGTTCGCACCAACTGGCACGACAGGCTTCCTCCCTTCCGCAGCTCCAACATTCGCTGGACCGGTACCTCCAGGCGCACCAGCAGCCTTGGCTGTAGCCACTGTTTTTGCAGCTGCTGCAGCTTTTGGTCCACCTCCTGCTTTAGCGGCTCCTGCGACCTCTGTTAAAGCTATCGCGCTAGTGGTCTCCCTCAGTGCATCCTTGGCCCGTTTTTCAAGTAGAAAAGGGGCCCAGGATGTATGATGCCGAGCAGGATGCTTCAGGGGAGGTAGCCTTAACTTTGGTGCGGCTTCACCTTCAATATCTTCGGCTGTGAGCTCGTTCACTTCGTCAGGAGGTGACAACTTTTTCATCACAAAGAAGAACACAAGCGTCAGAGCATACCCAACGCCGAAGGACATCATCGCGTCCTTGTACAAGTTAGAAGTTGGAAAGTAGTAGCCATTCCCTCCTCACGTTCTTGTACGCATGTGGCGCCTCTTTGACTTCCATGACTTCCATAAAACTCCAGCTGTCACTGGTCAATCAAAGGGAGGTTGACAAAGAGGCTAAGGCTGGCAGATGGAATATTGCAACACTGTGACTTAACTAAGAGTCCCGCTGATTCGGTGTTTTCTTTGGTTGTGGTATCATCACTGGTTGAAGCAGCATCATCTTGAGAAGCTGCAAGGCCGTCCTCCGAAGGTGTGTCCGAATCCGAAGCAGAATCGTCAGAGCTTGATGCACGCAAATTAGCGCAGAGTGAAAGGATGTCTTCAGCAGGTCATCATAGTGAATCAAAAAAAAAGTAATGTGCAGTTCCCGAGGTAGAAGACGTAGAAGATGCTGATGTGACAGGCACCACACGAGGAGTTTGTTCTGGTGTGAGTCAGTCAGGAACTAAAAAAACTAAGAAGTACTACTAGACAACAGTACATTGAAGATTCAACATAATATCGTCGTCGTCGTCGTCCGCGTCACTGCCTTGGTGCTCTCTGTAAGACGTGGTGCCGTCGTTCCGCACAACTAGGGTTTCAGGCCTTGCCTGCCCTGAATGCGATGCAGATGATCTGACGATATTGACGTGGTCGTCTTTCCTTTCTGTATCTTGGTCACTTGCTGTTCTTGCTTGTGCTCTTTCAGTTGGAGTCTGCTAGATTGCATTTTGGTCCCGCCCTCATTTCGACCCCCTTCCCGCCCTTGTAATATTCATGAGAAGAATACAGTAATATTTCACGAGAAGAATACAGGGGAACAAAAGAGGACCAAGATGCCGAGAAAGATGGACACTAAATGTTGACCATAATTCAGTGGTCTCCGTCTCGATATCATCAAGAACAGTCTCCTTTTGGAGCAGTTGCATGCCTTGCCTAAAACTAGTCCTTTCTTGTCTATTTTGGCCACTTCTGAGCGACGTTCGACCGACGACCGCCAAAAGATCGTCGTTCTGGTGGATCACGGCGATCGCAGCGGCGGCTAGTACGCGACCGCTTCGCCGTCGCGAATGACGGAAATGTTGATCATGCCGCGACAACATCTGCTTTAGTCTATAACCGAGCAATTTAGAATAAGGCTTCACAGCTCGCATGGAATGGAGTGCATGGATCACATGGAGTAGCATGGAGCTAATGGGGGAGCTTCTGGCGCCACTTGAAGCTCTGCGCTCCATGCACTCCATGCTACTCCATGCACCATGCGTGCTTTTTTATAGCACTGCTATAAACTACTCTGCTATAAGTAAAGAGTAAAATAATTCCTAGATTGAGAGTTTTTGGCGGGTGGCACTAGAAAGGTGCAGATAGTAGCTACGAGTGTTCTTGAAGATAGTACTCTGTGTGTGAGTACAGTTTGAGAAGTACCTAGAAGCACGAGTACGCGGCCGTTATTAATTTTAATAGTGACTCTGAGTCTGAAAATCTTTTCATCTTTGAGAAATGAGGACTGAAGCACCTCAATTTCAGCAACCTTTTTTGAAGAGTCGGGAGGAGCCTGGTTGTTCATCACATGATCTTCTTCTTATGTCTTCCACTTCAGTCGGCGACCGTCGTCGGACTGTGCTCTTGTTGCTCTCTAGAATCACTCATATTGCACTTCAATTACACTTACAACAGCAACCCTTTCTCCTTCTATCTGTCATCTCTATACTCCTTCATTAGGATAGGATAGGAGTGGGCTCACCTGCGACAAGGTGAGCGTATAGGCATAACGCGGTTTTCTTCTATTTCTTCCTTACTTTTCTGAAACTGCGAGTGCTGTAGTATCCCGACGAGAGAGAACCTGCTGCAACGACCCCTAGATGTCGAGACGTGTTGCAATCTCCATCAATGAGTACGTGCGTGTGCAAAAATGTACTACTTGTGCACCTCGTACCTTCCAGGTTCGTCAAAGGTACGATGTGGTCACAATATTAAGCATTTGTCTATGATTCGGGTCGTAGATGAGGGGTACATTGTATATCAAAAAATGCACAGGTCAGAACCTTTATTCTAGTGGTCGTGGAATAAGATGATATGAGAATGAGCTTGAGTCGCGTGATAATGAATTTCAAATATTGTTGTGCTGGTGAAGGATGCTGATTTATTCTTTTTGTTAGCTGGTGTTGCAATATTATCATGGCACAAGAAAACGAGAATGACACTAATAGTCCTGCGGCTCTGAATTAATGAGAAACTTCTGCCTGTTTTCGTTTTGCTAACTTTGAGCTGCGTACAAATTAAGGTATGCCACCCGCATGTACTTCACACGTTTTGTTCCACCTACTTTTTATTTAAACAAAAAAACAAATTATGCGAAAAACGAGGAACATGTCATGTGATGCGCGTCTCTGATAGTGCTGTCCGTAGCACCCGTAGAGACTAGTATCTGAATCTGATATTAGAGATAACTTGATAAAGTTAAAACAATCAGAACATCGTTAAATGTACTTACTAGATTTCGAGTCTTTGTTGGCATTTCGAGTCTTTGTTGGAATGCGAGCAGAGAAGATGAAAAAATGATTGTTCTAAGTAGCTTGTGGTCGTAGTTGTAGTTGTTTGTATTGAGTAGGCATGCGTGTCGGCCTTTCGACGAGACGCAGACTGGTTGGCGCAAAGGCAATTCTGTTCTTCTCATGTTGATGTTTATGGGTTTTTATGGCTAAAAGTATCAATGTGCTGTTCATGCCATTCCTCGTCCCATGAACTTCATGGGAGGATTATATAGCCTACTAACACCTACGTCGGTTCAACATTGTGGTTGACCTTAATATCATCGTCATGTCCTTACGACGATTTCTACCAATTAAACAACTAGATGAAGCCTTTTGCACCTCCTAGTCCACGACCTAGGTCGATGCTATTGCTGGTTTTACGAGCGTCTTGCTTTCTTCGGTAGCTGCGCAGTAGTCGACACCGGCTAGCGCTTCCGTTTTCAGCAGATCTCGCGGTCCCTCGTAGGCCAGCAATCGCGCACTGTTTAACAGGACGAAGAGCAGCGTAAGAAAGTCCAGCCAGATGGAGATCGAAAGCAGAATGGAGTTGGAGTTGACACTTGACGTGGAGCCCTCCTGAGGGGTTGAAGACGCTTGAAGATCGAGAGCATATCCTCCTGATGTTGAGCCCATCACAGCCGGCAGCAAAACGACCAGTACAACGAGTAGAATCTTGCTGCCGAGAGACACCCACAGGTTCCATCGAGATGTGGAGAGCGTATTTCTTGCGAGATAAACGCAACATATTAGAGGACCTTCGCCTTCCCGATCATCCCGTCATAGACATATTAGTCATTGTTCTTCATCTTTAAGAGCCGCATCTACTTTGGCGTGTCTTCCCCTTGAAAATGAAATCGTGCTTTCAATCGTGCCCAAAGGCAAAGAGGTCGTATTATTTTCCTTTGGAGTTCATTGACGTGATCAACACTAACACTAATGGTTGTTCCTTTTACTTACTTAAGATGAACTACAAGAACGGAAAGGAGCCTTAAAAATGGTATGCTTCGAAGATCGCTGTCGAACAGTCCGACGTCAGAACTCTGAAGAGCAACAGCAGTGCCAGCAGCAGCCATGCTGAACGAGACACTGGCCGTAGCCATCGCTACACCATCGTTAATACCATCACCGACCATTGCAGTTGTAGTAACAGGAGTCGGAGTCGGACCGCCTGATATTAAAGCAGAACTGTAGGAGGTCATTCCACTACTACGAGTACTGCTGCTCAAATTTTTGTTCATGATCATGTTCTCAGGATCCTCAGGGTCAAGGATAGCTAGTTCTGCTATAGCTCGTCCAGTTGTGCTGGTCGCATCCTGTGCAGTCGCAGCTCGCTTGATATTCAGGGCTTTCTCCTCTGGTGATAGACCGGCGAAGATATTGATACCGACTCCGGACTGAAATTTCGTTTTGTCATACTAGTGTATTGATGTTTCGAAAAAAGTAACTACAGATTCGTATTCTTTGAGTGTGGTCAAGGTCATTGTCATAGTTTTAGTTGTCATGATGTTGGTGGATACTAGAATTAGCAAAATAGGAACTACAAAAACTAACACTATATATGGTACCTTGTTGCAGAGTTCCTTTGCTATGCCTGCAGCAACTGGATATTGGTCCCCTGTGAGCATTGTCGCTTTGATATTCAGTCGATGGACCATAGATCGAATCGCAACTGGGGCTTCAGCTCTAAGGGGGTCCATAGCGCTAAACTGCGCCAAAATGCGGCCATTGACAGCGACATAGAAGAGGTTGGAGCTAATAGAAGAAGTACTCTTGGCCTTGCTAGATAAAGTATTCTTGTTACCAGGTCGTGTAGTAGAAGAAGGTGTCCTTGTGGTGATCAAAGCAGCCACTGTCCATTGTCGTTCCTGTCGCATGCGGTCATTGCCGATACAGACTTCCAGGAACGAGAAGGTTTCTCGCGGACTTCCCGCTGAAGATTGTTTCTGACCTGAAGACCACAAGGTAGGAGGCGTAGTTGCAGAATCACTGCAGTGTCCGAGCCTTACTGCACCACTGACAATGAGCCCCTTGCCTCGTTCAATGGAGAAGCCGCCTGTATTCTCGCCGTCAAGCTGACTCGGCAGTCTAAACGCGGATGCGCTCTCCCGATCGGGATCTCCAACGCCTAGAAGCGCTAGTCTTCGCTTGCAGAACTGCGTTAGCGCTAGTGCCAACGGATGGACAGCGGACTGCTCGACTTCGATGGCGTATATGAGCAGTAAAAGTTCTTTTTCGCTCATCATGGTTGTGCTGGTGGAGGAAGAAGAAGAAAAAGTTGAAACTATGGTGTCGCTCGTGAAGTCGCAGATCTGAAAGCGGCCTTGGGTAAGCGTTCCTGTTTTGTCGAGGAATAGGTGTTGCAGAGTAGCAAGTTTCTGCAAAGACTCAGGGTCACGGATGATGATTTCGCGTCTCCCTGCGCTCACGGTGCCGCAGACAAAGGCCAAGGGTCCTGCGAGCACCAAGGCACACGGACAGGCGCCAACTAAGAGCACCAAAGCTAATAGTAAAAGATCGCGGGGACTCGTTGGAGAAGTAGATGAAGATGAAGCTCCATCTCCATGTCCTCCATTAGAGGTGTAGATACTATTAGTTGAGAGAGTGCTCGAGGAACTGTCTTGTTCTTCGAAGTGCAAAATCGGTCCCAACAGGGTAGAGAAGAAGCCTCCTGAAGATCCTTCTGGCAGTACAGCAACGACTCCCGCTGCGAGCACTAATGCCAGGACGATGAACATTACTAGCTTCGTGTACACTGCCAGAAAGCGTTCTAGAGCGGGACTCAACTTCTGCTTCGTAGACATGGCTCGTCGCGCGGACTGCACAATGCGCTCAGCCTGAGACTCGGTGGTAACACTAATGACTCGCATACGTGCACTGCCAGATACGATAACCGAGCCTCCGACCAAGGCGTCCCCTTCTTTCTTCATCACGGGTCGCATTTCGCCACTGATGAGAGACTCGTCGACCGCGACCAGTGACTTGATGTTGTTGTCGCCGCCAGTGTTACCGTCTGCGCCAACCAGTCGGCCATCGCATGGGACCGCCATGCCCTTGCGCACTGCAATCACGTCACCAGGCTTGATATCGTTACCAATACTCGAACTCGTTTTTCCGTTTTCTCCATCCTTTCCACCTGAGGACCCAGCACCTCCTCCAGAGAGATCAATGTCCTCCAACATGCGGCTAGCTGTCTGCGCGACTTTCGTTTGCAGATGGTCGGAAAACAGGTAGAGCCCGAGCAACAGGACGGCATCGTCGGCCTCTCCTAGCAGAAGTGAGCCAAGGGAGCTTACGGACAGCAAGAAGTGCATACCTCCTACACCAGTTTGTGCTCGCCACGCACGCCGAAACACCTCCTCACCAATATACACTATAGTGACCCCTGGAACGAGGAAGACGACCAGGAAGCTGAATAGAGCGGTCGTGAGTCCTCCTTCATCGGAGAACAGTTCCAACAATGGCTGAAAAGCGGTGCACGCTAGCCAGACAACCGTGGCGAGTCGAATCTTAAAAGGCGCGCCTCTGGCGCCCCATCGTAGGAAGTTATAGATCGTCGTGAGAAGAGTCAATAGACTGCTCACAAACACAAGAGAGGTATCGTTTGAGGCTGCGCGTCCTCGAGGCCCTGCTTGGTGTTGGTCATCTTCAGACCCGCCACTTATTTGAGAACCACCTCCAAATATGGCAACCACCATGTTTTCTTCCTCCTCATCTTCATCACCTGAACCTGATCTTCCTCCTGAACCTGATCTTCCTCCCACTTGATGTTGATTTGTTCCACCTCCTTCTAATCCTTGAGGAAGATTCTTGCTTGACCTAGAAGAGGAACAAGATTTCCTCTTCCTTTGTAGGCTCGCTTCTAGTCTCGCTTCGTTCAACGCGTCCACAAGCACCTTCCCTGGTGCTAAAAGCGCATTGTGCTGCACATAGGCCTCCTTCAGCGGCACTGAGACGTCGACGGTTTCAACTCCAGGCACCGAGAAGAGGATCCTCTTGCACATAGTTAGGGGTTGCGCAATTACTTTTTTCAGATAATCCTCCTGGACTTCTTTCCTATTGGAATATAAGTCAAGAATGGTAGTGAAGGATGCAATTCCGTAACCCTTAACATAGGCACTTCAGAGGAGCAGCAGATGCCGCGGATGAAGATGGTGCTGCTCGTTATTAGAGCTGGTGACCCGATTCTCCCATCTTCAACGCCAAATAGCTACAACAGGTTCCTTAGAGGTTTCCCGAGGGAACCTGTGGCAACTATTCTACTGTTGTAACTATTCATCAGACAGAGAGAGAGAGGACTCGTCTTTTCAACTTGAAACATCAAAACCAACGTCAGTTTCTAGGAGAATGTTCCCAAAGAAAGATGGATCGTCTTAAGGTTATCTGATTTTCAGTTGGTCGTGGTGCCGAAGTTCTTGTGCCGGGCGTTGCTCCGGTAGAACCCGGAGCACTGGCAGACGAGACCCCCCCACTTTTCCTCCCACCACCGCAACAAGATGAAGTAGTTTTCTTTGGCTGCTGCACGATCAGCGGTTGCGCCAGCATAGTTTTTGTTGAAGTTGTTGTAAGGATCGCGAGATGGATCTGATGGTTCTGATGAAATATATGATAACGTTATGCTGGGTGACGCTCCTCCTTCGCGGTGATGATTGTCGAAAAACAGAAGATCAGGACATTTCTGATCGCGCGCTTCTGCTTCTTGTACTTGCATAGTGGTATGCAGGTGACGCAGCAATAGATGCATGCCAATAGATGACAAAAACGCGATGGGCGTAGGATCTCAGTTTGCATAAGTAGAAGGACAGTTCGCATTGCCCTTAGAAGGAGAGCTCTGATTGACTGTGTGCGTCAATCGGTGTGCCTTAACGCATGTCAACACCGCCGTAAACGATGTTTTGGGCCAACACCACTGTGGGAGAGGTTCCTCTGGGCGCAAGCGGGAACGCCAACGCGAGTTGGATCTTCGTAATAATATGTCTACTACTAGTTGCAGTCCTGACGGAGGAATAAAAGCTTGTCGATATTTCTAGTAATATGATCAAGATCATCAAAGTGTGATTTTTATAATATGTTATCTGCTGCAATTGCTGTTGCGTAATGGGGCCTGGGGTTTTAGGGAAAGTCTCGAATCTGGGAAAGTGGATGATAGAAAAGTCCATTGAGAAATGCAAATTTGAAAAACTACAGGTGAAGGGGCTAACATCTACATCTAAATTTTGCTTTTCTCGCTAGAACTCGTGGTTCCAGTATTCGTGTTTCATGGATGCATCTACTTACTTCAAGTTCGAATTTCGTCAACCCCAAGATGTTGAAGTGTCATCTTCAAATCCCCCTACCCTCTCCGCGACCCTTCATCTCTCGTGACTGCACCAGCTGGCGTTGGTTTAGGTTTTTGAAATATTTAATATAATGTACTTAAATGGAATAGGTAGAAGCATCAATAGACGTCGATGTCTTTAGTTTAGTACTAGGAGTAGGAATGTTGTACCCTTTTACTTGACAAAGAAATGTTCATGGAACTTCTAAAAATGTTCTGTTTCTTCATCAATCACGAGTCATCTACCATGGAAACGGGGACTCATTCCAAAGGCCGTTTCCTGTTTGAGGTGAAGATTGAGGTGAACCATCTTGAGATTGAGATGAAGAAGTAGGACTCGCACCAGGTTTGCCAAATGGTCCGCCACCTCCACCTCCGTGAAGACTGGATGAACCCGGAAGAAGTAGTAGAGGCGTCTTTGGAGAAGAGGCGTCTTTGGAATAGTCTACCAGAACCTCCTTCCGCAATACCTCAGTTCCGCGAATGAGCATGAGCGAGACCGCTTTTCCTCGTGCTTAGAGCAAACGAAAACTATGATCTACTCCTGCCGCTTTATCCGCATAGTATCTATGGTATGCGGCATTATTTAATATACTCAACAAGAGATAAATCAAAAGTAGAACAAAATCAAAAGTAGAAAATCAAAAGTAGAAAATTAAAAGTAGAAATTCAAAAGTAACTAGAGGTAGAGGGCTTCTGCTTCGTCTACATAATGTGGAGCGGTTGAGATGATGCGGAACAAGTCGTCGATGTTCCCAACTGGCTCTCCATCTACTGCGACAACGAAGTCGCCGGCTCCGACGCCAGCCTTAGCTGCAGGGCCGTTAGGATCTATTAGCAGCAGTCTCTGTTGATCAGTAAAGTATGTAGGAAGAAGATTCTCCCATGATTAATATTAAGAGCAACAAAATCCAGCAAACACTGCCCCTCCGAAGCCTCAACCCCCAACACCCAAGCCCACAACCTCCGAAGCCCTCAACATCCAACCCCCAAACCCTCAATCCCCGACACAAAAACCACCAAACCCATGAACTTATGAACTTCTGAACTCATGAGCCCAGGAACTCATGATCCAGCAAATATGCCCAAAATCAAAAATTTTGGGATTTGAGTGAGAAACTCAAACCCAGCGAATTTAACCCAAAAGCAACAAAATAACGTGGAAAGCTTCGAAATTTGAGAAATTCAAATACAGCAAATTGAATTTCAGAAAAAATGCTTAAAATCAAAAATTTTGGGATTTGAGAAATTCAAATCCGGCGAATTCAATCCCAAAGCGAGAAATAATGCGGAAAGCTTCGAACTTTTAGAAATTGAAGTCCGGGATTGAATTTCCGAAAAAATGCTTAAAATCAAAAATTTTGGGAATTGAGATACCCAAATCCCACGAATTCAATCCGAAAGCTTCGAAGTTTGAGAAATTCAACGCCAGGAAATTGAAACTCAGAAAAATGCTGAAAGTTGGAAATTGGAGAAATTCAAATCCAGAGCATTGAATCTCAGAGATAAGGCCTAAAATCTCAAAGGTTTTTGGATTTGAGAAACCCAAGCCCAACGAAGTGAATCCCAAAGGGGCAAAATAATAGAGAAAGCTTCGAAATTTGAGAAATTGCCATGCCAGGAGGTTGAATCTCAGAAGAAAGGCTTAAAGCCGAAAATTTTGGAATTGGAGAAATTCAAATCCAGCGAATTTAATCCGTCCCAAAGCGGCAAAATAATGCGGAAGGCTTCGAAATTTGAGGGATTCAAATCCAAGCAATTGAATCGCAGCGAAACTGTTTAAAGCTAAAGAATTGCCTGCCTGTTCCCTGGGTTACTTCGGCGGGAGGAGAATCCTAGCGCGAGGGGTTGTTATCAGGCGCCCCAAGCTAGTATCTATAAGTTGGGAGTTGCATGCCAGCACCTCACGCAAGATCATATTAAGGATCTTGATGCTCTAGTACCTACTTTTACATACTCCATGCATGTTCTACCTTAGGTACTACCTGAGGCACTAATACCTACTTTTATACTCCATTAAGTATGTCCCGTAAATCTACGCCAGCAACTTGAAAGATTGTGGCAGTTTTGAGCTTCAGACGTCGTTGCAACCTCGGATCCACTGGGCGACCAAAGCCGGCGACACCGAGATACCCACGAACGACCCTCCCACGTGTCAAAAGCTGGGAAACGACCCATAGAATCGTGCTAGAGGGAACTGCAAATGCAATGCCTTGAGCACCCTGATGGTGGAGAAAGAATAAGAATTTGAATTTAGTTCATCAACAAGTTGAGAACAAAGACAGGAACATAGCTTGAGAATGAAGACGTTCATTCTTGAACATCAACATCACAAGTTGAGAATTAATAATAATGGATGGACTAGACGGTGTTTAACAAAGAGACCAGCAGACTTTTTTCAGTACTTATTCAATTGTACTTTATAACGAGCACGAGGATTTCCAGGGGTATCTAGTACAGGTATTTTATAAGGGGGTGTTTTTCCGTTACAAAAATGGAAGAGACATCTTGGTGTCCATGCATATATTTCTCGAGAGCTCTTCTGGCTGCGATTCGCAAAGATGATAGTGTTGATGTTTGTAGTAGACTACAAACCTACGATGCAGCTGCAGAAATCGCTAATAACCCTCTTTCTAGTCCATGAAGCAAGTGCATGATATTTACCTGGATTACCTGAATAATCGCCGTATTCATTCCCAACACTTCGCCGCTTGAGTTCACTAGTGGGCCACCTGAGTTACCTGGGTTGATTGCCACGTCGGTCTGAATGACATTATCGATTAAGCGGCCAGATTGCGAGCGTAAGCTTCGCCCTAAAGCAGATATGACACCCGCGGAAACGGATGCAGCAACTTAGACCTGCTTCCCGGAATCCACTATCTTCTTGAGTGGTCCTCCGTTAACAAGTTTGTAGCTCTCACCCGTTTTTTTCCCCTTTTTAATAGACAGAGCTTGAGGTCCTCCGACGAGATGCATCTAAAATAAATAGATATAAAGTGATGATCTTTATGTGTTCTTGTTGGACCACAGAGAAGCCTTAAGCAAATCCCAAGGGGTTTCCGATTGCTATCGCTAGTTGCCCCACGCGAACTCCATCAGAAATAGACGAAGCAGTCGAAGGAGAAGATGGGGAGTTTGATGATGAGCTTGCTGTTGTTGAAGATGTAGTCGTTGTCGATGATGTATTTTTGGTAGAATTAAAGCGCAGCATTCATTGGTCACTGACTCTGAACGGAAGAGACCCGCAGGTTCAAAGCTCTCCCCTTTCCCTTCGTTTACTTCCGCTGTTCTACTCTCAAGGGAAGGCCGCCTCTTCGATCTCAGTGACCCCAATCTCAATGGTGACCGTTGAAAGTTGAGCCTTAATAGAAGGACTAGTGGTCTCCGTCCTAGTACTAGTGTTGTTATTCCTCCTGTCTTGCCCAAGCATTCGAAGGGGCTCACCTGGGAGGTTTCTTACATTCGTTTTGGATATCCGCAATAATGCGACGTCAGTGCTTGGGTCAGACCCTACTACGTCACATTTGTAGCTCTCATCCGTAGCAAATGAAAAAGGTGGTGCCCGTGGAGGAAGGGAAAGAAAGTATTATAAGTCTCGACGTCGACGTCCCCTAGAGGTAAAAATAGTTATGTTTATTTGGAAAGAGGAAGTGTTGAGTCTACTAAGAAAGGCTGAAAGAATGAATATTCGAAGATCTTATCGAGAGGACATGATAAAGAACATTGCTAGTTGTAGTACGACCACCGGACCGACTCCCATCACGAAATACTCCTACATGAGTGTACGTGTAGCGAAACTACATCTCCAGGAACTAAGTACTTCTAGTACAAGAATTTATGCAAGAACAGCATCGTCGTCTCATTGCAATTGCATAAAAGAGGGAATGTCACGAAGAGTTCTTGCATAGTGAGTGAATGTGACGAAAGCATAGAGTGAATGTGACGAAGAGTTCGTTCGCGTCCTTAATAACGTGGTGGTTCGTCAGAATGAGGCCTTCCTTCGAGAACACGAAGCCACTCCCTTGACCGGCTCTTTGATCTGCGTGGCGTGCACCGATAGCCACCACTGACGGACCGACCGTCTCGACTACGCGGCAAACAGTGCGGGAATAGGCGTCCATTCCATTTCCATGTTGGTCTCCAACTCCAGTTGTATGGTCAACTACATGGTTCAAATCAGGAGGTTGTAGCTGCTCTGCGTTGAAAGAATAAGGCGGAGGAGGCACGGAGGAAGATGAGGAGGCGAAGCTTCGTTGTGCCAACATGTGAAGATAGTTGCCTCCGTTGGGTCGCTGGCTACCTGTAGTTTGTCTCTCCCTCAGAAGTAAACGTTGGAGCAACGCCAGATGGTGACGGCCGCACAGGAGACCGCTCGCGCGACGTGTGTAATTACGAGCAAGCTTCATCTTAGCGGCCGCAGGGCAAGAGCGAAAACTATCAGGAAAAACTCACATTGAACAGCTATCCTTTAACACAGCATGAAACATACGCTACAAAGATTGGCAAGTACCTAGCACACAAATAAGCCACGAGGACCAGGAGACTAAATGGAAGTTACAACACTGTATAACTATAATGAGTTACTCACTATAGATGCATGTATTAATGTGGATGATATTAATTTGTCGACGCTCTCGTGGTAAACTGTGTATCTCATCACGCCCACACGACAGATTGCTTTTTCTAGATAGGGCAGCAGGGACTGGCGCGAGGACAGACACCGATAATTCAGTTATGAAGTACAACTTTCTTCTTGTCTGGTGTTCCTCCCGCGTCAGCGATTCTGATATGGTCCACTGCAATCACGACCACTTGCTTCGCAGTTCTTTTTGTAACTAAGTAAGTAGTTGGAGGTAATATCAGTGAAGTAGAAACACACTAAAATTGACTCGACTTCTCGTTGTACACACATCAGAAAATATCTTTTTCACATTCAGGTCCAATGTTTATCGTGGTCTAAACTGGGATGGGAATACTGTCGAACGTATCTTTTGATGTGTCGCTGTCGTTGAATACGTGTGACCATGGAAGTGAGTTTGGTCGTCTTCTATTGGGGGTCGTATGGGATGTGGGAAAAAGCTGAAACAGGAGGAGACAGATCATCCAGTAGGGGCCCCAACACCAAGTGTTAGAAGCCTTTACCTTGTTGTTTTTGGTGTCATTCATGCTTCAAGTTAGAAATCGGGCGGCGCTTGCTATGCTTTTCCAGCGTTCCCCTTTCCAGATGAACCCTTTTTTCCTTTTTTCGATGCGCCGGTTGTTTTATGTCCACCCTTTCCGTTACCCTTTCCACCTTGATTGCCCTTGATGCCACTCTTGCCTCCTTTTCCAGTGTTTTTCTTCACTCCATGCCCGCGTCCCCTCTTTCCTCTGCCCTTCTTTTTCTTTTCTCCACCTCCTAACCCTGCGTCTGTGCAATCTTTTTCGCCGTCGCGGTCGTCGTTGGCGGTTTCTTAGAGTGAGAAAAGCTGGGAAAAACGAAAACGGACCTCCACGAGTTATAGAAAGCTCTCCTGAAGAAAGAAAGCTCTCCATGAAACCTCCGCTATGATGTGCTGGATCTTCAACATCCGTGTACTAGTACATGTTCATGAACTACATGTACATGAAAGCACGCAAAGACATTCATCAAATTTGTTGAATATATCGACACGTGCTCATCGACGTCCCTTAATGAGCTTTCTCTCCAACCTCGCCATTTCCGTCAAGCAAGTCCTCGTCCTGAGTCTCAAAGAACGAGGCATTGCTACCCAAGTCCTCGTCGCCTCCATCACCGAAATGATCTTCTTCGACGTAGTCTTCTGCGAAGTCATTAAACGTAGGTGGTGCCATAGCGTCAAAGGGATTATTCCCCGTGCTGGATTCGAATGGGTTATTTCCTGCTCTAGCGGAGACTCCTGGCTCAGGCTCTAGTACTTCTAGTGGTACTTCTAGTACTTCATCAAGATTCAGAGGTGGTTGAGAACAAACTGGTTGTTGTTGTTGTTGTTCTTGTTCCTGTTTCTGCAGATGAGGATTAATATGTTGTGCTTCAGGTAGTTCAGCCGCTGCAACATCAACAATATTGGACTTTGTCTGAGTGGTGGTGGGTACTGGAGGTAGCGCAGTTTTTACCTTGTTCGTTTTTACAACATGCTCGTGTTCTGTTCTTGCAGTACGCGTTTTTTTCCGAGCGGGCTCGTCAAGCCCAGTTTCCTCAGACGCTGAATCCACACTAAGACATGGATTTCCGATACCCCCTCGCACGGGGCGCTGGTCTTTCTTCTTGGGCATAATGCTGCTGACCTGAACCTGATAAAAAAATCCGAAAAAATCATGCTAAATTTTCTGCCTGATTTTTAAGAAGAAAAGTGATGTTCTTTCTCATTGCAGTCCTGCTACTGTAATATCTTCGTGTTGGTACTACTAGGCCATCCATGAACAACAAGTATTTATATAATAAGACGAGCCTAGGACTTTCCAAGATCAGTACTTCGAAGGAGTAAGAATGTAGAGAGGACTTCAGTCAAGTCTTTTTAATTGATAGGTGTGATATTATTATTCTCATTAATTCTTCTAGATGAAGATGAAGATGTCTAGTACTACGTCTAAGTACGTACCTCAACATTTGGTCCTCCATTATTTTCCTGCGGCCTCCTTTTCTTGGTCTCCAATTGCTCCCGAGAAGGTAGGCGAGGTGGAGCAGGAGCTCGTGACTTGCTGCCTTCTGCTCTTCTTGCACTAGTAGACGTCTGATGAGTCTGCCGATGATCGTCTTTTTGTCCTCTGCGAGACGTCTGATGTCGATGATCGTCTCGTAGTTCGGATGTAGATTCAGTTGTCCCATAATCTTGAGAATCTTTCCCCGATGAAGAACCTGGACCCGTCGCGTAGAAACTCGTTGGCACGATCAGCTTCGCAGACGAAGAAGTAGTTCTTCCGTCAATATCATTAATATCTTTTCTTGTTGTACTTCTACCGGTACCTCCGCTGTGCTGAGTCTGATCGCCATTCTTTTTTCCACCACCTCCGCCGTTTGCGTTTCCCCAGACAGCTTCACAATTCTTATTCTTTCTCCATGGCTCGCGCTGCTCATCGCGTTTCTTACTAGACACGACGATTCCACCATCTCCGGCAGTAGGCGGGGGAGGCGCATCCTTGTTATCCCTGCTGGAGGTTTCCTTTGAAGCTGTGAACGCGCTATAATCACCTTTATTATTAGAGCTTCCCGGAATCCATCTCGAAAGTCATCCTGCCCTTGCTTTCCTCCTAGAGAAAGGCCTAGTCAAGATACTTCTGAGGAAATCTTAACTATTTGACTCTTGACTTAGTGCTTTGATGTCTTAGTGCTTTCAAGAGGATGGATTACCTGAACAAGCCTTAATATTATCTTTATTGCGGTTGTACTTGTTTTCCATGTACCAAGGTTGCCCAGATTTCGAAGTCGAAGAGGCGATCTGAGCAATATTAATTGTGATGGTGAATGCGAAACTATATAGGCATGGTAAAAGACACGATGGACACGTGGAGGATCAAGCACATTCTAGTACCAGCACTATCACTATTAATATCTGAAGATGCTAAGTAGTTTATTAATTGTGTTATTTACTCTATCTTCAAATGTAGTTCTTTCATGTAGTTTTTTTTTAATTCTGCAATAGAGTCAATCACAATCTTCATGCATATTATAGTACATCGTAGAATCTCATATTGGTACTAATTAGTAGGTACATCGCAGGATCTCACATTGGTATTTCGTTACCTTTTGCTCCCCCGCTGCTGCGTAGTTCGTGCCTCTCTTTTCTTCCACTATGTTCAGATTCTTGTTGTTCGTAGCAGAGGTGTTCGCATTCGTGGTGATGGCAGTTGCATTTGTAGGTGCACTACTGTGATAAATTGGCTCTTTATTCTTGGTGTAATGTTGCTTCTTGGTCGACGTCGTGGTGCCAGTGTCGTCCCTTTCAACAACTACGGCTGACATCAAGTTATTATAGGAAGATCCTTTGTTCGCCAGAGCCTCGCGACCGGTGGTAGTTCCGGGTGGCGGCGGGCGCGTGATGTTAGTTATGTTGGTGTTGGTGTTGGTGTTAGGTTGTGGATGAACAACAACAGTCGTCGTAGTTGTGGGCCCCTCTCCCCTATGGCCGCTCATATGGTACTTATTCGTGATGTTGTCTATTTGAGAACCACTGTGCCACTTGTTACTTTCTTTGGCAGTTGTCGTTGTACTTGAAGAACCTCCATTAGCATGCCCAACGCTGCTAGAAGTCTTAATAGTCCCACTACCATTAGGAAGAGACACAGTGCCACCATTAGGAAGAGACACAGTTGCGCCACCTATTAGCGTCCGCCTTTATTCATCTTCTCTCTCTTTTCATGTCATGATCTCGACCCCTCCTTTCCCATTAAATACAAGGAAAGTGCTGGTATCGACATATTACTGATACTACTGAGAACTGGTATCAAAGTGGTATCGAGATACTAGACTGAGAACAAGGATGGATAAAGGCTGATCGACGTAATGCTAAAAATGCAGATGTTGCTGGTGAGGTGCCCTTGCCCGTAGCTGCGTTGCTGGAGCTGCAGAAGTCGTAGGCGTCGTCATGGAAGGGAAAGTGGGGCGCTTCACGGTGAATGGCAGACTCACGCTGACCTTGGAGAAAGTTCATGAACAACTTCTGGTTCACGATGTGCACCAAAATTCGGGTCAACAGGAAGCCACTCTGCGCACCGGTAGAGCATACTAGCCAGCTCACACGAGTTTTCTCCCCGTTCACCCCTAGGATGATCCAGCACGTGGCACAGTTGTTGCTGTTCCCACTGGCACTCCTGTGGACGAGGTAAAGATTTATTTTTAGCTTGTTTAGTGAGTATATATATTTATATTTATATGGAACATTATTAGAATTCAGAACCATGATAACGACTAGCTTCTCGACGTTCTCAGCAGTGTCATCAAGAGTACCCTCCTGGATAGGTTACGTTCGACAAACTGAAATAAGCGAGTAACTACTTAAAATAAGCGAGAAGATACTGAACAAGGAAGAGTAGGAGTAGCCCTGTCAAAGCTACCTCCCTTATTTCATAATTCAGTAACTCGGATTTTTTCAGTTTTCGAGTAGTACCCGGGATAGGTTTCTGCGACAAGTTCATAGGCCTCGTCGACCTCACGACGTTGGCCGATCTTCAAATTGAGCTTTTCGGATACTCCCAATACGTCTTCGGGAGTGAGAGGAAACGGGAATTGAATTCCCTGCTTCCTCTCCTGCTGGCAACCACGAACCACATGGATGATAGACGGCATTTTTTCTCTTCAAAAATATAGAAGAAGCTGAAGTAAGTTGTACTATATTAGATGTTGTACAGTATTATCAAATTGAAATTGGAAAACAACGATAAAAAATGGCTTTTGTAAGTATACTTAAAACTACTTACAACTGCTCCTAAAAATACAAAATAGTAGATGAAGAATTAGTATTTCGTCACTGACTAGGACAACTAGCTAACGGTTCCAGAGGAACAATCAAGGCATCTCCCTCTTATGTATGTCTAAAAATAACTGGATGAGGACCTGAATCGATGAAGATCATGACGAAATTATTAAAATAGCAATGGATAAGGATACTTATTCGACTGAAAAGATGATATTCATATTTGATACTCAGCAAGGACTTGCAAATCATACAAATTCAATTTGTGGCATCAACGTGCTGATGCTGTCAATAGTAAACTGCTGACTATTTTCTGCATCGGGTAGTACGCTACTACGCTAGATGTTTGTATTCTCGTCTGAAACCAACGGAAGAACGTAATCATGATCTTCGCACCACCAGACCTGATTTTTTCGAGGAGATGACTGCCATTCACTCATTCATTCATTCAGAGGATCTCCACGAGAATTTTTTTTTTTGTAGTCCGAGAACGCCGAAAGGGTGACCCCAGTGTTGTCCGGTGTACTTGCCGGCGACGGGTGGAGTGCATTAACCTCCTTATACTACCGGCACCGCGCACTAATTGCCTACGAACCCGTCGATTATAAAATGGAGAAAAAACTAGGGGCAAAGGAGGTGACTAATTAATTACTATAAACCTCCACCGGCTCGCGGCTGCAGCGACTGCGCCGCCACGTCCTGAGACGATACGTGGGAACAGCGGTCCTCATGCTCGAGGAGAAGAAAGAGAGGAACGGTTTTGCTCACAATTTACCATGACACGTTGGTGTGCCGTCGTCATACAATTCTCATCGTGAACATAGAGAACGTTGCTCAGACTGAACACCTGTCTTTGGAGGCACACTGATTTTTCAAAAATTAAACATCGAGGACGTTGATAATTCTTATTTGAATGCGATAACTTATCTTAGCACTTAAACTTGTAGAAGTAGGTGATGTAGTGGATCATGAAGCTTGTTCTTTTCTAGCAGGTTTTGCCTCAACTATAATTGGTCTTTTTCTACCATTTAGTAGAATTAGTCGTGGTGTTCTATTTTCAGGAGTATTAATTTCTTGTTTCTTTAAGATTAGCACTAGGAGGTGACCACCTAAATATTCATGCTCTGTGCGAGCATAACACCAAACTTGAGCGGTAAAGTGTGGGTTGTATGTAATATTACAACAAGCTAATTATACGAACCAAAGTCAAGAAGTTAATTTCGTGTAGTTCGTTCCAAACAAGAGCTCAGCTTGTAAATGTAATCCTAATCGTTGTTCTTGTTTCTACTCCAAAAATATCAATATCATTTCGTCGTCCTCTGGGTCGTGTAACTACTAGTCACTGACCGCTTAGTTCTTCCGCTGTTTCTTCTTGGCTGGTCGCGGAGAAGAAGAGACGCCTGTGAACGCATTGACAACTTCGAGGCAACGTTTGTCGAACGTATGTGCTGGCCATGGGTTGAGCCACTTCATAGTTTCACCTTGATCGAGACCCATCTTCTTCAGCCATTTCATCTTGACATCGCGAGCGACCGTCTTGCTCTCCAAGATTTTCTTGACTAGTGGAGCGTGAGCGATGCACTTGACATCGTTCAGCATGAAGTCGCGCAGGTCGAGGCTATCCTCGTCAAACAACTCGTCCAGTGAGAGACCAGAGTGCGCCAACAGCTTGTCGAGAACGTCTGTGGTATCTTGCGTCCACATAACCGTGCCGAGCTTCCCATCACTTGCCGACCCGTAGTCGATCCTTACGCAAATCCGATCACTGCGTCGACGGTTGGAGGCGCTGAATGCTCTGCATAGTGCTGTTTTCATGTCGTTGGTTGTCTTACGATTCAGATTCACATCCGTCCACTGCTTGTTCTCGAGCAGCGCAGCCACTGCGCGGCGGGCTGGAAACTCGTCGCATGTCCAGCGTGTATGAATGGAGGATAGTCAATGTCAATAATCTTCAGCGAAAGAGATTGCATAGTGGCAAGAGAGCATGTTGACTTGATATTGATTAGATGCTCTACCTGATAGAAGAATGGAGTAGCATGAGCAACAACATGCATGATATTCAATAAAAAGAAGACGCAGTACTACTAGACTCAAGATTTCCAATGTGAATCTTTCTAACCAACAGACCTCACTATCTACTCGCGACCTTTAATCATTGAGATGAACTAACTTGTTTAACTAGTGCATAATCACTGGATCTGATAAACTCGCTGTGAAATTTGGGCCCCAAGCGAAATGCCACCGAGACCGCCACATGCAAGGCAATTGTGAACAGGGATGGTTTTGTGGATGGGACTGGGAGTACTTTCGTCTTTCTTGCATAAAGACGGCCAAACAAAGCACTTCTGACAGGGAGCATTGCCGCTTTTAATTTAAAGTGTCTCACGGACGCAGCTCTATTAATATGCTAGTCTCTGTTAGAGTTAGAGGACTTCTACTTCTTCTCAGAAATGACATTTCTCGCTCTAAAAAGCCTGTAGTTGTTCTTCTTGATCATATTACTTGTAGTTCATTTGAACAAGGTCAGCACCAAGCTGGCAGTTAATTGCTACGCGCTTCCTTCCATAACAGTTTGCCCATGCCGGTCCGTAGTTCCGATACTCGGCTGAAAGTCGGGGCTTTCTAGCAGCCACTTACATACGTTCTTTTGTGCATCAGGATCACTACGATCGGGGTATCCTGCCACATCTCCAGCGCGATCTAACTGCGCTGCTAAGTGGAGGAGGGTACCGTGCTCGAGGGAGTGCGCATTCAGTTCGGCAGGCGTCAACTTCGATAAGAAGTCTCGGATAATCAATTCGTCCGGCACAAATGCTAGAGGATCTACTCTTCCCAGCGGATCGTTGGACGTCGGTGGTGCTGCACCTTCAACCGGCGCGGCGAGTCGTTTTCTACCCATACGGGCTAACATTAGAGCTCAAGAGGATAAATCAATCTATTTTTTGTTAGTACGCAAAGTGAACTCTTGTCGTGCTTTCACTTGTTGCAGACGAACACGAACACGAAGATGAAGTAGGAACTATATTTATAACATATATTATAAAGCTAAAGAATAAAGCTGCACTGTATCTGTGGGAGTGAGCGCGAATGTGTGAAGCCTTAAAAGCGATTCCAGATGACCAGTGTCGCGGTACCCCATAGGCATAATAAACTCCTGCTCCATGATTTCCGCGCCGAACCATTTTCGTGCCAAGCGGAAAACCTCTTCCGGGGATCTGCTGACTCCTCGAGGAAGACCTCGTCCACATCCACTGCTGGACGACGAGGACGACCTGTGATTTTATTACGAAGAAGAAAGATGATGAGTGGGGGTCACTAGGGCTTCGAGGTGGCCCCTCCTTCTAGTTGGAGAGCAAGAGCAAAAAAGTGACTGAGAATACTATTTGGAGTGTTGGTCTTGTTGGACTGGGTTGTGCAGAGTCTTTTCTTTTTACTATGTTGCTAGTTCGATACGCACCTAAAAGCAAATCCGAAATTCGTGTTCGTTATCAACGAGCACTTGATTGTGTTCTTCCTTAACTATCAACGAGCACTTGTTCTTTGTGTTCTTCCTTAACTTGAGAAATTAAAATCGGAAAGGAAAGAATACGGCGCAGCCACTGGCGGAATCGCTGGAGCTCCTTTGACGCGAACCATTTTTTTGTCGAACTCAATTGTTTGCTTACTTACTTAACCAAAGCTGGAACGAACAAGTAACAAGATGAAGATGACAAATAACAAGATGAATATCTTCCCAAGTGCAAACGTTACCGAACAGAACTGAAGAAAAAGACGATGAGGTGACTCTGCTGATGATGATGATGATGATGATGATGATGATTGTACCTATTCTTGACCTTGAGGTGTGGGTGTGCTGTCAATTACATTGCAACAAACTGCTAGTGGGGAAATTCAATGAGTATGGAAACATGGATGGACAAAACGGAAGGCAAAATATTAGACCGTTAGAAGAGCTCTTAAGAAGGTACTTACTTAGTTGGTAGTCACACTGGTCTCCAAAAACAAACTTGAAGAGACACACTAAGAAGCAAATTCAAATTGAGAAATGATTGACCGTTTTGGAGGACAGGGTCAGGGGAAGAGGTAGAAATGAAGGATTAATTACAACCGCGAGTACAGCGTCCAAGAACGCTAACCGACACGTTGAGACAGACCTACCGATGGTGGCTTTCGCAGTCCGATTTCCTCCAGGCAAACCGATCGCCGGTAATGATAAAAATCACGGCTACCTTTCTTTTCTTAAGCTCAACCATATTTCATTAGTACACTTGCAAATCACTCACGAACATCACTATTAGCGTGCGGCTGGATCATCTTCCCGCGTCGAAGCAGACGCTTCTCTTCTCGACGTTGTTGGTGTAATATTCATTGTATCGTGTTCGTGTTTTTGTTCCTGCTTCATCTACAGTGGATGAGTCGCGAAATGACAGAACAAAAATCATAGATGTCGTGTTTATTGGTATAAACAAGATGAAAGAAATGAGCATGATGATTTAGCCAGTATCATTTATAAGGAACCGAACATTTATACGTGATAAAATCAATTCAGAAGATTGCGTCGTGAGCTGTTGAGAGAGGATTAACATGTTTCTTCCTGTCCCTCAGAGACGTTTTCTGCTCCCACCTAAAATTAGACTCGTCGTCGGACTTCTTGTTGTGACATACAAAAGTAATCATAGAAGTTCTTTAGCTCCTCTACCCCTAGAGCGAGTGCTAGTTCTTGCATGACCTACTCAACCTTATCATGTTAGGTCTTCCTCTCGTCCCTACTCTTCACCTGGTACGGGTTGAAACTCTGCGTTATTTCGGAGGTGGCTTCGGATGATGTCTTCTTTACTTGGTTTAAATGCCTGCTTCGCGAACGCTTCCAGCGTCCGTGCATCGAGGCGTGGCCCACTTGTTGGACCAGCGGCAGCCGCATCATTCGTATTAAGGTGCAAAACATCCTCCTCCCACTCTTGTTCCTCTTGGTACCTATTAATCTTCGACGCTTTCAAGAACATCATGCTTGTTGAGCCATCTTGTTTTCTCGGTCTGCCTCTTCCTGTGCGTTTTCCTGAACTAGTACTATTGTTCACGGCCACCTGCGACAGCGTCTTTCCACCACTTTTTTTCGGCACCTGATTTAGCGCTTGTTTTTCACTATCAGCTCACGTTGTCGTTGAGTGAGTTGTCCTTTAGTTTTTGCTCCCATATTTTCCCCTATAAATCTTCAAGGGGCACTCCACTCAGCATTTAGTCCACATGGCTGGGTTGGGAGTGGAAAAATAGTGAAAAACTAGCCTTAATATAGTATTTTGCTTCTGCTTCTGCTCTTTTTGCAACTGTGCATGAGCGTGCTTTCTGGCGTCTTCTAGACTCTCCAGGCTATTGGTGTCGTCGTCTTGGTTCTCGTCCCCTCCTTCGTGTCCAAGCCACAGCACGCTTCCATGCGCTACATCACGCGGTGAAGGCGGCGAAGGCGGCGACTCTGCGGCGTCGACTAGTGTTAGAGTGTGCAAGTTGGCCGATCGCGATCTATCTCGCATCTCTATGACTTGTTACACTTTCCGCCTTAAAAAGGTCAACATAGATATGCTCACAGAGCGGCCAACTTGTTCTTCCAACAATTCGTAGCACATCGAGGTCTTCTCCTTCGATCCTCCTCTTCTTCAAACTCATGCTTCTCTGATTTTTCCTAGAAGCTTGTCCCCTGCAGAATTTGGGATAGAGGACGTAGCGACAATACTCCGAGTACTCGCGACATCTCCTGTGTGCCTCGGCTTCTTCAAACATCTTTTTCACCTCCAGAGCCAAGCGTAATTCTACTCGCGTATCGTCACTCTTGTGTCGGCTGGCTTCCACCATCGCTCTTTCTTCAGCTATGCCAGTCGTTAATACGCCATCCCCACCCTCGCGTTCGCGTTCCTTGCTTTCTTCATTTTCTTAGAAGGATATTAAAAATATGTTGATGTTCTAGAAAAAAAAATTGTTGTACTAGTTCATCCAATGAAGTACTTAGTTATAGTACTAATTATGAGCACTTTCTTCAACAAAAATATTGATATTCATCTTACATCTTAAGTACAAATCTTACAATACACTAAATCTAGTAGACCTTGTTCACGTCATAAATCTGCATTTGCACGAGGTAACGCAGTCTATTCTTGGCGGCGGTGAAGGTGTTGGATTTCGATATAGTCCGAATGAATGCCCCAATCGCAGGAAAATTTCTCGCGAGGTATTCTGGGGTGGTATGAACAAAGGAAGTCTGCTATTCCTTCTATTAAAAAGGAACAGGAAGTCTGCTATTCCTTGTCCTTCTAAATTAAACTCAACTAGAATTAGAGGTAGGCTTTTGGTGCTTGCGGGTTCCCCCGCTTTTTATGCCTTTCTCATCCTAAGGGAGAGAGGCATAAAAAGCGGTAAGAAAAGCACCTTTAACCTACCCTTATAATAGAAGCTGCAGTCTCGAACGCTTCCTATGTTTTATTGATTGGGGGATAAGGACTTTTGCGGTAGTGGGTACTCTTCATCGATCCTGCTCAAGAGAGCACTAGGCACTTTCCACCAATTCATCCCAGTAGAAGGATGAAATAAGAGCCACCACCTTGTTTAGAAGTATCTATGGTCGTATAAGTATTACTGTACTACTTTTCTTGAGCAGTATCAGTTCCATGATCTAAGTACTTTCTAAGTATAAACTTTCTAAGTATAATAGGTGGAAACAGCCTCTCTATTTCTTCATTATGACAGTATGTTGAGTACACTTGTCCATCTACATCTACTTTTCTTGAGTAATAATATTGATGAGTACAAGAACTTCTACACGCACTTTTTGTTTTTCCCGTCAACATAGATGAGAAATGGTCCTCGCCCTGGCTCAGCTTGCGTGGTGTTCTGCGACAGGAAGGCGCACGTGCGTTGATGAGGAATCTGGGGACCTATATCCTCAAGATCCATGCAAAATTAGAATTATAGAACTACAATATCATCCTCACGCGTCTTTAGTGGTCGTTCTCTACCTCCACTGGTAAGACAACTACGTAGTTGACTACTACAACTACCAGTCGATTATGAAGATTATAATTACTGAGGGCAGTCTATTTCTAGAGGTTTTACAAACATCCACTACACTAGTTGATCTTTCAAGTTGTTGTACTTAAGCAGATTGTAGGTGGTCGTCTACCTTTACATTTTCATACCCTGCCTTAATATATCAGATCACTATCTGCGACGATATTTAGGCCGTAGTCCTCTTCGTCGAGTAGAAGGTTGCTTCTAGTGTTCTGTAGATTTTTCTGTTCGTCTTGGTTCATTGAATTTGGCTTGTCGTTGCTCTTGTTCAAGTTTAGGTTTGATGTGCCTGTTCTACTCGTTGTGTTCCTGTTTTTGGCTGTGGAAGAAAACGAGTTTTGCAAGTTCGGATTCGGTCTGTGGAGGTTGCTTCGCAGGTTTCTCGTCGTCGTGACAGTCGAGGACGTGTGCACATTTATTTTGGGAGTTGTGTTGTTTTGCTTTCTTTGCAGTAGCAGTTGCATCTCCTGTGCCTGTACGCCACCAGCTGCACTTCTATTACCAGATGAAAGAGAAATGTTCTTATCGTCCTGCACCAGATGAACAACATTGAGGTCCTCTACTTCCGAATCGGAATGTTCTCGTTCTACGGAGAATTCATCCGCAGCCACAACAAGGTGAGACGCACTACTCACGACTTGGTCCTCGTCAGCCGAGGAGAACAAACTTCTGAGTTCCGCATAGTAATGATCCTCGTCACGCATATATTTCCAATAGCCAAAAGCGTCCTTAGTTAGACTAAGAAATAGAGTTACTGGTACTAGAACTAGAAATGACTCACTGGTAGAAATAACTGGTACTAGGAATGATTGGTACTAGGAATGATTGGTAGAAATAACTGGTACTAGAAATGACCGGTAGGAATGACTGGTACTAGAAATAACTGGTAGAAATGACTGGTAGTAATAACTGGTACTAGAAATGACTGGTCGAAATAACTGGTACAAGAAATGACCAGTTGTAGGAGTGACTGGCAGGTAGAAAGAATCTTGCACGACTTGTGAGCCTTAAGTCAGCACCACTCTCCGCCAAACTGCGCAGCGATGAGGTAGTTGCGCCTCCTGGACCGGTAAGAGGACGTCGACCAGAGAGTCGATCCTTTTGATAGCTCTCCGGATCCTCTAAGTGAGCGTTATTCAGTATACCCGTCAAACCGCAGAACATATCGCACACCAAAGAGGAGCTCTTCTTCTGCAGCTCTGACTTAGATGTTGTTGTCCCTAAAATTTTAGAGCTCTACCACGTCGCGGCATCGTCCCTGATGAATTTATTATAAGCCATCCTTGTTGGCCTTGGCGGCGGGCCCCTTTGCCCTTTCCCCCACGACCTTGAAAAAGTGAAAAAAGAGTAAGTAGATAACTACCAAGTAGGATGGTAGTACAACTACTGAGGATATTCTCGTGAAGGTTGCGGCCTTAACTGGTGCAAGCGGTGACATAGGCATGGTCCTCTGTTTCTTTCGTGGAGGATAGCGAAACAAGCTTCCATCCCACAAATGATGGCAGCTATCAGCGCGAACGCGTCCTAGCATCAGAAGTGCGCTGATCTGCATGCAACCGTTACGCGCCGCATGGTGGAGCGCAGTCAGCCCGTCAGCATCCTGTGCTGCAACGCGCGCTCGCCAAAACAGTCGCTCGTCGCGGAGTACATGCGCCACTACTGGCGCCAGCGCGTCGGAACTGCATAGGTGCATAAAAGGAGTTCGCTCTTCTTCATCGACAGACCATAGACAGAGAAGTGGTTGTTCATAGGTCCTCTTGAAGGAGTGGTCTTGCTCATCATGTTCCTCACGGAGGTCACGTTGTTGACGTAGTAGTAGTGGTCGTTTTGTATTTGTTGATGAAGATGAAGAACTTTGAAGATTCTTGACGTGGTCGTCACGAACAAGAGCGCTTGTTTGTCTACTTTTCTCATCTCTTTCTACTTGGTCTTCTGCTCCGACTGGATGCTTTATCGATTTCTGCAGCAAAGCCACGCAAATCGGAACACTTTTGTGCCGACAGGCGAGGAGAAAAGGAGTCAGACACTGCGAGTTGCGTCCGGCCCCAGCCGGCAAGGGAGCATTGATCGTGATTTCGCTGTTTATGTAGGGAAGAAGCGCCAGCACGCAGTCCTCTCTTCCTAATTCACACGCAAATTGCAAGGCATTCAGACCTCGTCGCTCCGACTCTCTCCCCACCAGCGCACTAGCTGGCAGCGGGAACGGCCCTGAGCGGCTCGATAGTTGAACGAAATTCAAGGGCGGTCTGGGACTAGTGTTAGGGGTTGAAAGTTGGCCGCGTCTCTAGCTCGCATATCTATGGCTTTCCTACTTGAAGAATCCATAAAGATGCGCACAGAGTTAGAGATGTCAACTTCCAACCCTTAATAGTGGAGGTGATCGCTGACCACGCAGTGGATGAAGCAGGAGTTGTATTAGTTGTAGTGGTCAAAATATTCTGCTTTCCGGGATCTCCCGTTCCTAATTCCTCATTAGATGGAACTACAGCAGGAGGATGGAAAAGGAGGCCCGAGGATGCGTGTGGATTGAAAGACGACGAGGTGTAAGAAATTGCCCACTGTTCGTCATGTTGCTCTTCGAGTAGCAGGGGAGCAATCTGGGAAACAAAATCAGGGCGATCACACCAAATCGATTGAAAAAGAGGTGGAAGTGCTTGCCTGTTACCTGCTCCACCGACGCTCGTTCGATTTCGACGGTCTTCAACTCCCGTAGCTGTCCCCTTCGCAAGAAGGGCATCCGCAAGTCGTTGCACAACTTCAAATCCCGAACCGCGATTGTGCTGGGACGTGGTGGACAAAGAGGGGCTACTAGTGCTCCTGTTCTTGATGTCTGCACTTTTTCGTTGTGGTGCTACTTGTCCCTCTTGTCCTGTTCTCTTAGAATGCATCTGACGTTCTTCTTTCTCTAGTATTGCTCCGATGCCGATTGCTCCGATATCATTTCCAGCAGGAGTAGTAGGACTCGCCTCTTCATCCTCGATATGGTCTTCCTTCGCATGGTGCAGAATTGCTACGTCAAGTGGGGTCAGACCCTGGGAATTTTGCGTTTCTGGTCGTAAACCCTGTACGGACGAGGCCTTATCGCTTGTTACGCTTTTCTTTTTAACACTACTAGTAGACGAGGGAACAGCAGAAGTACTAGCGTTTTCTCCATGATCGCGGCTTCGTCCTAGCAGATTCGCAAATCCGGACGCAGACCTCATAAACGGATCTTCTTCGACCCTACTAGTGTTGACGTTTCCACCACCTCCTTCTACAACTAAACTCGGCTCATTGTTGTGGGAGGTGCCTTCCACAGCTGCATTGGCACCGCCACGACCATTACCCAGACGGAGTAGCTTTTCGAGTATCTGATGACGTCCTGCTGCTGCAGCTATGTGCAACAATGTCGATCCACGCGCTAAGTCCACGACTTTGTCTCGCCGAGAAGGACGACTCCTCGTCAACGTAGTATGCCGAGAAGTCCTTGAGTTCCCGATCAAATCGAACCAAACGGCGTTCTTGCAAAAGCCTGAAGCGTGTTTGACGTTGACCCCGCTGCTGGGTTGATCTTTTCCACTCCATTGTACTAAGTCGTTGATGAACTCAACACAAAAGAGATCTTCCGCACCGACCCCGTGAAGTGCAGCCAATTGCAGCGCTGTGCGCCCATCCTGGTCGCCTTGCTGCCAGAGACTCCAAGCACCAAGGATCTCAGTCGCACACAAAAGTAACCTTCTCATACGTCGTAATGAAGCGGCATACTCGTCCGAGATGGCTGTGGAGGTTGAGCCTTTGCCTTGGAGTTTCTGGGTACAATCCTGCTGAGCAGGGGTTCTTGTCACGACAGTCGCAGCTCGTGCCGCTTGTTCTGCGGCTTGTTCTCCGCTCATGGACGAGAGAATGTGCAGTGGAGTTCGGCCCAAATAGTCATCAGTCTGCAGCATCTGGCGCACTGCGCTCTTCTGTGCGAGACTCACGTTCTTGAACGCAGCACAAAATGCGCATACGTCTTTGTCATCCTGTTCACCAGGTCCACCATCTTTTTCTGTCCCGCCTAGTAGTAGCATTTTGACTGTTTCCGGGTGAGCGTTTTTGACAGCTAGATGAAAGGGCGTAGAAAAGAGCCCCTCCAGCACGAATAACTCTTGGTCTGACCATGGAGTCTCGGTACTGTGTTCTCCGCGGTGGCTTCCGTTCAGCACCAATGGAGCCATGTCATCCCACATTCGATCAAAGCGTGACACTGCTTGCGCGACCTGCTCATCGTCGTCCGCCTCTGGAGGTTCATCGTGTGCGTGGTCTCTTGTAATATGTGTTCGGGAGGACCAATCCAAGGGCCTCTTGTAATTGCGACGATGTGCCATACACCGACGATCGCTACGTGCATCTCGTGAAAAAGGCAGGTCAAGTGCTGAGGTCGCCGCCGGCGCCGCTTGGCTTGTTCTATGAGGAGTAGAAGACCTAGAAGGTGCGGAAGAAGAGCTAACCGAACAACTAGAAGTCGTACCTGCTGTACTCGAGGACGTCGACGCAGACAACATGATGCCAGTACTAAATCGATGTATTAGGCGTTCGCGCTCCATAGCAAGCATCGCGTCACGGTTGGCATCGAACAGCGTTTTCGTGTTCTTCAGGTTTATCTCGGCGAACTGTTCGTAATGTGAAAGGAGTTGTTTACTCCGCTTCTTCAGGCTTAGCAAGGGATCTTCCTGACGTTTCTTCGAAAGTGAGGATGTCGGATTCTTGCATGTCTCTACTACAACTACTGCTTTACTATTCTCTTTATTCTGGATATGTTGATCATTATCTTCTTCAGATGCAGAAGAGGAGGCAGAGGACGAGTCTCTGCGTCTCGACGCTGCACGCTCGGACACGTAGTCAGCCAAGACTGGAATATGCTCAAAAACTCCCTCAAGGATCCCAGCTTCGATGTGTTGAGATGACTCGTTTTTTTCTGAAGAAGAAGTAGAGAAATCTGGTTCTTGTTGACCACGCTGCTTCTCTTTCTCTCCCACTCGTGCTGCTTCTGTCTGCGGTTTCTTGATGTCCTTGTTGTCGTCCTCCTCATCCTGCTGCTCTGCGACAGCGACTGCGTAGTTTCTTGTACTATAGTTGCATCGAAGCAGGACACCCACCACCTCATGATGTCCTCTTTCAGCGGCCACGTGTAATGGCGTCCGTCCAAGGCAAGTGTGCAACAATGGGTCTTTCATAAGGTCACGGATCAACGATAATCCTTGAAGATCTTCATCCTCCGTGGTCGATTTAATACTTCTATAATTTCTATTGCTGTAGTTCTCTAGGAGTACCTCTGAAGGCTGCGTAGCAGGAGTTCTATGCGATGTTATTGCAGCTCTATGGAGTATGGTCAGGAGAGTTGTGCAAACGCTAGCGCAATTGCGCTGTGCCGCTTGATATAGCGGAGGCACATCAAAGAAACATATGTTTCGGTAGCAGGAAAGACCGGGATTTAGAGGCAGGCGCTTGGTGTTCGCTTGCCCCGTTTGTTATGCCTCTCTCCCTTAAGAGCGAAAGCCATCTCCAGCAGGTATTAGTATTTATTTGAGTACCTCTATTTGAGTACCTCCAGAAGAAAGTCAACTCCAGCAGGGTTAAGAGCGGCAAAACAAACGGGAACGTGAACGCCTTTAGCCTACCCTTAAGGGATAAATCGGAGAGCAGAAGGCGTCCAATTCTTCCCGCCACTGCTGAACTAAAGCCGCAGAGGCTTGTCTAAGAAGTGACTCTGCGTACTTGGGATCCGTTGTGGCAATCTTTTGGGGAAAGTTTTCATCGTTGTCAACAGAAAAGTTCTTCTGCTTCGATGAAGAAAGCAATGACGTAGATGCAGCAACTCCTGCTGAAGATCCTCCTGTTGCACTCTGCTGTGCTTCTCCTTCATCTTCGGTCGCAAAGGTAACCACACGCTTGCCGGAAGACTGTTGATGAGACGGCGCACCTGCTTTCGTCGAGCTGTAGTTATCCTTTTTTGCTGTCGACGAGGTGGCTCCACCTTGTCGAAAAAAGATGTCCTTCTTGTTACTCGACGATGATATTCTCTCTTCATTAGAAGCTCCGTGATGAAGAACTGCTCCTGATGATGCCAACAAGCCTTCTTCAGCTTGATCTACAACGTCATTCTGATCTTCACCTTCAACGTCACCTTGTTGTCCTTCAGTTCCAGTTGTTTCAACTCGGAAGCTTTTCACGTGCTGCACAAAGCGGCTTTTCGCTGCTTCCTTTGCTTGCTGGTAGAAATCCCACAAACCTAGAGGAATCACCTCAAACCTCGACTGAGGATTCAACAAGTCTTCCTGCGATCCATATCCCTCTGTCCACGTCCTGTCGCAAGTGAGATTGAATGAGGCCACTGATTGAAAATTTCGAGAAGGGAATGCCGTTTCATCATCACCGTGTCCCATATAGTACTACAAGCCTATAGGCAGGACAAAACAGTTCCAGCAGTATGTCAATTACTTGACGGCCGTTTCTCATTGCTGTGCTTCTTCCTTGCGGACGACATTCTTTCTCTAATCTTTTATAAATATTGTCCTCTTCAATCAATGCAAGGACCATAGAAAGATATGGACAAGCGGCTTCTGTTGCCAATGGGTGAAAGGGTTTGAGCCATCGCCGTCCATGTTTGCCCCCAGCCTCCGCTAGAGCACGTAGAATACGGCTTTCCTCGATTACAGGGTCGAAAAGGACAACAGTGGAAGTGGAAGTAGTTTGTTGTTTCACGACTGGAGGCACAAGTCTCTCCTTCTTGTTGATGTGTCTCTCCCTGCTCTCGTTCTCGGACCCCTTGGTATCAACATCAAGAACAACTACTTGTCCGCTTCTATGACTAGTTGTTGTCGACGACGAAGAATAAAAAGAAGAGCCTCCTTTGTTCATCCCTCCAGTGTCGGTTGAAGAGGTCTCCACATTGTAGTTCGGTGCTGGCGAGGGCTCAGCCAGCGGTTCTGCGAGAGTTGTAGTTGCTGAAAAATGTGTGCTCGACGTTGATGCTGGAGTAGAAGTAGATGTATCTATTTCTTCTTTTTGTATTTCTACTTCCATAGAAGAAGTGGTCGTACTGCCAGCAACATTGTTATTGATTTCAATCGCAATCTTTCTTCCTGCTCGTTGCGTCCTCGTAGCCGCCTGATGAAAGGAGTGAGATCCACCCCCACCTCCACCAGGTTTCACTACAGTACTAGAGTTGCGAAGTCGGACGATAACGTACTTCGAATAGACGGATTCTGCGTCGGTTCTCCTTCGGATAGCTTCCTTCTCTCTAATTCTGTCCACACGTGAGGGATGGTGTAAACACTCATCCATCACAGAGTTAGAGTGTGAGGGATCCACCTTCACAGTTTCAATACAAAAAGATGAGAGAGTAACTACTAACTAGTGAGCCCTATAGTTATAGTTTCAGCTACCAACATAAACACTAATCTGGTTCCTCGACGAGGTGATTTTTGAGCACGTAGTTACATCGGTAGCTTCTTTTCTGCTACACGCTAAGTACTTCCAGTGTCTTTACTCCTGCTAAACACTAATATTAGAGTTGTAACATCATTTATTGAAGCTAAATCTCACATCTTGCATCTTCATCAGGGTCTGACGCTGAAGAGAAGATGGAGCCCTGAATCATATTTGAAAGTTTAAAAAAAGCCTTAACGAACGGCCGGTCGCGGTGAGATGTACCAAGGGGCACAATGCTCAGCGCTGGCAGGGTCAATGCAGGCGTATAAAGAAGATCTAGTTGGCTGCTCAGCGTCGACAAGGTTGCGGCCACCTCCATTACATCTTCATTCTTCTTGTTTTTTGTAGAGGCATTCGCAGTTGATGGTGCTGTAGAAGAACTAGTAGCAGGAACAACAACCGGGTTGGGAGTCTTGTACAACAACCCGGAAGTTGCGGAGTGCAGCATCCCTTTCACGAGGAGTACACATAGCTCTTCATGCTGCTTCTTTATGTTCATCTCGTTCTTGATCATGCTATTACTAGTACTAGAAGCTGTTTCAGTGGGATGCCGATGTGTGTGATTGTAGAAGTAGTACTCGGGCGCACCCAGGAGAGCTACTTGGAATGGAGTACGCTGGAGAAAATCACGATGGAAAAGGGGGTCTCTTGTGACTTGATCAAAATCAAAAGAAGATTTGTTCTTGGACATGCTGTCAAGTGCAGTAATAAATTTGTTGTTGTTCTTGTTGGACATATCATTACTTGTCCGCATGGAAGTGAACGATAAAGCTCCTTCATCTAGGAGAGGTGGAGGAGGTCCTTGTGATAATAGAACTTGTTGGAGAATAAATCTTACGCAATGCTCGAAGTAGACAAGTGACGTCGAAGCTGGTGGAGGCGATGAAGCTAGCATTGCATGCAAGACCGTGTAGCCACACTCTGCGTCAACATGCAGACCAACATTCGAAAAATCGTCGCTATCCTTAGAAGTAGGGTTTTGCTGTTTCTCTTGTTTCCCGTTTGTTCTGCCATTCTCCTTTAGGAGATCCAAAGCAATCGGTAACAGGAGGAGCACCTTTAACGTAAGTACCCTTAAGTATATCCTTTTCGGCACCCAAAACCAATGCGCCGGGAGTCCGCAGCAACGATAAAAAAGCCGCTGCAGATACAACTTTAGTCGGAGACGGAGCTGACGTCGAAGCTCGTGAGGCAAGGTGCTGAAGTGAAGGCGCAGTTACTTCAGGCCCGTAAGTCAGCAAATCGTGCAGGAACGTAGCGTTGCGGACACGCGAGAGAGTTCTTAGGTCAGCCCTCGCGGCGACCTGAAAGGCATGCTCTTCCAGTCTTTGCAACATCAAAACAGAAGTTTTGCTTGGCTGCCTTGACAATCTACTGCTGGTAGCAGAAGTAGTCGTCCTCTGATTTTCTATTTGACTTTGTGGTGGAACACCTACAGCTGCTACAGCTACAACTCTTGCGTCTATAATTTGTTGTGCTTTGACAACGCTACTTGATGAAGAAGCTGCACTAGAAGTACTAGTTGATGTAAGTGTAATTGTGCTTGTGGTGGGTGCTTTTACTACTGAGTTCGCGATGTTCGTCTTTGAAATCGTGTTCAATGCGGATGATATGATAGTAGAAGTTGTCGCAGTCGCAGCACAACTATCTTCGATAGCCCAAAGCGCACGCAAAGCTACGGGGTCGTGCACATCGTAGTCTGCAGCACTGCAGTGGAGCATCAAGCGGTAATCCCAGCTTTGAATTTTCTCAGGCGTACTGAAATCAAAGGCAAAATTTCGTGGCAAAAATTCTAGCGATCGTCCCCTAAGAGCATCAGTTGGGTCTGCTGCGTTGTCCATCTTGTTCAGGTTCATGGCACGTTGATTCGTCCCGCCTTTTGTTGTTCTTGTTTTACTTGTAGTATCTGCAACATATTTTCCATTCGTTTTCTTGCGGTTATTTGTATTGGTGTCCCCTGACGACGTGGTCGGTTTTCTCGCTTCTCCTATCTTGCTCTTTCTCCCGCCAACTGCTGGTCCTCTTCGATTGTTGCCATTGCTTGTTTTTGCGCCTGTCTTCCTAACATCAATATGAATATTCCCACGATTTGTTGCTAGATGATGTTGTTGATTTGTTCTTGCTAGGTCGTTTTTTCGACTTCGCTGCTTCGCATCTCTAGTTGTACTTCTAGAGTCATTCATTTCAACAACGTCTTCCAAACTCCATGACGAACGGGCAGATGAAGAGAGCGGCGGAGAACTACGTTAGAGGTTACGGAATTATATTCTTCAGAAC